GGGGGGGGGGGCAGAACCACACATCAGTTCTGGAACAACTTGATATTTAAAGACAGAACTGGAGAACAACTTGACATTCAACGACAGGATTTGAGAACAACTTGATATTCAACAAAAGAATTTAAGAACAACTTGACATTCAACGTCAGGATTTGAGAATATTTAACGACAGAATTTGAGAACAACTTGATATTCAACGACAGAAATTGAGAAAAACTTGACATTCAACGACAGGTTCTGAGAATATTTAACGACAGAATTTGAGAACAACTTGATATTCAACGACAGAAATTGAGAACAACTTGATACTTAACGACAAGATTTGAGAACAACTTGATATTCAACGACAGAAATTGAGAACAACTTGATATCTAACGACTTAAATTGAGAACAACTTGACATACAACAAGAATTTGAGAGCATTGCAAGTTCATCTACCGATAGAATTTGATAATAACTTGATATTCAACGAATAATTTGGGAATAACTTGATATACAACGACAGAATTTGAGAACAGATATTCAACGACAGAATTTGAGAACACTTTCGAAACATCTTAATTCAACGACATTGAATTGGCTGGGCAAATAGGCTATTGCTGTCGGGTCTCTGTGCCGTATTTTGATATTCTCTAATATAAGGTTACCGTAATAAGACAACGACACTTTCAAAGCAAGTATATTATTTAATCGTACACGAACAATACGCCAGATATGCCTATTCAATCTAGAAAACCTAAATTAAACGACCATATCACTTTAAAAGTACAAATGTAGAATTTACAATTTATAAAAGAATTTTAATACGTCCATATGGTATGAAAATACTTTGTATCCTAACTTCTCTCTCGAAATAAAATAAGTGTCCAATATTTATTCATTTAGACAACCGTATTTCGTTTTTTGTGAAAATAATAATTTTTTTATTGTTTCGTTTTCTGATACATTTTTCTCAATTTTAAAACATAACTGTACCTGTGCATATTCCTGTACAGCTCTTCTTGTATGCTATTGAATGTTTTTATTTTTGAAATAAACACGATTTTTAACTTGAAGAATTTATTCCTTTGAGTGAATGGTTTAGTGTATTTAGAAATAATTCATGAAATATTAAGTGGTTACGTATTTTACATGTAAGTGGCGTGACAATCGAGATAAATGTTTCACGCAGGCGCAGTGTAAATTACACATGTCGCAGTAACTGGGAAAATTATTGCAACAGTATTGTGAGAAAAAACAAGTGAATAACGTATCATACAAGATATCGTCAACAAATTTATTGAAACAAAATGCCGAAGAATAAGGGTATGTTGGTTTCTATATGAACAGAATACCATTAACTTCATAAGTAAACTCTTTTTACTTGTTTTTTTTTTTACTTCTTGTTTTATGATTTTCATCATGTGCTGTTGTAGTCTATTATTGAATGTATGACCGGTCGGACCATTACAGTGTCGGACCAAAGTGTCGGACCATTACTAGTTCGGACCTAAAAAAAAATGTTAATAACCAACTCGGACCAATGATATTTTTCTCACTACCGACTCGGACCAAGGGTTTTTTTCTCACTACCGACTCGGCCCACTAGACTTGGACCATTACCTTAGTGACTCGAAGTAATTTTTACGACAGACTCGGATCACATTTTTTATAAATTTGGACCAATACCTTACCGACTTGTAAACAAATTGAAAGTGAAATGGTAAGGACAACTCTCACTAGGACTCAGAACAATGTTAAAAGACAATGCATATGGCGGCCATTATAATGACCGTGTTTTATATATATTAAACTAAAAAATATATTAGACTCATTCACTCTTTTGAGAGAGTTTGGTGGCCCTGAAAAGGGCTGTTTAGATGTCCCTGAAAAGGGCCGTTTAATTATTTGGGGTGAAGATGGCACCACACTTCTTTAATAGTTGGCTGGTACTCATTTCACCTTCACTGTACGTAGACCATATTTTAAAAAGTTTTCCTTGGGTGGTGCGGGTCTGCTTGCTTTGATATCGTTTCAATTTCCCCTCCGAAACCATTTTCATCTGTATCGGAATCTTCTTGGCTTCCCCGTACAACAATTTTATAAGAAGGTAAAATGGTAGATTTCCTTTCTTCGCCTTTTGGTTGACAGCGTTATGCCACCCCTCCACATCATTGTTGGTGCGGATCGTCTTCTTAAATAAGCACCAGGATGGTATGGTCCACACAGTACTGGTAATCCAGGTGTGGTCTACATAGTCCATAATTTCTTTAAGTTGGTCTGTGGAAGCTCTGTCTCGCAGTTTATTAAATGCGTCTAAAATCTGATCTGCGGGGAGGAAGGGCAAGGCAAACACTTTTCTTAAAAACTTGTAGATCTCGTGATAATTAATACCTAATAATTGGTTGAGTATTGTTAATTAAGACTTGGTCCGATTAAAATAAAAAATAGTGGGCCGAATCGGTATAGGTCCGACACAGTAACGATCCGAGTTGGTAGTGTAATGAGTGGGCCGAAACGGTTACGGTCCGACCGGTCCTGATTCCATTATATTATGGTCAAAACAACAAATCTTAAAATAGTTAAGTGACTCTGTCACTGTCTGCTGAACCTCAATAGCTTATTTACTTGCCACAGTAAATAAGGTTGATTTAATTAACATCTATTAATGTGTTATTTTAATAAACGTGAAGATAAACCCAACAAGAAAACTGAAAGAAAGGTCCCCATTTATTATTTTAGACATATCCAGAATGACGAAGCAAGGTAATGATGTAAATATTGGGATTTTATTATGTTTGATATAATTGATTGTTCACAGGAAAGGGAGGTAAAAATAGGAGAAGAGGAAAGAACGAAAATGAGAAGGAAAAACGAGAGTTGGTTTTCAAAGAAGATGGACAAGGTTTGTTTGTTCAATGAATAAATAGAGTGAATTATCGTTCCTTTTAAATAATTCCAAATGTGGCTTATTATGGTTATTCTATATTATTCCATATTATTCTATATGGTTAACTGTTATAAGATAAACTCCATAAGTCATATCTACAGGTGTTATGAATAATGAAAGTTTCTTACAGAATTTGGCAAATGCTATTTTATCATTTGTAAATCCTCTCAAATACATAAGTTATTTTAAGATAATCATAATTTGACCTGTTGATTTGTTTTTCTTTCAGAATATGCTCAAGTTTCTAAAATGTTGGGAAATGGAAGGTTAGAAGCTATGTGTTTTGATGGTAACAAAAGGTTATGTCACATTCGAGGAAAATTAAGGAAGAAGGTGGGTGACAGATTGACAGCTACAGTTACTGCTCATTTGATTATTTTGCTGGTGCTATCGCTCAGAAAAGCTATCTCTAATGATATTCTAAATTTATTACAATACTACCCAACATAATAATAGAACGCAGATGATTTTCTAAAGGAAAATTAAATGATGACTCAACATCTATTATAGGTATGGATTAACACGGGTGATATTATATTACTTGGTCTACGTGACTATCAAGACACCAAAGCTGATGTTATCCTTAAATACACCCCAGATGAAGCCCGAAATCTCAAGGCTTATGGTGAATTACCTGAAAACAGTAAGTTTCATTCTAATTATGTTCTAAGTTTGCCTTATTGTACACAACACAGCATTTGTTCAAAGCTACAGGTCAGTATTCATTTCATTTCCAAATTGCATGGATTTATATAGAAATAGATGAATATTTGAGAATCTTAGTCGAAACATCCATAGAATAAATTAGTGTAAAATTAGTAAATATATTCCATTAGAAATGTGCTATCTATATCAGACCACCTTTCCTAAATGCCTTGACCATTGGTTACCTATATATATGAATTGTTTGATTACTTTCAGCTAAAATTAATGAGAACCAATGGGAACCTGATCAAGATGATCATATTACCTTTGATGAGTTTGATGGAGATGATGAAGAGATTGAAGAGGTAAGAGATTTGATCATTGATGATTTTCGATGTTTTTGCTTAACCTCAAAATGATTTGAAAGGTTTGAAGGTCTATAAAGAAAAGGATTATCTGACCATCCTAAAGGGGTCTTTGAGATTTCCTTTAGAAACATAACAATTATGGCAAATAATTTAATTCTCAATCATTTGGCCATCAATGGTGTTAATTGACTGATTGCTACCTCCTTCTTTGAGGTGATAAATAGCTAGCACTTACAGCTAACAAGAAGAACACTTGTTATTCTGGTACATTATGGCTCTACTTATACAGTGTGTCTTTATGCGAGCCAGGAGATTCTAGAGGTTTTCAAGTCTTCAATTCATCCAGCCTCTGCAATTTAATTTTTCAGTTCTCATGTGTGATCAACAATGAAGTTTAAGTATGTAGCTTGTCTATGTCTATTGGACATTAAGCTTTCCTTGATCAGACAATCCAGTTCATTACCATGTACTCTGGTTCAGAGAAGCATTTACAATATTTTAAGAAATAACTATAGTTCGTCCTTTGTTTCTTTCAGATTTAAAGAAGAATGTTAAATGTGTACAAGAAATTATAAAAAAAAAACTTATTTTCAAATCAAATCCAAAATTTTCCACTCTGATGCGCTACCAAGCACTTAAATTGGAACTTTTATTGGGAAGGTTTTGGAACCCTTTAAGGGTATATGATTAAAAAAAAAATTAGATTTTTCAAGAGACCTTTTATTTTCTATGGTGGATAAACGTAATTATTGTTATTTTCTTTTTTTGCGAATTAAATGTTATTTTGTTTCTTTGCAAATTGAATAAGAACAAAAATAATCAAAAATTGTATTTTATTCTGAAAACTATTCTATAGAGTATTTTTCATGAGCATGCCAATTAGATGTTATTTATCCCAAATGTTAAGTCATTAATTGGTAAACCATTGAGTAAATGACATGGAATCATTTTCATTTGATACATGCCAATCAATGTAACAGATCACTTCTATATCAAAGCTTTGAAAGTGAGGCACTAATCGCCACTCCCATGCATTTATTGATTTGACAGTTGTGCTTGACCTAGCTCCTCCCATCCAGAATGCTTTGAATTGGGAGTATGTGTTTTTTATAAACAATGTTTTTTGTTAACCCTAATATAAACTATATATATTATTTGGTGTGCTATCATATAAGTTATTTTTTATCTAGTGCTTTGTAATAGTTTTAGTAGTAAGGTACAGAAATGAAAATTGTAAGCCAGAAAGAATGAATGCTTGCACTTAACTATGTACATTTTTTCTATAATTTTCTTGTGAACTTTAAAAGCATTAGGTATATACTTGTCTTTGAATTTTGAGTGTAAGTATTTTAAGATGTTTTTCTAAGAGTAGCTAATATTGAAATTGGTGTACATATTTACTGATTAGATTTATAGTTGCTTATACCAATCAAGACAGAGAAATATTGGGAAATACTTAAAATTGTTAGTAGCTAAGTAGTTTACCAACATTCTTATGAGTTACATATTAACAAATGAATTTGTGTTGATGAGTTTGTTTAAATTTGTTAATGAGTAAGATGTGGTATATATTGTTGTGGCATTGGTCACGGCATTTTATCCATTGAAAAACAAAATACTTGGAAGGCAGATATCTTTCCATAACATTGAACATGTTGTACCATAGCTAAGCTCCACCTACTTTCCTCTAAGATTCTATTTGGTTTCATGTTAAATTATCCAAATTGTATGGTACAACAAATGGCTGATCATAGACTATGGTTTTCCTCAAACACACATTTTAAGGAAAAAATGTAATTGTGATACAATCAGTTTTAACGTCAATCAGAGTCAGAGTTTATGTGACACTCGAGAACTCCTTGCATCATTTTTTCCATCACTGCTTATCACTTTGTTAGCAATTTGTGCTTCTGATGGTACAAGGCATGCTTGTTGGATTTGCTTGCTGTTGGGTAAGGTTACTGTCATAGATTCTCAGTGTAATATAGATTATTTTACCCACATCAGGATATTAGGAAAATTTATTGTTTAGTTGTTGATCGTCGGGTTAAATGCCATGAATTACTTGGCGGTCAAAAAGCCCCTTCGGCTTAAAAATTCGTTTGCTGTTTAATGTCGTCTATTTCTTGAAATATTTTGTTATCTTCAGATCACTTGTGTCAGTGATGGGAAAGATACAGAATTCTTTACAATGTATCAAGATTTAAAATAAATGAGGAAATTTTAAAAATTGTATGTTTTTTTTCTTTCGTTAGCCAAAGACAGTAAAAGATTTGATTGATAAGTAACAATTTTAACTATATTATTAATTACTAATAACATATCTTAACAGACCTCAAAAAGCTAAGTTTTTCTTATAACAGTAATGAGTTTCTATTGTTAAAAAGTAGCCCATTTTGTCTTCTACATGTCCACAACTTACACATTTCTTTGTATTTCCTTCAAGACTGCCATAATGAATATTCAAGTGATTTTCAAACTGGCCATTCAACATCAAGTTTTCTGTTCTATAAAACTTCTGGAAAATATATGAGAACAGACAAATCTTTTCATATGAAGTTGTTTTTGATTGTCAAAGTTCGTTTACCACAGTTAGTTAATTTGGATAAAGTGATCCAAAGTCCCATCTATTTATTGAGCAACTGGAAAGGGGTGTCAGTTTTTGTGCATCAAAGATGTGGTTAAAGGGACAGATGTGCCATTTTGGGGAGTTGATGTTAGTCTCAAATATAAGTAATAGTCTTCTGAAGTACTAGAAATGTACGAAAATCGCAAAATTACTTCAAACTGGGAATTTTACTATTTCTATAAATATATTTCTATATATCACAGAGTCATTAAACATGAGTAATTCAACACACATATGGATTTAAAGGACTCTAAGTTTAGGTGAGCTATGAACAGTATTACTGATTGGCTAAGCTAAAAATATTCCTGTTTATGAGACAAAATCAAAAATGTACAGGTTCAATATATCATCTCTACATAAAAATTTACAAGTAAGTTCTGAATTTTATTGATACAACTAATCCACTCGAAACTCATAAAAATACTATGATAGTCTTAAATTTAACTCTATTCAGTGTTACTTCCATGTTTAGCCTCATATTCTTGTTTTCGTCTTTCAAAGATCAGTCTGTGTTTTTGCTTCATGTAAGCATCTCTAACATTACTATGAACTGTCAAATCGCCATCTAAAATATAAAACAATATTATCTAAAAAGGAAACAATTTGGCGGTCTAAATAAACAGACGAGTGTTCAATTTAACATGAACAAACATAGATATAAAGGATAAAATTTCGACAGGGAGTTTTGAATGCTATTACTGATTAGCTAAGCTAAAAAATTAATGTTCTGAGACAAAGGTATGATTGGTTGAACGGATCACGAATGTGTGCCTTTAAATCACAAGATAACTACTTGAGAGGTCCAAAGGGAGTTTAACCATTTTATATTATGGTATCTCACAGAATAACCCAAAACCTACATTTGATAAACCAATTTGTTGCAGCATCTTCATAAGTTTCTTGTATGTGTTTACATCGATGATCAGCATTAGGTCCTTCATAGAATAAACATTCCTTGGCTCGTCTTCTTAAAATCCTAATAATTTTGGTATCAATTACCCTTCATAAAAGAAAAAGAAATCATTATCTTACGGTAACACATATAGATAACAGTAATTGATATAATTGGGCATGAGTTCTACTACAGTAGGTACGCAGGCTGAAAATAGGTCAGCTGTTTGAAGATCGCATTGTGTGAAACTCCTGATTGAAGTTCTGTATTAATAATTCTAATTGCAAAGTTATAATATATCAACTAAACAGTTCTTGAGTGGTCATCAAATATCAATAATGCTTAAAGAGTGCCAATAGAATGATCATACTAGCAATGGCTGAGTTTAGTAGAGTAGATTAGCATCCACTGCCACACCCCACTGTAAAACATATTTGAAAAAGTCTATCAGGTGTTATCAAAGAGGGGGCTTATGCTGAGTTAATTTATACTGCTGGTGTATTTATTTAATACCTATATCAAAATCTAAAAGCAGAGTAAAACCTGAATATTACATCAACAATATTTTCAAAACAGACAAATTTTACAATGCAGAAAAACAGAAATTGTGTGCAAAGATGTAACTTCCTTAAGTGGCCTTTAGTAATTGTTAGTAAGAATATATGAACACAATTTTATGGATAACAATTACTTTAATAAATAACTTGCGACGTTTCGACGATGATACTTTCATCTTTATCAAGCAATGATTGATAAAGACAAAAGTATCATCGTTGAAACAAGTTATTTATTAAAGTAAAGTAAAGTGTTATCCATAAAATTGTGTTCAATGTAGATGTGTGTTTTTAAAATGACATGTTTTCTAACAATTCTAGTTATTTTAAAGACATTGAACCTACCTGTCCCTGTGATACTGCTCATTGGCCTCAAACTGACAAATATAATCATTTTCATAACATTGATCAAAAGTTGGTACTCTTTGAAATCGTCTATGATAATATTTTGGTCTGTCAATGTGTGCTTGAAGTGGATTAATAATATTTTCTGCAAAAACAAAAAGTTATGTTTCAAAAACAACTAGTCTTCTTAATTTTGCTTAACCAGCTGATAGAATGTTTCACAGATAATAACAGTCATTTAATTATTGCATGCTGTTTAGCCCTGTGGACTTAACTATCTGTTTCATTTTGCAGAATGAAAGTTTTGCTTATCACTAGACCGAAACATCTGCTAATATTCCAGCCTCTGATGGTTATTTTGAAAGTTTTCGGCTAGTGTAGAAACAAAAACCACGCCAACGGCTTAATTGACCCACTTTCTTATTTCTTATCCAAACTTGGTATAGACTTATAAATTCAATTTGTGACTTGCAGAAAAATATCAAATTCGTGCTGTGCACATGTGCATTACTTTATCTAAATTTCATTAAATTTGGTATGTATGTGAGCAATCAAATTCTAAATTTGATGGAAAAATTGAATTTTTGTTGTGTGCATGCGCAATAACAACTTTCTTATTTCTTATATGAATTTCATCAAACTGGATCTGTATGTATATAATCCTATTTTAAATTTGATGGAAATACCGGTATTGAATTTTTGCGCATACCCAATACTAATTTTTTCATTTCTTATCCAAATGTATTCAAACTTGATTTGTATGTCTATAATTCAAAAGTAACTTTCGGAGTAATACTGAATTTATTCTCAGATGCATATGCCCATTACCAACTTTTTTATTTCTCATCAAACTTCATCAAACTTTGTATATATGTGAATAATCCCATTGGAAATATTAAATTTGTCTTGTGCACATGTGAAGCCTTAATATGTTCACTTTCGTATGTACCTGTTTGTTGTAACACGCCCTGCATCAGTATTGTTAAGGGAACATTTCTAGATCTACTGTAAGATTGTGTAGGTTGTGTCCTCAATCAACAGGCACAAACTTAGTCAATGGGTTACTTGCTTCAAAAGTTTATGACCTTGATCATGCCAACTTAACAGCCAATCAAATCGCTGATGGTCTAGAAGAAAATTTTTCCATCTAAAGTTTGCGATAAATCTACATAAATAGATTGTGTTGACCTTAATCAACTTTAGTGTGGATATAATGTCCTATGCATGAAGTGCAAATTTGATTAAATCCAACGTACAGTAAGCTCACTGTTTGACCATAGTAACCAAGAGACCCATTGACAAGTTGTTAGAGCCAGAGTAGACGGTGGTGTTGCCATTTGTTAGAGTATGTCTACGATTTTGACTACTGTCTGACTACATTAAGCTTTGAATTGAACTTTTTTTCTCTTAATTCATAAATATTCAAAATAAAATTTTAAACTTTATGCAATTGGTCTTAGAATGTCTTCGGGTCCATACAAATATAGAGTTCAATGATTTTACATTTGAATTTGAAAGAGACACACTTCCCAGAAATTTCACATGAAAATGACCTACCGGTACATACTACTTTTCAGATTGAAAATTTCCCACTGTAAAATCAAGCTTACAAAAAATAACTTTTCCAGTGATTAACATTTTTCATCAACCCAAAGACAATGTAAGACTATCAGTACTTATTTGGTAATTAATCTTTCAATTCGCTCGTGCCAATATTCGATTCAGAAACCATTGACATTGTAGTCAAGCAAGGAGTAGCACCAACTTTGTCCCTACCTTTGAAAAATATGATTGGGCCTTCTGTTATTAGCTTAAAATTTTGCATTGCCCTTTCTCGTGGCTTCAGTTGTGTTGGTTCAATATTAGGAGGCATTTCTGTTTCCAATTGTTAGGCTAAGCCTAGTTGGAAGTAGAAAAGAGATGAACCAAGCTCAAGAACTATCGTTGAGGTGAAGGTCAAAGCAAGTATGGTTGTCGCAAACATTTTTTACTTACCGCTGTTAATTTCAGATTCCGTCATTTTTATATTCTTTTATTTCAAATTATTTGCTTTTGATATAAATCATAATCAATATGAAACAGAAAAAATAAGCCTTCAAGACAAATTACGACATTCAGTTGTCGATATCAACTTGAGCCTCGCATTCATCTGTCTTTCTATACGTGACGGTCAGCATGGTAAGATGTCAATAAATTACTCCGAAGTCAATCCAATGCCATCCATCTCTCTCTGATACATTCTGTAGAAATTTACTCCCTCTATTGAAAGTGAAATATTTTAGAATAATCAGAAATGTATGATTGTATCCCAATTATTGTTTGGAAGAAAGATACAAAACTTTGAACAGTATTACCGATTCTCAGTGTATTTTATTTAGACAACGTGTTATGGATTCAACAATCCTATTTAATATGGCAAGAGTAGCAAGTCTTGTAAAGCTACACCTGTCTTCAAGTTAGAGTACCATATGCCGCCATAGAAAGTTTTGATCACAGTATTTCAATCTGTTGAACAAGGACTTAAGTGCAAGGCCTAAATTTTGTAAAAAAAAAAAAAAAAAAAAACTATTGCCATTGCATAGTTGTAATATACACATAAGATGCATTTCAGTTCAGTGTAGGTCTTCTATCATATTTGTAAATCGGAGCCTATTCAACCTTAACCTGTGGCTGTAACCTTTAATTTATTTCTATTATAGTCTCACCGTAAATTTTCTGCGCCTCGTCATGGCTCTAAAGGCTTTTTGCCTAAGAAAAGAAGTAGACGCCATCGTGGAAGAATCCATGCTTTTCCTAAGGATGATCCCAAGAAACCAGTCCATATGACTGCCTTTATTGGTTACAAAGCTGGTATGACCCATATTGTTCGAGATGTTGATAGACCTGGATCAAGTAGGTGGATATTTCTTTCTCTGGGGCAGTTATTACTACCTGAATTATGCTGAAATGATGATAAAGTGGAAGAACATCAGACTTCACTGGTGACACTCTCCATGCTGCTCTCCTTCTGATTAGCAACTTGAAACTTGCAATGGAATAATTTGAGTTCGATATTCATTTTCATGTATCCTAAATTGTTTTCAGAATTGAACAAGAAGGAAGTTGTAGAAGGTGTTTCCATTATTGAAACCCCACCCATGATGGTAGTTGGTGTCACTGGATACATTGAAACACCTGAAGGTTTGAAAACCTTCAAAACTCTCTGGGCTGAACATCTTAGTGAGGAATGCCGACGAAGATTCTATAAGAATTGGTAAATTGCTTTTGTATTTATATGAAATGCTTATTAATTGTTCTTTATAAAAGCAGAATTTGAAGAACTTGTCCATAATTTTGCCAAAAGTCACTAAGAACATTTATTTCACAATCCAAACGTCAAACGATTATACCTGATGTTAGAGGCACTAAAAGATAGGTTGCACATTTTGAATTTGAAGCTTATTTTGCAGATGACTCCATTTTGACAAAATTTGGCTCCGCTCAGGTTATGCTGATGAGCCAAGTTTTAGTCTTCTTTTGTAAGTCCATCTCCGCTCTTGCTTTCATGCATGATGAGGTGGATATTGTTTCCTTCCTGAAGGTCCCGATCCAAAAAGAAGGCTTTTACCAAGAATGCTAAGAAATGGAAAGATGAAGCTGGCAAAAAATTGATTGAAAGTGACTTCAACAAGATGAAGAAATACTGTAAAGTCATCAGAGTGATTGCTCATACCCAAGTAATTAGATTTTTTAGATTTATTTCTAGCAAATAGAGAAGGTTTATAAAGAATTTATCATTAAAAGCCATTTAATATCATGTGGTGGAGTCTATAAATATATTCATGGGCAAATAAACTATATAACTGTTGGATTTTTATTATAGACCAAGCTGTTGCGTCATCTTCAAAAGAAGGCCCATATTGTTGAAGTACAACTGAATGGTGGTTCTATTGCTGATAAAGTAGATTGGGCTAGACAACAATTGGAGAAACCAGTTCCAGTTAACCAAGTCTTTGAACAAGATGAAGTTCTGGATATTATTGGTGTCACCAAGGGAAAAGGATTTAAAGGTAGGTGTTGCCGTGTCACCTTCATTAGGCCTGCAATCTACTAAGGCTTGCCATTTATTGCTTGTCATATTTTCTACAACTTTCCTCATTGGGGCCTCTTTGATATCTAAAATAAGTTTTACCTAACATTTCATACCCTCTTGTTTTAAATAATTATACCATTTATTTGATGTCAATTGGTTAAATGATGATAAAATGGAAGAAATGTCAGACTTCACTGGTGACACTCTCCATGCTGCTCTCCTTCTGATACCAATGTCAAACACCAAATAACTTGACTAATTATTTTGAAGTAAATTAAAACCTCTTTGGTTCACAATTTCAGGTGTAACTGCTAGATGGCACACCAAGAAATTGCCTCGTAAAACTCACAAGGGTTTGAGAAAGGTTGCCTGTATTGGAGCATGGCATCCTAGCAGAGTTCAGTTCAGTGTAGCTAGAGCTGGTCAGAAGGGTTACCATCATCGTACTGAACTTAACAAAAAGATTTACAGAATTGGTTTGGGTATCCACACTAAAGATGGTAAAGTAGTGAAGAACAATGCCTCAACTGATTTTGATCCAGTCACCAAAGCCATTACCCCTATGGGAGGTTTCCATCATTATGGTGAAGTGAACAATGATTTCCTGATGATTAAGGGAGCTGTTGTTGGAACTAGAAAACGAGTTATCACTCTAAGAAAGGTATGTTGATTGAAGAGGATGAAATATATGATCATATCCTAAATTCTTTGAATGCATTTTCCTGTTTGTACTATGTTAACACTGAAAGCAGTATTGTAGGCAAAAGTTTGTTCTGGAAAAGATCATAAGATTAAACTGAATAATCCTGGAATGTGAACACAGCATAACTTACTTCAATTATCTTTCAGTCACTTTTGACAACATTCAGAAGGAAACATACAGAGAAGGTTGTTCTAAAGATGATTGATACCACTAGTAAATTGGGTCATGGTCGCTTCCAGACACATGAAGAAAAGAAGGCTTTCATGGTAAGTAAATTTAAGATAAGGATTCGTGGAGTTTCAAAGTAACCAGAAATCTCCGGAAGTCATGGAAAGTATATGGCTATCATATCGTATGCATGAACCACATATCGTACATTGTTAAATCCTAATGATTTAACGATTTCACATGTGGAATATTAAAATATTTGGAAATCATCCTGGGCCTGCTTAAAATTGAACAGGAACCTCAGTATACCAATTGACATCACCCATTTATTAAATTAGATATTTGTCAACCCTTGGAATTGCATGCTTATTCTTAATATTTTATTCTCTTTTCAGGGTCCACTCAAAAAAGATATGTTGGCTAAAGAAGCAACTGCCTAATTTCCAGAACAGACTTTCTTTGGGAAATAAAATCTAAGAAACTATTTACTTCTTTTTAATCCCAGTAATCCTAATCTGATAAAAATACATCTGAACATTTGGTATCCTACATTTTGTACAGTACATACATGTTCCAACTGGATTCTTCAAATTGTTTCATCAGAAGTGATCAAAATTCAAGCTGACAAGACAATTGTTGTCCCAATCTAATATATGATCTAGCACATTGCATGAAAAGACTGCTAAGACAACATGGCCTCTAGGTGCATTTGTAGTCAACTCTAGGCCCCCTATACAATTTATATCCAACATTACATTGGTTGGTCCAATGATGAGTTAGTGGGAAGTACTAATTTCATATTTGAGACTAGTATTCTTGACAATTATTTTATATTGCAAGCCAAGAAAAAAAATAAAAAGGGGACTTAACTCTATTTGTTGAAGATTTACCGCCTGCAACCAATATCTGGTGTCTTTCAATCTCAAATTAGTGGTTAATGCAAATTTTTACGCTAATAATATTTATTGGGCAAAGGAAGAAAACCCATGATATATAAACACTTTATAAATAATATCAAAACTAAACATTTCCAACCATACATGTTAAAAATACATCTTATTAAAGTACCATTAGACAGTAAATGATGTAATAAATACATTAATATCATCTAAAATAAAATGGAGTGGAAGGAAACTAAATACCATTTGATAAAATGAATGTAGGACGGAAATTCTAATACAAATATATCACAGTAATTGCTTATTGTTCGTATACACCCTAAGTCTACATTTAATAACTGAGAAAAAACACTAACTAGTCCAGAAGGGAGAGATAAGAAAATGCTAGAAATTTTTCACTTGAGATGCAAATCCTCTTGTAAATCAATACTAAAATTATCAGTCTCCTCATGGCTCTTCCATTTAAAAAAAAAAAATTGGGGTACTAAATGTAAGACTTTAAAAATACAAAACTTAAAATAATTAGGGAAAGTTAACTCCAAGACATTGCAAACGCATGAAAATGATCGGTTCAGAGAATATACAAAGTATCCGATATATATCACAGCTACTAAATAATACAAGTAGACTAATCATTACATCTGAAATCATTTGACAAAAGAAGTGTTTTAAAACAAGTAAATGTTTGATGTTTGGAAGATTACTTCGTTCAGGTTCAAGAAGTCCAAGCCATAACAACTTTATTGAAGGCTACAAAAACTCCTTTGTTAGGTTTGCTGAAACATAGAAATTGAAAAAATAGTTAAAATATTCCCTCCAATACACACTTGTGACAATATAAATCCTTTTGTGTTAGAAGTATATACATTATGTAATCTTCTCTTGATTGTTTTTCTTATGTAAGTAAAGCAGTTTGGAAGGGCTAAAGCTATATGAGCTACAGTCTGCATCATCTATATAGCTTGTATCTCACATGATTGAAAGTGGAAAAGAGGTGCCCTGATTTGCCTTATCAAAAGTAGAAAAATGTAGAATTTAAAACTTAAATTTAATTTCATTTGAATTGAGCATGAAACTTACCATTTAAAATATCTTACATCATTATATGTACCACTATGTTTTCCTTCTGAAAAATTACAAATTATAATATTATATTAGGACAATTTTAACATGGAAATCAACCCGAGTCCCCTTTCAATCAACATGGTTGGCTTGAACTGACAGTACAATTGAGTTGCATTAAGGTAAAATTGAAATCACATATATTCTCAAGTTTCCAAAGTTTAAGAAAAAATACACTACATGTGAGTTGCATTAGACTCATTGGAGGTTTTAGCCTCTATGGATAAGCATATGTTTTTCAGGAAAATATTTATGCCCTTGTTCAAAACTAATGTGGAATCCATTTTCAAGTCTACTGATTATTATGTGCTTACCTTCTTTATTTAATTCTACGCCTAAATAAACACCATTTCTACCAGGCAAATGACCAATAAATCTGACTGAACCAATACTTAATTTACCTCCTTGTCTAGAGAACTTGACAATATCATTGGTCTGTAATTCAGATGGACTGCTAGGTGCGAATGGTCTCATACCCTGTGTGATGGAACTGAAGAGAAATAGAAAATAAATCCTGTTACTAAGGAGTGGTAAAATTGGCACTTTCTACTTACTTACATAAATCATGTTTAATTTGGAACAGTGTTTTTGAAACACCTGATGATACTTGTTTGAGGAGTCAACAACTATTACGCCTGATTTTGTCCGGCTTTGTACGAGATTTTTAGTTAACAGAATTACTAATAGAGACGCTTATAAATTTGATGGCCATGGTTTTAAAACTGAGTTTCTGAATACTTTTTCTTTTCATTTTTTCATTTTTGGGCCTTTTCAACTTTTTGTTTCTGATGGACATAATATGATGCCCATCAGAAACGATGAAGCCAACTAGGCAACATGTAGGGCTACTTACTTTGTTAAGTAACCAGTACCAGTATTGGAGGTAGAGGTATATAAATGTTTATTCTGTTGGGTTATTAAGGGTTTTGGTAATACACTTCTATAACCGGCATTAGTTGGGTGTGGCGTTAGTCTTTGATTGACAGGTGCTAAACCTTCCATACTAGCTGTTGGTCTCACTATAGTTATATGGTGATGTCCATTTTCCACTGGTGATGTCTGTAATGCGTCATCATAGCGACCTGAAAATAGAAGAGACACTTGATATATTATGCACAAATGACGTGATATCATGTTTTATTTAAAACAAATTGATAAAATGATAATACAACATGCATGCAACAGAAATCACATTTCTTCATATTATGATATGTTTTGATGTCGAACGAAGGTCTGTTGTCATAAATATCAATACTGGCAATCTAAAAGATACCAATGAAATACCCTTAAAATATGATAAGCGTAAGGCCATTCTGCAGTTTTTGTACAGCTGAATCTGATGCAAAGCACTAGTGTAACTTTCACAGTAGGTCATTTGGCATAAGGCATATCTAATGTTCAAAACATAAAGGTCAAGGCCAATAAGGAACACACATAGTGTAAAAAAAGAAATTTTACCTCTGCCAAGCACAGATTTTGACCTCTTCCTGTACATAGTGCTATATCCCTCATCTAAATCATCTAAAGAATCATCAGAACTGACAGAACCTCGGCGCTTCCATTCTGTTCGAGACCTAGATCGTGATGATAATCTATCCATAGGATCTGTAACTGTTAATAATGTATCAGTTGGTGTATCACTGATGTTACCATCCAATAACTTCCTACCACTATCTCTGTCTCCTGAAAGGTTTAAAAACTAAAACTTTAGAGTTTAGGCTGATGTATTTGCTTAATATTTAACTATATCCTTGTCAGTAATGCAGGCCATATGGTAATCATGGGAAAAGGAATATTGTGTCATCTGGATGGGGTAGCTAATAACAAAAACTTGACAGCTTATGGTTTTGTCCTAAAAAAAGATTTTCCCATTGTACAATGTGTAGAATTGCCTAATCAAGGGCAAAAATTACTGCAAATAGATTACAAATAATAAATATAATAGCACACTTCTGAAGAAATTTTGTATTTTCTATAAAAAAGCTTTAATTCTTCATAGCAAATGTTACAAATTTAATATTCTACACCAGCCCAGAAAATCTAGAAAAACATTAAGGTTAATTTTGTAGCATAAGCGTTTACCTGAAATATGTTAGTATTTCAAACTTTGACAAAAATCCCTAATGGCTAAGAAAGGCAGTCTATCTATGTCCTAAAGCTTTAAGAATATAACACTAATATCTCCTAATATGCTATCAAAGGACCATTAGGCCTAGCTGTATTATAAAGTCCATAGAGTACATTGACATTTTTCTATGATACACTATGGTAGTGTTATGTTACTATGTCACTTTAATTATTATTTATTCATATGGTATACTATCAATAACACACCTTGGGTCTACATGAATTCTACACATTAAAGGTATGTCACAGGTAGTAAAAGTTCACCTTTGACCTGATCTCTATAGGATTACCGAAACAAAGATCTCATAATAATCCTATTCTTGAAGTAGACATTATATCATTTTGACGATTAATCCTTAAAATCAAAAGAAAATCAAAATTCAAAATATGGTTTTCTTTAATAATTATTAATAATTATCTTGCATGCAGACCATTGCATTAAATCAACTAAATTCATAATCTGTGTACATACATACTGGTATACCATTTAAAACTAAAAAAATGTACTAGAATAAACCATAAAAGCATAACATGAAAAATGTTTGTGCTCACCTTAGATTAGCTAATAAAGACTAGCACTAGATTATATTAATGGATAAAAAGTATTATGTTTAATAAGAGATCAGATTAAACGTATACCAACAAGTCCTGACCTGCCTCTATAATCCCTCACTTTTGATTTTTTATTAAGTAGTATATACAAGCTTTGTCCACATTTGTACTATGAATATATTTTCTATTGTGGAATTGTTTTTTAAAAACTTTAATTGTAAAACATATTTTTTTTATATTAATATAATATCTATTGTATATGAGCAAAAGGCATTAGATTGTTCCCATCGACCAATAAGAAGAGGTCTTATGTGCTATGGGCTGTGCATCACAGTATGCTGGTAAAATTGACCTCATTGCACACTGCATATCATTATAATGGAACTGCAGAATAGTAGGATGCAAAAAAATTAAATTTATTTTAATTTGTTAGTAAGTTATTAAACACTAATTTTAAAAGCCTCTTGAATGTAAACTTTTACAAAATGAAGCTTTAACAACTTCTATGATTTATTAAGCTATCTATATAAAATATAATCTGACTACTGTAGATTCTAGATGTAGTTTACCACAAGTTGATCTATATCTAGAAAATATTCTAGAATATTCAAAATTAGGTTCTGATGCTGGTCTATAGATACGACGTCTTTGTGTATCTGTATAATCACCAGTGCTATGATAATGTGATGTCACTATATCTAAAATTAAGATTTGGATAGGAAATCGTTTATTCTCGATTATTTTAGGGTTGTTGCTTGAAAATGTTTAATGCTTTTGGACTAATATTTTTAACCAAAATGATCCTTATGAGTACAAAATCCTGTAAAAAGATTTTAAGCATTAGCTTAATTACATTTTTGTTTGAAGCAAAATCAGTACTGGAAAAAGTACCAAGACTTTTTTTCACCGCTTTAAAAGTATATGGCAGTAAGTAGTTCTTATTCAAAACTTAAAGACTGAAATTAAGAATTTTTCTTCTGAATACTGTGTAAGCTTTGGATGTCAATTTTGACTTATACTCAAAATGTTGAGGATATATTTTATGCGATAATTCAAATTGATCTTAAATTTATTTTTGTCCATCTTCAAAATATTATCCCAATAATAGATAACTTTGATTTTAGAAAGAATATTTTTCTGATGTAGCATTGTTTATCTTTAAGAATTTTTGAAGTAAAAAACATGTTCTTACCACCAGCATTAAAAGCTGAATATTTATTTAATTCTGGTAAACCATTAGTATCTGCTGTTTGTGATAAATCTGTTAAATTCTGTACAGATCTAGATCTATATCTATATGGTGTCTGACTGGTGTAACTGAAATCTATATTTCCTGGTAAACTATTGGTGCCATCTGAAATATTGAGTTGACATGAAATAAGCATCTAAATATAAATTGAACTCCATGCTAATACAAATCTATCCAAAATGGCCATTTTAGGCCTGCCAAGTCACATCATGTTAACATTACATCACTGGGTCTATACATCCACTGATATAAATTGAAGTTTAAGTCCTTGTAACAACACTATGAATATCAAAGAAAAGGCACTGGCCAAGGTGAATTTCAGTCAATTCAATACACAATAAAGTAATAATTATAATTATTAAATGATAACATGAGGATCTATAATTTGCTTACCGTCAATGAACTCCCTGCTTCCTGTTCTCATAGATTCATCTACATTTCTATTGTAACCATTAGAAAGATTTTTTTCTGAGTACCTTGATTTATAGAGATCACCATAATTCGGTGATGTGTAACCATTCTGCATTGCTGATGTGAAACTTTTCTCTACCTGTGATCCATAACTTTTCTCATAAGGTGGCACATGATATATTTCCTGATGTACTGATGTAACATGACCTGTATCTCTGGTCGGTGATTTGTAATTTTCACTTCTTGTTGGTGATCTGTAAAGGTCACCAAGCAATGGTGATCTATAATGTTCTGCTTTCACCGGTGTTCTGATAATTTCACTGTTAGTATGAGTAGAATGAATCTACAATAAATTTAATCATCAGATTTATGTTGGAACTTTTCATAAACTTGCATGGGCAATGAGGTAAAAATTTGAGGATAGCAAATGACAGGACTATAACTGTTATAACCAAAACGTAAAGTATTAAGGGATACAAGCAGACGGGACTTTCGGAAGCACAAGCATCAAATTTTTCTAACCTTGAGAAGTTTTCGCACCCACAGCCCCTTAAAGCCTTGAAGACAACAATCCAACTCTCTACTGACTGAGTTATTCCTTTGCTATGGAGTTCTCAGATATTAATAGGAAAAGTTAACAACAACATTACACCCTTATTGACTGGCAGGAACAATTTTCAAGAAACCTTCCAGGTCAGTCCAATATTAAGATACCATACCTTATATTTATAGGGACAATATCTATCATCATGCTGGCCTTGTTTATTAAAATGTCTATCATTCTGGTAAACTGTATCGTTATTTTGCTTGTCCCTTCTGCCCAATTCAGACGACATCAACTCATTGCTTTCTGTTAAATTTCTATTGGCACTCTCTAATTCAGCTGTAAAAATAGAATTTATACTTATATTCATATTAACTAGTTAACTGATTTGGAAAATTTATATTTTAAATGGCAGCATTGCATTCTCTAATTCTGTAAAAAAAAAACCTAATCAAAATTAAACTGAATTTCAAACTGCTTGAATAAAAATCTGAGTTTTTGGTACTGGTTTAGAAATGTTAGACTGGTATACCATCAAGTGGTAACCTACATACCAATTTTTTTCAATAAGGCATTTATATCAGGTGGATTTTCCATTTGGTTTCTGCTTAATTTATTCTTTAAAAACTGTATTTCATCATTTAATCTGATTACTTTGGTAGCCATTATATCTTTTTCATTGGTCAGTTGTACAAATTTTCTTTCATACTGAAAAATTTCATATTAAAAATGAATATTAGGCAGGAATTTCATTGAATTGTGCATCACAAATGTAAACAAATAGGAAAGAGCTTTCCTGATAAGAATTTGTTTGTGTGTGTGTACAGATGGCTATGAGCTTATGTTCATTAGATTTGAGTCTTAAAACTGTAATATATTTTGGTTTTGACTTTTCGCTCTGATTATGCTTCCTTTGCTCAAAGTCCTCATTGTGATCCTAAATTCCAAAGCAGCTATCCTTACAACAGTTTAATATTTGATACACATCGATGATATATATCAGTATGATATGAGTTATTTTTCCAATACACACAGTCATATGTATGTAGAGGATAGTTAACTGGACATCAAATGAATACTAATACTGTATAATTGTGAATACAACGCACACCCATTCTTATGCTCCATTAGATATAAAAAGATCTATTTCATTATAAATATACACAATAGCTTACCTCAGATGTGTGAGTATCAGTAGATCCCTGTAGTTTTAATCTTTCTATTTCATCTTTCAATGACCTGTTAATTTCTCGTAGCTCTAACATTTCTCTACGTAGATCTTGCAGATCATTGTCCCTGGTGTCTAGAAGTTTCCTTAAACCAGCTATAGTATCTTCTAATCTTTTTCTCTCTGCCTATTGAATATAAATAATCATTTAGAGAGAGCATTGTTCTCCTAGATGACATCCTCGAGATTAAGTGAGTCTTTAAAGAGACAAATGCGCAATTTGTTTTACCAACCGTATCTTAGTCTCAGAAATGGGAAAGTTTAAAAGACGAGTCAACACTGCCATATATAGAAAATAAATCTATAGAAGTAAGAAAATAAATTCCCAGTTTGATATATGTTTTAAGGAATTATGCGATTTCCGACATTTATAGTACTTCTGTAGACTACCTACTCAAATCAACCTGTCAAAATGGCGCACCTATCCTTTTAATATAGCCTATGAATTCCAAATTTCAAATTGATTTTATCTTTAACAAAAAATTTATACTACTTTGCTTTTGATGTCCCTTGATTTTAAAAAAAAATCATATGGATTGATTTAAAGATGGACTTGCTCCCAAAAGTGGTGTAAAATAATAGGAAATAATAACAAAAGAAAATGGTTACGGAAAAAAAATTAATAACCTCAAGATTCCACTTATCAGAACTCATTTGCAGAGCTTAAAGGTAGAAAATGAAATGATAAGTTTAAAGGGACAGATGGATATAAAGGCTTAAATTTCGACGGTGAGCTGTGAACACTATAACTGATTGGCTAAGCTAAAATATTTCCGTTTCTGAGACTTAAGTATGATCAAAAAAAAAATTGTGCATCTGTACCTTTAACAACTACAATGATGTCCACTATATCAGATATATAACTCTTGTCAGTCTTACTTACCTCAGCTAATCTATTATCAACTGGAGCTGGTGTGGGTGTTCTAATATAAGCTTGAGGGATAGGAGAAGTTGCTCTATTGACTAATATTGGACGAGCTTTATATGGAGCATGATAAATCCTCTCACTTGTCTCTTGAATCAAACTATTTTGGACTTCTTGACTGTCTCTTCTCTCTATGGATCCTTTGTTGTGCTCTCTAGTTTGTGGTTGGTTCTCCACCGTGCTGACCATTCTTGGATCAATTGGTGATGCTTCACGTTCTTGAACTTTCTGTAGTTCAGGAAACGGATCATACTCTGGTTTCTCCTTGTCTGTAAGATGTTTTTCCAGGTAAAACTGATCTGTGACGTCTGTTAAACCAGTTCTAGAAGTTTCCCACTCATCCAAGTTGTACTTAGTATATGGTGTCCTTTGTGATCCATACAACATTTTAAACAGATTTTTCTTGAAAATCGGAACATGTTGGCCTGATTGAGGTTGGGAACTGGTGGAACTTGACAATCTGTCATCATGGAGTTGATTACCAGAAGATTTAGAATATTCAGAGTGAATTTTACCATTATCATTAACATATGTCTGTCTTTCTATAGTCTGATGGCGTTGAGGATCTCTATATTTTGAGGTATAACCTTGTTCCATGCTGTCAGGGTGTTGATCAGGGTTTTCTAATTGGTTATTGGTGATGTGTGTCTCAGTTACAGTGTATGTTTGTTGTGAGTCTACTTCATCAGCTTTATCATCTGTAATATTAATAACAGCTATCAACTATGTAGAATCTCCACAATAAATTTGAGGGTTATCATACATCAAACTTTATGAATGCACCTATCCAAATGTAAAAATACTTGCATAAAAATTTCTTATAAAATGAGGGTAAAGTTATAGGAATATAGCCTACCTGTAGGCCTACATTAAGTAGTATTTCAATATTTTTGAACCTACTCTCTTAATGCATTGAGTCCTATTTGAACAGTGAAAGAATTTATCAGTATTGTGAACAAGTAGCTCAATCAAAAACACAAGGAAAAGCAGAGAGGTATAGACATAAAAGTGTCTATTTCACCCTGTAAAGGAGCTTATGAAAATGATATTTTTGTGAAGTTGGATGAATTTATGTTCAAACATATACACAAATAGCAGAGAAGTCTGATTATAAAACAATTGAAAGATAGCTTGCCAGGCAAGGTAACAAACATCGACCACTGGCAGCTGTCAGAAATGATAATACAGTCTTTAGTGACTAAAGTATGAATTTTCCGATATTAAAGAAATTTTAATAGTTTGAATTCAATGATATATATATTTACTGCCAGTTATTTATGCGAAGAAATACCAACAAATTTTTAAAAATCAATATCAATACCCCAAATACATCAAATTATCTCATCCATATACATGATCACACCATGTTTCATTAAAAACTGTAATGTGTTCACCAACTAATTTTTCATGCGTTTTTCCTAAGTCAAGGGCAATAACTCAAAAATCGTTCATCAAAAAATCATCCAGTTCAAACATGACCAAGATCTCATCAATATAAATGATCACACCAAATTTCATTAAAATCAGTTGAAAACTGTAATCTCTATTGTGTTCACAAACAAATTTTGACGCGTTTTTCCTAAGTCATGGGCAATAACTCAAAAACTGGTCATCGAAAGATCGTCAAATTTAAACTTGACCAAGATCTCATCAATATAAATGATCACACCAAATTTCATTAAAATCAGTTGAAAACTGTAATCTCTATTGTGTTCACAAGAAATGTTGATGGACCGATGGTCGACGGACAGGGGCGACGACAATATACGTCCACATTTTCATGTGGGCGTATAAAAATTGGCTAACTCCTTCACCACCTACCAAACTTTACTCTTTGTTCCCACTAAATGATTTACAACAGCAGTCACTATAGTGCAATGACTTATAAACCATAATATCGTCACTATAAAATAATCTTCAGTGATATAACCAAGACTTTGACACAGATTCCTGATGCAAAGCATGAACATTTGTCATAATCGAGAAATGGTAAGCTATATAACGGTAGGCTACATATGTATCCAAGGTAAACAACAATAATAATATCAGACCAGAATCGGTAAGCTTATATTCCAATGATACAAGCTCGGGAAATAGGCTACGTTGATTCACAAATATGGACTATACGCTCCTTATATCGTATCCAAATCTATCATAAACCAATGCAATAAAACTTTGTGAAATAGTAATCCAATATGATAGATTAAGCCAACTTACAATTACAGACATACAGAGTTTGCCACACAATTCATTCATGTCGGGATGGTCCGATTCACTGATCCAATTAGCGCTGAGGCAATGACAAACTCAAAAGACTGATCGGAAAGCTGTAAACGCCAAATGTGATCACCGAACACAGGGCTCATAAAAGTGCGAAAAGATATGATTTCGAAATGGGTAATTCCGTGGCAGATTTTTACTTATGTACAAGCAGGACAGAGGTAGCCTTAACGTATGTACAGTTTTTGGAATAGTCACTTTATAGCCAACTACCTATATGTGAAACGACTAGTGGCTTTTAGATATGGAATACAACATATCTGATCATAAACGGTTAAACACGGTGATCACTATCAAACTGGTAAGAGATTCGGATTAAAAAACCATTTCAAATCATTGAACCGTATGAGTAAATAATAGATGAAACATAATGATGTCGTGCCAGTCTATTATTTTAAGCAAATATTCTATTTTATATCAGGTCACGTGATTTCAAATCAATATAATATGATTGTAATATCAATAATGGTGCCAATAGCCTCGGCGTTTTAGTGCTATTATAAAAGCATGCTGCTTCCCATGGACGTGGGGTTGCAGTGGTTTTTCTGTCCAAGTATGAAGAAGCAGTATATGTTAACAATTTTTTACAAAGATTTATCTTACAAATGATTGGCAATAGATTGAAATAAAAAAAGGAATGAAATTATATTATATACAAGTTCCTTAATATAATATTTTTTGATCCGGGGTAGACCACGTCATGCAGTATGCAATGAGAGATTTTTTACATTTTTTTTTGTCAATTTCAACTTATGAGGATGGTTCCACCAGAATTACTGGACGTTTTCTGAATGTCAATCCGTCGTTTAAATATCCAAAGGAACTACTGTAGTAATCTCGCCCTCTGCATAAATGCGCACAAAATATAATTATATTCACTTACCCTCTTTAATATACAAATCTATTTCAAACGTGTAGTTTTTAACTTCGAAATTTTCCACTACGAAACTTTTATCACCAATATCCAGTTGACCGCTGTATGTTCCTTGAGGAATGAACTTATCTTCGGAATAAAATGCCTTCTGTTTGTCGTCCCAGTTCAACCAAATCTCACCGTTCTGAAAATAATCCCAAACAATCTATCATATCAAATCAAATCAGAAAGGGCTAATTAAACATTTTAATTAGATTGAAAGATAGTTAATCTGATAATCTAATGATTGAAAAATCGCGATTTTGTTAATCTAATTAAAACAATAGTGTTAAATTAAATGTTTTGTAACAGGGATATGGAACTCTGGCGTGTATAATGTTACCATGTAAATGATATTGGGTAAATAAGATAGGTCTACAAAGTCATTTGCAATCAGAGTACAGATACAATTTCATTAATATTCGGATCGATAAATTCCAATGGGCCACTTTTTCTTAATCTTACGGCATTTGCGATTAATCTGGGTTCACAAAATGGTATGATAATATTGAAGCTTACTGGTCTGTAGCTAGGGTAAAAAACAACATCAACATCAGTTGCAACTTCTAAAACTTTGGACCATCGAAATTTGCCGGTCACCGCAGAACCCATGGCCTTAGCTTTTGCTGTAGTTGTGTCCATGGTCGTGGTTTCACTGAGTATAGTCTCTTCTGAAATGGAGAATTGGAAAAAAGAGAGTTCTGGCATATAAAGGGGGAGGGGGTAGTCATATTTTTTAATGTAATTCTCAAGGTGTCGTGACGTGACTTATCTCTTGCACAAGACTTGCAATGACGCTATTGTCGCATTACCAACTTCTTAAAAATCTGAAGGAGAATTTTACTTTGTAATCTAGCCTACTTAAATATATTCCCAAGCAACAGACCTGATTTTTTTTTATTCCGATCTTATCACAATAATCACTATTCTGTTACACATTTTATCACGAAACGATCACAACTTTACCAATTAAAGTCTTTAAAATTTTAAATCCACTTGAATACGAAATAAGATCTACATGTAAAAGTCTCAAATTCTACCGAACAAGCATAAACAAGTTAGAGAAAAAGAAATAGAAAGGTAGACATATCATATACCAGCTCAATAACACTTTATCTACAATAGACCGTTATACTATGACTTCTATTCATAATCTAAAGTGGGTTACAATTGCTAATCAAGCGTTATATAGTAATAAATAATACGTTCCATTGTGTAGAACTAAAACTTCAATATCAATACAAAATGGCAGTTAGGGAAAGTCAAAATAACAAAACAGCATTCCACATATTGTTCCCCCATTCATAGTTACACCTTTGTTATTCTTAAGGCCTTAAATTCTTTTCTAGGGCTTTTGAAATATAGGCCTAGTTTGTTTGTTAAATGTGACAGACAGGGTATGTTGTGATGGCTCTCTATCTACACGTATGTCTATTCTCTTTCTCTTTACTAATCAATTTTTCATCTCTTAAATACTAAACTTTTCTTATAGCTAATACTCCTTTTTCTCTTTATGAAATATTTTCTTATATATATTACTTCTCTTTCTCTCCATCAAATATTCTCTCGTATATCTCACTTGTTCTCGTTATCAAATATTCTCTCTGATATCGTACTTCTCTTTCTCTTAATCAAATATCCCTTTTTATGTCTCAAACACTCTTATTTTCTCACGTCTCCTTCTCTTCATTAAATATTCTCTTATATACCTCGCTTCTCTTTCTCTGCATCAAATATTTTCTTATATGTTTCACCTTTTTTAGTCTTCACTAAATAATCTCTTATATATCAATTTCTCTTTCTCATCGTCGAATATTCTCTTATAAATATCACCCCTCTTTCTCTGAATTAATATTCTCTTAGATATGTTACTTCTATTTCTCTTCATCAAATATTCTCTAATAATATAGATATCATTTCTCTTTCTCTGAATAAAATATTCTCTCAGATATCATACTTCTCTATCTCTTCATTAAATATTCCCTAATATATATTATATAACTTTTTTGTCTCTTCATCGAATATTCTATATTAAATATCACTTTTCTTTCTCTGCATCAAATATTCTCTCAGATATCTCACTTCTCTTTCTCTTTTCCAAAATATTCTTTCATTTATCTCATACCTCTCTCTCTTCAATTAATATTCTCTTACATATCCCATTTATTGATCTCTTCTCCTAGTATTCTCTCATATAAATCACTTTTCTTTCTCTTCATTAAATATTCCCATCATATATCTTACTTCTCTTTCTCTTCACCAAAAGTTCTCTTTTCTTACTTCCTTACTCATTAACATAAAATCTGTCATCATTTTATTTATCTCATTCTATAGACCAAGAATAAATGGGCACAGAGGCTGATTTGCGGAGACCAACAGAGATTGTTTCAAAATAAGAATAAGATACATTTCGGTTACAAATATTTTTATGTTAGATATTTTTTATGTCCTTTAACATATTCATTGGCAACCTTACAGACGTATAAGGATTTTCAAATATGTATATGATGTGTACGTAGCTTACCTTGAATTGGTTCGGGATCAACTGGACTTCCGTCACCACCATCAAGGAACTTGAAATGTTTTAGCATCTCTTCGGTGTACCAACTTCAACAAATATTATGAACACTCCTATATAAATGAACAAATATTGACTGCTTGGTAAAGTTTCTACCATCAGTTAAATAAAGCGTTTTTCTATAAGAATATTTAAAGCGCTTTACATTTCTATAAATATCTCAGTCAAGTTCAAACTAAAGTTATTATGATTACATCCGGATAAAATAAAGTAGTTTTGACTCCACGTTCAAATGAGGATCACACTATTGCAGAGTGACGTTAGATGTTCCACAAGATCAACTTAGGACCAGACTGTTCTATGTTGTTAAAAATAATGAGTTATCATATTAGCAATTGTATGCATAACTATTTAGCTTATATTGTGAATTTCAGCGATTGTACTAAAACTAAGCCCACCTCCTACTGCCGCATTGTAATTAAGTATATTATGGGATATATAGTATAATACCATTACTAATTAAATAGCACACAAATTGAATACATAAACAAACATATAAACTAAGAACATGAATAGGGTCCAAATTATCTAAGTGATATGATTAAATGATTCTTACACAAACTTTAAATGTCCACTGCGCTACCTAGTCCTCCACGAACATAGTGTAACCTTTGCTCACCTGTTTAAAGTATTCCTGTTGTTTATGGAGGACTTCGTTTACTGCTATTCATAGATATTCAGAAAATCATTCAAACACTAATTGCCATTCACGAGGTATTTAGAATATAGGTAATGATATACAGTCAGTAGCAAATAGATAATAACATATCCTAATCCCCTGATAAGAATACATGCTGGGGTCATTGAAGATTTGACATTGACTTTATTAAAGGTATGGTTATCACATTTAAAGAAACATAGTCCTGAATTCAATTCAACCCATATATTTCTATTCACTTCATGTCCTAACGAAATCGTGCATGAAGTTCTGTGTAAAAGTGTACAGGTCCATGCAATTAAAATTATCGATTTTGTTTGCAATTGTTTGTCTGAAATCGGATAATATATTACGCCTACGTAGCAAATTGGTGAAGTGATTGATTGAAATTTAATTTGATTACAATGCTATCCAACCGGATTAGTCTCACCAACCCAACTTCTTTAATCATCGTGGGTTTGATAAGTGATATTTATTTAGTCATTGTAAAATTTGAAATGGATATATTATCCGTTGAAGTAAGACGAGTTTTTAGTCCTTGGATCAAAGTCGTTATCAGGGTGCTAATTTTCTAGGAAGGTTTAGTGGAATTTATTTTTTCGAACAAATTCACCACTTTTTACGAGAGACGAGGGAAGGGGTTACATACTTAACTACTGTTCTAGTGCAAGGGGATAACTATTTTTAATCAGATTTCCTTAAAATTAAGCCACATATGTTCTTGCGTGTTTCTTAATGCTCTGGACCCACTGGAAAGGGTTTGATTGACTATTTCGATGAAAAATGACAGTTCGTCTTAATGGTTCTGCCAAACGACGTATATGTTTATATAATTTACATTCCAATTTCTAGTTTTTCAAGGACTGTGCAAAATGCAAAAAAAAAAACCAAAAAAAAAAACCTGGAACAGGAGACAGTATAAAGTCTAATAATTCGAACCACATTTCTGAACATATGTGACTCAAATATCATTATCGCCATGTAATGTGAGTATTTTGTCCAGAGTAATTCAGAACTGTGACAAACAACGTTTCGTTTAATTAATATACAGATTCGGTGCAAGATCTAGATATTTCCAAAATACAACAAGAAAATCCACACTTTAACGAAGAGATTGATGGGGATAATAATGGGATGGTAAAAAGAACAACAGAACATGGTTTAAGGAGAAATATTATAATATATGATATCTTAAAGATATAAAGATATATTTGGATGTAATTATGTACACCATATTTACAATTTCACACAGAACTGGGTTTCTACAATTTCAAACTAAGTACAAAATATTTTACTAAGGTATTGACAAAAATTTCACATGAAAAGATTCCATTTGGTAAAACAAATTATTAAAATCCTTTTTTAATCAAAAAATAATTGACCTAAATTTAGATAAAAGAAGGGATGAAATCCAGTCGACCGACAGAATCTGAGAGCAACATTAAGTTATTTTTCCGGTAGTACTTGAACAAAGGATTCAAATTTTACTCATACAAATAGTCAAGAGTCTCAGCTTAAAATTGAAAATTTACCAAAAACCTTGGTGAAATATTTTGTTTTTGTACACACATAATTCAAAGGTAGCAAAAGATATGATAATAAAGTATAGTAATTCACAGGTATTACATGTATAAGGCAACAAAATATATGATTTGCTATATTAAAATACAGTTGATCTGTTCGAACCAAGCGTTGAATCCTATAACCAGTTGATAAGGTTCAGCTTTTCTCACAATTTAGAATTGAAATCTGACTACTCCACTTTCAACTTTCGTTGAATTGTAGTAGAATTGGATTGCCGATAGAAGATTCGTCACTGACACTGTTTTGTCAGATATGCAGAGATTCCATTTCGTCAGATATCTGAAATCCTATTGTGTATCATGAGATAGTAAGACATACCAGGTATAAGAAACATCCACATCAAAATTTACCATTTTGTCACAGAGCAGGACATTCGGAAGTTACAGAAATCACGACAGCAAGGTACTAAAAGAAAGGTTCACAGTTAAGGTTCCTTGGCCAAACGTATTTGCATTGATCTTTCCAGAATTATCCGTACCCATTTACAGTTGGGTCGACTGGAATTATGGTAAATATTTAAACATGAAGAGATGCAAGCCTACCGTTAAAGTAGATATACAAAAATCTCTACAACGAGACATACTGTTTGGTAGATATCTAGGCACAAAGACATACTGTTTTGGTAGATATCTAGACACCAAGACATACTGTTTTGGTAGATATCTAGACACCAAGACATACTGATTTGGTAGATATCTAGACACCAAGACATACTGTTTTGGTAGATATCTAGACACCAAGACATACTGTTTTGATAGATATCAAGACACCAACAGATCAACTGTATTCTAAAGGACAATCATTTGCAACAAAATCCAAGTTTTAAAATAATGATAAGATATAATGATTAGATCAATGTACTAAATACGATATGCTGATATTGAAACATATATATATGGTTCTTTGCTTCACTACAATTTTGAAAGCTTTCTACAAAAGCACTTATACATTCTCAACGTTGGCGTTGGTCCAGAATGTTAACAGGAGAGGGCTTACACAAGCAGCTATTGTTGATTATTGAAAAGCTAGTAAAGATGGACAATTGTGACTTTGCTAGTCTGGTTGGATAATAGATCCAATGATAATGAAACCAGCTGGCCACTGAACCCTCAAGTTTGGCAGCAGAAAGAATCCGTAACAAAAGTAGAGCCAATTGAACCTTCAAGTATGATAACAAAAGCATCAAGGTTTAGAGAAGAAAGTGCCGTTCCATGGATTATAAATGCTTATATCTTAATTACATCACACAACAAGTCTTGAACAAGAGCTCCAGCAGCACCAAATGTCCATGGGTAACAATAAAATATTATGCTTTCAAAATAATGGAGGATTTCCAAAGTAAAAATATAAGGAACATATTGGCATTAAACAATTTTTCTTTTTGATTTGCTTACAGTTCAATTTCTATGCATTTATATCCATAAATAATCACTATAATTATTGAAAAGGAGAAAAGTTTAGATGAAGATGACACTTAAACTATGGAGAAAAAGAACATGGAAAAGTGGAAAACGTAGAGAATATATGTTATAAAAATAGCAGTTTGGGGGCCAAGCACTTAAAAAATACACTCAAACAGGGATTTTCCCTTCAGCAAATTTTTGACAATGCATGGAGCCCTGGCAGTGTCAAACAAATGCTGTTCTTCTAAATCACTATAACACTTAGAAAGAATAAGATAAGGGGGATTTCAAGAACACATCTGACTTCTCAAGTCCACCATTAACAGAGCATGGCTAAAGTAATAGTTTGATTTGAAGCAATGGTCAGATACATTAGACCCAAAATATTTTAGATTTAGATATGCAGAAATAGAGCTGCATTGGTAAGATTATGGTAGAAACTTTTAAAAGTGTAATTCTCATCATTGCTTTTGGATTTTGAATTTTCTAAGATCTTAACTTCAGAATTCCTTAGAAATATCCAAGTCATTCATGATTCCTTTGACCATTTTCAGATACAAAAATTCTTGTAATCAAATAGAAATTATTGAAACAATGAAGTTCTTAGTATTCTTAGATTTATATAGAAACAGCCTAAATAAAATTGGAAAAAGCTAGAGATGGTCAAATTTGTATTTAAATAGATTATCAAGCCAAATCAAAATTTGAAAAACTACAAAAGCACAAAAAAAGCCCTGAAGGCAATGTATTCTTTCTATTGTAAATATAATGCCCGTATCGGGCAGTAAATTTTCAAAAAGCACAAGAATTCAAAGCTATAACACCTAACACATGACCAAAAAATGTTGGAAGCAAAATGTAACCACATTCTGTAAGAACACGTTATTTATATTCAACTAGGCAAAAATACTCTAATGCAGATGGTTCTTTATCAGAGGAAAAATATTCAGTTCTCTAATAAGCCATAAATAGATGATCTCTTTTGCTTTTCTAATGATCTTATTTTAAATATAAATTTGTCTATTGTCCTCAAGAGATAAATCCAACCCTATATAATGACAATGCTTTTTATCTTTTTGTGGAATTTTGTGGTTTCATTTTGCTAGAGTTCCCCTTCACCTAGCCTGAGAAATAAATGTAAAATAAATATCAAAATTTGTTAACAAAAAACTAGCACTAATTCTGTAACTACAATAAAATGAAAACTTTGGTATAAATATAAGGATTAAACAAAGATAGAAATATAGCAAAATTTAGCAACTTGAACAAGGTTATTAAATTCTTATATTGAACAAATTTGTTATAAAATAAAATACATCTACATAATATATGAATGAAAAGCACAATTTTAACAGACATAAACTAAGTAAAAATAACATTTAATAATGGAAAACTATCAATATATTAAATACATGGATCTATTTTCTATCGCAAGGCAAGAGAGTTGTCTCCCTGTTAAATACCTTCAAGAAAGAGTATAATACAATCACTTTTAATTCCTTTTATTCTTAAATGTACATGTACATTAACAGATTTTCTTCAAAAACACACCAAAAAGTACATTGTTTTAATACCCAAGTAGGTTAATGCTTGGAACTTTCTGATTGCTTTTAAAAGAAACATCAACATTCCATAGTTGACAATTTAATGCATTTATTTCTTTTAAATGATAATTCAGATATGATTTTGATCGCCTCTTGCTGTGACCATACATTCTATGCTCTTAATGCATTTCAATTAATTATGACAAAAATATCTTATCTTATTATGGTAGGAAATGCATTATATATTTTAGCGTATATATTACCAGGATGGTATATTGCCCTACAAAAAAATATATCAAAAATCTTAATGTCTTCTAAACTTTTCAAATGCCCAGCATTTAACAAATACAAAAAATAAAAATCACAAAAAAAATCTGTCTTCTCTGAAATTTGCATCAGAATTCTCGATGCTTTTTGTTGGGTTAGGTTTATTTCAGTATATATCTATGTACATACATATCGTTACTTGTATATAATTTAATAAAGGCCAAGATTCTTTAGTCTATCAAACAGCAGTGGAACTCTTCGGTTTGTTTTTTCCCCTTCGCTGGGCTAGACTGGAAGCCCCCACTGGGTCTAGCACTGGGCGTAATTTGGTATTACCATTCAATGCATTAAATGTTGCTGCCATAGCCCCCTGAAAAATAGAATAAGGAACATGGAATTGGATTTGGAATTCATTTAAAACTCTCCCCTTTGAAAGATGTATCTCCGAATATCGCATTCATTTAGAAAGGTTAAGTGAAAGAGAAAGTGTTCACAAACGAAATTTGTTGAAAAACAGCTAGCATTGCACAAGAGAAATGAATTCTCATTAGTCTCTACCTTTTAAATACATGTATTGGTTATTGACTATAATATCATGGTCCCTTTCAAACAAAAACTAATTTTAATGGGAATTATAGAACCACAGATGTCAGATGGGACATCAGTAGCATCAAGTTTTCCAATACATATAAAAAGGCAGTTAACTTTTCCTATCTTGCATTCTTGGTATTTTCTTTATATCTATACCATCTATGATAAATATATAGATGGAAACCTTGGGTTGTTTCTTGAAATCACAAACATTTAACAACCTCTTGTTTATATTCTGTTGCAATAAAACTTTTAAAATACACGTCAAAAATATATATAATTAGTTTTAAAAACGTACAAAAAAGCAGCATTCACCCAGGACATATAAATAAGCAAAGTGAAATTATGCAAGGAAACTAAACTATAAAGCTCAAAGATATCACTGCTACTACAGAACAAAGAATGGTGTCAAGAATATAAGTGATACACTGAATAAAATCTAATGTATTTAAAAGATAAAAACAAGGTTTTGATAAGCGACCAACATAAACCTGCCCCAGAAATTATATTAAAAAAAATCATATCCTAAATGCAGATTATCAGTCAAATCACGTCTTTCAATTTGTAAATAATGTCTAAACTACAACTGTGTTCAAAATGTATTTAAGAAACCAATTTAAGATACAAATGTTCATCAACAATGGATGAAAAGACCACATCATTTATCAAGTCAAGGGCAATAACTGATCGAGCATATGTATTTCGAGTTTCATCAAAATAAGGGGGAAAATAGAAACACAGCAATTTTGTAAATTTGACTAAGATTTTTCGCATAACATTTGTCCATCAGTGTATATCTTAACAAAGCAGAATATAAATTATATTAGCAGAACTAAAACTAAAATTAATTATTTATTAATAAGAGGGCATGCACAAGATTTAAAACTGTTAAAAAAAGATTTAAGAGTATATGGCTTCATTCTCTATTTGCTCTCCAAATTATATTTCTTCCAATTTCTTCAATATAAAAGTCTAAAATTTTTCTTCCATCAAAATTGGAAAGAATTTTTCAACAATGACATTATAAACAGAATGGTTTTTATCACTACTTTTTTAAAGAGATGCCATGAAGCAAAGGAATTCAGAAAATGTAGCGCCACTGATTTTCAAATTTTTATTTAGGAAAATTTGTTAACAACTGATTGTAATGAATTTTAGCCAAGTGATTTAGAAAAATTGAAATTTCAACACAATAAGCGATTGAAAAAGTGCCATAAACAGAGAGCATATACAGAAAGTCAGCCTTTTGTACCATTAATTGGACAGCGTCAGTTTTTTGCCCCTTCGTTGGGCCAATCCTGAGGCACACACAGGCTCCAACATTTGCTTCGGGTTTTCATTCAAAGCTTTAAAAGTAGCTGCCATGGCACCCTATAAGAAAGTAGGATAAAACATTTTGGTTGCAAGCATTCCAATGTTTTGCACAAGACAAAAACAAACCAAGAGATTTGAAGCTACCCAGCTGAAGAATTATTAGAAATGAAATTGAATGAACTGTATTAAGTATCAAAAGCTGCAAATCTGGTGCTTCAGTGAGCAAATGACATGCAAGATACTTTGTAGTATATATGTTTTCTTTTGAAGCTTGTTCAAATTATTTCACAGGAACTTTAGTGGTCCACATTCTGAATTTGTTGAAACTTAATTTGAACTTAAACATACAGAAACAGATTATGACTGTTAACTTAATAAATTTTTTCTTTGACTTTTTCATGATGTAAATTTTTGAAAATAATCCAATACTCAAAATAGGATGCAGGAATAGTTACAGTCCTGAGAATTGGAGGTACACAAAACTCTAAAACACAATGTCAAGTCTAATATATTATTGAAACAAAATTACATACTAGACTAAACATGGCCAAAATAAGTCTTTGTTCATCAGCAGACTTACCTGCTGTAAAAACTATACAACAGAACCACTCTATAATCTAATAAATCCATAAAAATAGCTATTATCCATCAAACTAAGTATGTTTGAAACACGCATATGAGTGTTTTTTCACAATTATTTAGTTTAATGGATATATATTGTGTCATGTAACTATGAGAGTTCTATTCTTTAGTCATGGCACTTGGTAAGTCCAACTGATGAATATATACTCTTACTGACCAAGTTTGAGACTTGTATGTTCATTCTAAAAGGTAGTATTCCATTAAAATGAAAATGACCTGGCAAGAATATGTCACACAATTTTAGTGCAAGGGGTTCAAAGTTAACACTCAAATGCACAGGCCATGGAATTGGTTTTAATGACACCCATATTTCAAATTATCAATATCAATTTTAGATCATTAACCAACTTAAAGAATATTTTATCTGTCTTGACATTGTTTGTAATAAGAAATGTGTTTGTTAGTTCATTATCAAAATCAAAATGCAAACACTCTAAAATCTAAATATTCCAACTGACTACACTACATGTGTCTAAGTGAAAACTTTCTTAAAACTACATCTAGTAGAATAAAGTAGATTTTTGGATATGATTATTTTATAATCTATTTGCAGATCAAAAAAAGAAAGAAGTTTGCTTCTGTAGCTTAGCAAGTAAATGTTTAACTCATGAGCCACCATAGCCCCATTACAAAAATAGAGAAACATAGTCAATAAACCACACAATAGTTTAATTGGATTTTAGCTTAACTCTTTACTTCACTGACTTGGACTATCCAGAATGCAGATTTCACAAACCCCTGGATCCATTCTTTTGATTTGATAGTCTTTAGAGTTATGTTTCTTTGCACAGATGGGTATGTGTGTTGTTTATATAATTGTTATTATAACATGTGTTATTAGTATTCAAACGGTTTCTAATCTTTTACATCCATAGCTATTTGTAGTTATCCAGTAAACTGTTTTTGATAGATTTCATATTGCATACATGAGATATTTTTTATAGTTAAAATCCATTGTAAAACAAGAATTGTAGTTGCCTTTTAAAAATCTACAGGTAGTCAGAACTGGCACCCAACATGAAATCTTTTGCTCCAAATAGTAATGTTATACACAGTAAATATACCATCCAGGATATCCTTAAAACATTTACATTTACCTAGAAAACACTGAATTGAACCTCATTTAGATGCATAAAAAAGTTGATTCAGCTACCAAATCAGTAAACACTGAATTGATTGTAGCATGTAGATCAAAACACTAAGAAAACACTAGATAACCAACTCACCTTGACTAAATGTGCATCTTGTAAAGAGAGACGTAAATGGGGTAGTGAATCACGTTGGGCTATCCATGGATGATTTAAAACTTGTGTGGCTGTTATTCTATTACTGGGATCTAAATGTAACATACGTTGAACTAAGTCCTGCAAAATAAGATAACAGAATGATCCTAGTATGGTATACAATCTTGTAAGAAAACGTGTTAATCTGAGCACAAAGGTACTTAAATAAATGGTCTGTAAGAATTAACACAATTATATATCATATATTACAAAGAAAAAATTTAAGATTCTTACTTTAGCTGGTTGAGAAACAGAATCCCAATTTCCACCACTGAGAGAGAATTTACCTTGCCCAATACGAGCTAAAATATCATTGGGTGTGTCATTTGGACCATTAGCAAATGGCGTATGTCTGAAATAGCATAAAAATATTCGAGTTGAGAGCAATAATCTCATGGCATCCTAAGACTTTAACACACATAACAGAATACATTTTTTTTCAAAATGTTTCAGGTATAAAATCAGTCATCAGGATTTGGATATCAAAGTAAAATTTCCAAAATCAAGATCAACATCTCAGATATTTACTGAAATAGACCAATAAGTGAGAGAATATTTTGTACGTACCCAGCTAACATAGTATATAATAATACTCCTAAACTCCATAAATCTACTGCAGCATCATAGCCTTGTCTTTTTAACACCTAAAAAATCATATCAAATTTTAAACAACCTAGAACCGAACCCAATTTTTTCATCCAATCAGCATTGCTTAAATTTTCTAATAAGTGGATACTTATATATTACAAATTTCTCAATCACATGCATTTTTGACTGATAGCTAGAGTAAGGTTAGCTCACTTATCCACTTAATATTACATAATATGGTCTAAATATCACTAAGAAATTACATGGCCAGTTGCAGCCAACTAAGCCTTTAGACAGCACATATCTGACTAAGCTATTACTGATGCTTATTAAAGTCTAATGTTTCAAAGAATAAACCATGAAATTTCTCACCTCTGGCGCCACAAAATTTGCAGTGTAACATGGTGTCATTAATAAACCATTCTCAGCACGTAATTGTTTAGCAAAACCAAAATCACAAATGCGTAAACTTTCAGGAGATCCAGAATCATCAGCATATAATATGTTGGAAGGTTTTAAATCTCGATGAACGACCTACAAATATTTCATTTGTTCAATTTTTACACGGATATTATTGGTACGACTTTGAGAATAAGTCACACCAGTAACAATATTAACTTTTCAAAATAGGAGTTTTTTCAGAAATCTTCATGTTATCAATATTACTCAAGAGGCAGATTAAACTCTATTTTAACAACAAAGGGTTGTACTTACTCCATTAGAGTGAAGATATTCAACAGTTTTAGCTACAACTTGTAAGACTGCACTGGCTTCTCTTTCAGAAAAAAATTTCTGGCGTAATATTTTATCTAATAATTCTCCCCCTTTCATTAATTCTGTTACCATATATACTTTGTTACCATTATCAAATACCTACATAGAGTACATCATACAAATATATATTTCAAGAGGGAAAAGTCCATTGATGACAGACTAGGAAAACTAGTTAAAGTAGGATCAACTTGGTCTCGTTTGCTTGCTTACGTGGGTCATGGTTTCTTACTTTGATAACAACTTGAAATGAATCCTGTCTACAAGCAAAGCCTCTTGGTATTGTTCTTTACCAGATTATTTGTGCTGTATTTACATACAGCTGGGTTCACCAGAATAATTAGGACAGATAACTTATTCAAGATGACCAAACTTTCACATGACAACCAAGATCAGAACCCAAAACAACCAGATATTCGACATAAAGCAGATTCAACAGGTCTGTTGGTGTTTCAGCCTGGGGCCTTATTCTCGACGGCTTAACTTAAATAAAGGGATATTCTTCAAAATGAGTTTTAATTTAAAATTTGATTTTAGTCGATTTTAACTAAAATTGATTTAAGTGATAGATAGTCCCGACCTGGCAATCAAGGTATGACGTCGTAATGTATCCAACCAATCAAATCGTCGTCTGTAAAGACACAAGGTCAGTCTGCCATCAAGCCGCCATTTTGTCCCACATCAAAACAAAGAGACGTCGAAGGGATTTTAATGAATTTCTTACATTATTAATGTGCGTGGATGACCTTAAATGCTGACAAATCCAAGCACACTTTTATCTTCTTAATTCACCCTACTACTAAAACTAAAAACTGATAACTGATGTCACTGATAGATTCCATTAATTATGAAGCGTGAGGAAACAACGGACCGGCGAGAGTACGTGAGAGAGTAGTAGAGTGTAGAGTGGAGAATCCCTGATGTCAATAAACACAAATCGGTAATTATTGCTTGAGTAAATTCGTAAAAAAATCATTTGACTCTCGAATCCTTGACTTGCTTTTGTGACATGCAGATTGCGCTACGTTAGTATGATTAGATTAGAGTCGCTTTCGATTCTAGAGTCAAGTTCGACCTCTTGGCTTAGTTAATTTTAGTCTACTAAATTTGACTTGACTTGTCAAGGCTCGTATAGAATCTTACTGATAGCGATACCACTTAGACATAATAATGGCCTTCCGTGGGTTAATTGATAGAAAGAAAAGGACCGTTCATAGGCCAAGAGACATGTTATCTATGTATTGTGTCCTTAATAAAAAAAAATGTATTCACATGCAAAAAAATAGTTTGTCAAGACATCTAGCTAGGCATTGTCAAGGCCCATGGCTCCCCATTTCCCATTCCACAAGTCATTTCCTCACCCCGGCTATACTATTAATAATGAGCACAATTAAGGTCAATTTCTCTTCCCCAAAACTACATCCAAATCGTTTTAATTTGTTTTAATCATCACTTGTTTGGCCGCCATTTTGTTTCAATTTTAGTTTAAAGCAGGGTAAATGGTGTTTTAAGTTAAAATCGTTCTAAGTTAAAATCACGTAAATAGGTTTAGAGAATACGACTTAACATATCTTAAGCCAAAATTTTAACTTACAACTGATTTTAAGAGATTTAAGTTTTCGAGAATAAGGCCCCTGTACTTCTAATGAAAATAAACTTTGAGTAATAATTAACCATAGGGTTATATCCACACTAATTAATATATATGAAGTCAATATAGTTCTACTTACATCTCGTAGAGTGATTATGTTTGAATGATGACCAAATCTTAATAAAATTTCTATTTCTTCTGATGGATCTCTCTTATCTTTGTCCATGATCTGAAATATACCATATTTTCTTTTATAACTATGGCCTTCCTAAATTACTTACATCTACACGTATCTATGCTATGAACAAAATCCTTCGAAACAATTATTACCACAAGATTTTCTTCTCCCTTTTTAAACATAAAATTCTAAATTTTTTGTCTGTAAATCACACGTCTTACTCTGAACAATATTAATTACAATGTACATACCTTGACTGCATAACTGATTCCTGAGCTCTTGTGAACACATCTCTTACAAACAGAATAAGATCCTATACCAATATCCTATAATAACATAACAATTAAAGAAACACAGAAAAGCCAAGAAATCTGCGATGGCAGATCACTTCAGATTGCTTAGAATATAAGGCATCACACAAATCATATTTGTTAGATCCCAGTCATTTCATGTTAACAAGCTGAAAATTAAGAGACACTTACTTCTTTTAAATCATATTCATCATTAAAGGGTATCGTTTTAACTCCTGGTAACTGAAAAAAAAAAAATTCGGTATTGATTAAATTAAGATATTGGTATATAGAAGCCTGCAGTGTCAATAATTTTCAATCACAGAAAAACACATCAATGATATTGGGATAACCAGTTTGAAATCTGAAATATGCTTGTATCCAATATCTGGCCATTTCAGTGGTTGAAAAGATGATATGCCAGCCTTTCAAAATCAATTTTACCAGTCAAAACTTTGTACAGTTGTTTGTACAAATACAAGTTGTTTAGCCATAGAGCTAAATATAATAGAAGATATACCTTAGCTAAACTAATTTGGTTATCTAGTGGGTCAACAGGTTTTTCTGTTTCACCTAATAAAGCTGGTGCAATAAAACTAAATCCTTTAAATAGTTCATGAGCTGTGGCACTAGCAGGTATACCAGGTGAATCTGAAAGGATCAAATGAAAATGTTTGAGAAAATTACAGAATATGAAGGCAAAAATTCCTAAAAGAGGTAACATCTTCCAGATTTTACTAAAAACTTTAAATTGCTGCACTATATTACACATAATTATATATATTATAAAACATAAAATGTTCCCTTTAAATCTGCCACAGAAAAATTGAGAGAATAATTGTTTGGACTTCAAATGTGTATCACAAAAGGAGATATTTGGCTTAGTGGGGAAGAGAAAACTAAAGGGGCTCATAGGGCCAGGAATTTATGAACTCAGCTCAGCTCCATTTCTTGAGGGTGCAGGATCCGTCAGTTGAGTTAGGAAAATCATTATACATGTATGTGTGCAAGTACATTACAGACATACAGAAAACATTATTTTCTACTAAAATATTGAAGCAGAATCAAGCAAAATAATCAGAAATATAAGCTTCATGAAGCTCTAACATACATCTGTAGAATTGGGGAAATAAACCAAGATCAACAATACTGGACTTATAAGCATGAAACAGGGAGTATAAAATTGTACTGTACCAGTTAGTTATAACATTGAAGCTTATAATATTTGTTACTTTGAAGAGATGCAGACATTTACTGATTTACTAGCTGAAAGAGCTAAGAGTATGCGCCATGCCGCCATCTTCAAAATTACATTAAGTCTTTCTGAAGCCAGGATGAAATAACATTCAGATTGAACTCTGCTTTACGACTTTCAAAATATGCAATTATGTCCATATTGCCACAATAATTATATAAATCATGGCACTTTAAACTCTTCATGTACCGATAGTTTTCACTTGTAGATAGAGTAAAGTTACAGTGTACCAAACTACACAGATTTTACTATTCTAATCACAACATTGATTGTACTATATCTATGATGTAATTTACCAGGCAAAGTAATATGTCTACATGAACAACCAAAAAACAGTAGTCTACTAGCAAATTGCAATCAATAAAACAAAATTTTTTTTTTTCAAAGAAAAGGATGAGACTATATCAAGGGGTAAGTATTTAAAACACCATGGGTATTACAGAATGAGTCAAATCATATCAAAATAAACAAAACAACATACCACTGAGATGCTGAGCATAATAATCAAAATGGCTGCATGCACATTACAGCTGCACATCTATGATTGAAAAAAATTGGAAGTCATATTACCCAACAAACCTTTAGGAGTTCTCATTGTGAACTCTGTATCAAAATAGAAGACTTCATCAGACAACACAACAGCTGGTTTAAATGGTGGTGAAAGAGAACGCTTCTTTAATTTCACCCAATCAATGGAAGCAAAAAATGGGTGGTTTTTAATGTCTTCTATTCCATTTGGACCCGAACCTGAAATTTAAGATATAGGATCTTAAGACAAAATAGTTCATTGTATTGATCTTAAAAATTCACCACCACATGAGTTCAAGTTAAATATGAGTCTAGACATATATGTTAAGTTGCAGTGAATATTGTCAAATCATGAAAACTCTGTTTAAGTGCGAAAAACAAGATACAGCATCTGTGAAACTTCTGGTGCAGAACTGTGGATACAGTAGAAAAAATAAGTTAATACATTTTGTAGTTATAATTAGTTTTCTATAATAATTCTGCACTGTGCACCAAACTTAATCTAATCAGATTTTAGTTCCATGAAGTTCAAATTTTATTAATGTAACTTTTTACTTTTTTGTAATTTAACTGATAATGAATTGCATACCCAATCTATTGGCAGGATTTCTTTTAAATAAAGCTCTTAGTAGACTCTGGGCTTCTGGAGTTAAAAATGGAGGCATTCCTAATTTAGCTCTGGAAAAAAATATATCTAATTATTGTTTGACTGCTGTATATTTCATGTTTCTTCTGGAATAGATCAGCTGTCTAAAGAACTTACAATTTGAATTATGATAAAGGATCAGCTTAGATATTTCTAGCATGCATGCTTGACTAAAGCTAAAAGCTTGTTCATTACCCACATATAAAAAAACTTACTTTAATATCTGTGTCATTGTTTCTTTTCTGTTATTTCCTTGAAAGGGGAGAGCACCAGTTAACATTTCAAACTACAAATATAAAATCATGTTTTAAAGTATCATTACAAAGTCAAATCCTGTACAAAAATATGATTGATTAATAGAGAGATAGAGGGACTAACTAAGGATAAACTTTCTGGAATTCTGTCTTCATTAAAAGTAATTTTATGAGCTTATCACAGGCATGTCAAACCATTATAAGAGTCGTCATGGCATATGCTGTTTTTAGCCACAAAAAACTGACGGTATTATCCAGTAATGCCAAATACAAACTAGTTTAGAAAGAACTGGATAAAAAATTTTAAAACTTACCATTAATATTCCATAGGACCACCAATCAGCAGCAGTAAAATGACCTTTTCTATTAACAACTTCCGGTGCCATGTATTCTACAGTACCACAGAAAGAATAGGTCTTCTTCTCTTCAAATATAGACTCTTTACTTAAACCAAAGTCTGTAAGTTTGATATGGCCTTCTGCATCTAATAATATACTGAATAGAAAAGACAGACATTTTAAAGTAGCAGTTAAGGCACATTTAATGGAATGTTTTAAAATATTTACATCTAAGAAGGTAGTTATATCTTACCATGATGTAAGTTTATGGTATCCCATGAGATGCATGTGATCCCTAAGCTCAGCATGCCAAGATATAACAATCAAACTTCACCTTACAGGTAAGTCTCGTATAATATTTTTTGACAAATTTTTTATTGGTATGAAGTTCTTAAAACAGAGATAACCCCCTCCACTGATAGGAATGGAAAAATTGTTTCAATGACCTATGTATCATTGTAGAACAATAGGTGAAAGGATATAGTTAATTTGTTTAAATGCTATTCACAGCAATTCTTTTTTAGATCATCTACGCTGTGCTAGGCTGTGATAGCTATTTATACTAAAATTAACACTTTATAAATAATAATAATTTTTTTATACATAAAATAATTTTTCACAGGTGAACCAAACCTTTCGTTTTAAGATCCCTCTACCATCAGCCTTTGATCCACCTTTTTGGAACTTGTCAAAATCACTATCCAATCATTATTAAACTGAACTTACTTTTCAGGTTTAAGATCTCTATATATAATACCAAGACTATGTAGATGGTCTAAAGCTAATGCTAATTCAGCTAAATAAAACTTGACATCTTCTTCTGTGAACATTACCTATAATAAAAATATTAGTCTCTTGTAAGCTAGAATCCTCTCTTCTTTGTCAAATCATCAGGCAACTTATTTTCAAATTGTTCTACATACCTCCTTTGATAATCTGGTAAAGAGATCACCACCTCGTAGAAATTCTAATATTAAATATAATTTGCCTTCTGTTTGAAAAGCTGTAAAATAAATATTTTCAAGATTTTGGTTGTATAAATGAAATGTACAAGATATTACATTAGAAAATAAAACATGTAAGAAATTACATGATTATGGACCTTATGAATGCATATTTTGATAAACATATGTTTTGGTATCTTTACACAGCCAAGTCTTTCAGTATATTGTAAATCTCAGTCTTTCATTTTGTGACTAGATTTCTTGCTGAGCATTTTTATTATTCAACTACCATTTACAACAATAATAAAGTTATTTCATGGGCCACAAAGATACCACAAAAACTCATTGATATCACCAAATTCTTTAAGAGAGAAATGCGATAAACAATTTCAATTCAGTTCATTATTGAATATGGCATTTGTAGACTCAATTGTTTCAAAAACTTACCATAATGTAACTCAACTATAAAAGGATGGCTGACATCAGCTAAAATATCTCGTTCCATTTTAGTACGCTTTCTGTCTTGTACTACAATAATCAATGAGATAATTGAACTCTTTGTTTAATTATTAATAACAAATAATAGAATAATATTGTAACAATAACAGGTTTATATTGATAGTATTCAAGGTAAGTCCCACAGGATATCAAGTCTAATATGATATTTGAAAACAATAGCATCTATTTTCCTTTCATGTTTTCAATATAATTTACAAGCCTTTCAAAGCTTGTAAGTCTAGGTGACATCTCATCAACATTGAAAGTTTTGATCAAATCTATCCAACAACATTTAAATCTTATGCCCCACCCTATCTTTTCTAATGAAGATGCATGATTAAAGTTCCTGAATGAGAGTTACAAATGGTGGAGGATTTCAAATCTGTTGCCTTACCCTTTAATGTGGCCTTTTTCAATACCTTCATAGCATACAGTGTTCCATTGTCATCACCATTAATTTTTCTTACAAGGAAAACCTACAGTACATAAACATAAGTTTTGACCATTTTTGAGAAAGGTTTAATAAAGGAAACTCTTATAAAATGGTTTCAATAGTCTCTTTCCAAAAAATATCTCATAATAAATGCTGCCAATATTCATACAGGAAGGTATGGGCATAAAAAAAAAAAGTATTTACCTTGCCAAAGGATCCTTGACCAAGTACCTTTAATAATTCAAAATCTGATGGCTGGGCTTTAAACTTACAACAATTTGTAATATCTACTTCAATATCTGATTCATTATTCTGAAATATACAAATACATCATAATATTAACATGGGTATATATTTACATTGTTTTGGGGTTTTTTTAACGCCAGTAGTGTTTTTTTTTAACGCCAGTAGTTTTTTTTAACGCCAGTAGTTTTTTTTTACGCCAGTAGTTTTTTTTTTAACACCAGTAGTAATGTCACTTTATCTTGACCAGACAGTGGTAACAATTTAACATTCCCATCACCTTGTATCAATTTTACATCATGTCATATTAAAATCTTCTAAACAGATTCTAGCTAAACAGATTCCAAGTGGGAAATATTGTTTTTTCATGTTTATGTGTAGACACTAATGGCTGGCATTACTATTGCAAAATTTAATCAAGTCACAAAATAGTTATGACATGATCTAGTGAATTCTATATGAAATTATGGTACATACAGAAGCTGTTCAACTCAATAATACACTACACACATAAGCCAGAAAACCATCAAATCCCATTGATCTTATCTTTTTTTGGTAAGTTAAAAGATTTTAGCTAGACATTTTCATAACTTGGACTAAAGGTAGTAAAACAAAAATAATTTCTCCCCATAAAATAAAACTAATATTATGTTACTATATTATTTGTTTATACCTAATAAAACTAAATATTTGAATCAAGAATTTCTGAGTAGAAATCTTACCTTATCAGTCACCTTTAGATAAGCTAGAAGGAAACTGGGAATACAGTACATCATGTTTAAGAGAGGAATGTAACATAGAAAAGGAATCTAAAACTACAGACTATGTTGATCACAGTCAAATTACTTTTGTAGGTGTATGACAATTAAATTCAATTAAAAATTCACCCATGATTTCAATCTAATAGTCAAATTTAATAGAGGCAGTCTAACACAGTATAAATAAAATTTTAGTTTTTACTAACTTCCATTAGGGTCTTAGGACAGGATTCTTGACCATTCGTCAGTTTGATAATTTTCTGCCCTGACCAATGCTGTGATTTTGTGACACAAACAAAAAGTGCATTCAATGTCTAATGCTTCTCAGAATACAACCTTTTTTTTTTTTTCGTGTGACAAAATCCCAGTGTTTGAGAATGCAGAATCATTAAACTGACGATTGTTCAAGGGGTTCACCTTTAGAAGTTAACAGATTAAATTTAAAAAAAGAGAAAGTTTGGTCTATTTTTAATTATATTATACTGTGTACACAAGATATTACAGTGGTATTTAACTAAATTTTGTCTACAATTATGACATATTAGTTATCATTTTTTTTCTAGATTATTGCAGGACCTGATGATCTAGGTAGTTGGAGTACCTTCTAATTAATTTCTGTGATTGTGCAATTTTATCATGTGTGTTAAATTAACATTGTTATTCTCATATCTGTTCAGAATTAAATCGACAAAACTAAACTAAACTAGCTATAATTCTATAAATCTACATGTAGTAGAATTCATTAGCATATCTTTGCAGAATTCCAGAGTTCCACGCTATGCGATCTTTTTTTAGAGCTCTACACTGAGAGCAGACTGTATACAGATATTTCAATTTCATAATAAATTTTTTAATTTGATCTTATTTAAATACCATAATGAATGTTTTCCAGTTTATAGTTCATAGTTTAAAAATGTAATCCATCATTAGCAGAGTTTGGAAAGATATAAAAATATTTTGCCAAGTGATAAATTTGAAATTAGGAAAATATAATCTATTTTATATCCTTGTTTGTCAGCCTAGTAGTTTGGTTAAAAAGCTTTATTTGAGTTTCTTTTAATAAAACACACAAATAGAGGAGTAAATTTTGCTGCATTTGAAACCAAATTGTGACAATAGTTTTCAAAATCATGATCAAACCGTTATCATATTGATTTATCATATATGTTTTGTTCAAGACCTCAACCTACATGTAAACATTAAGTTTTATAAGAGTTGAAATTTATAGCCTTCCACACCTTATTTCTCACATACCATGATATAATATATGACCATATTATAGTAGATTTGATAAAAAGGGTCAAATGAAGATTATACCACTTTTCAGGCCAGACATTTCTGGTTAAGAGATGTAGGACCAGGCACCTGTCTGATATGATTCTCAATATCCCATGCAATGTTTCATTTGTCACATTCAATACACCTAGAATGTTACTTCACAATGAGTGGACTGAATTCCTTTAAATTTTTAAAGCATCATTAGGTTATTTAGTAAGTAATTGCACAATTTGCTTGGGATAAAATGAAACGAAAGGAGTTTTACATCCTTCTTTCTGCACCTAATTGGGCTAATTCAGAGTGCTATGGGGGAAATTTTGCCAGGACAGCAGCATAACTCTACTCTTTTTCAATTTCGAACTGTTGAGGGATCTTTAACATGCACAGTCTGTAGAACACAGGGTCTCAGTTAATTGTTCATTCCGAGCGAATAGACACTTATTCAGCCCCTCCAGCCTACATCACTGACAGGGGAAAAAAACATCAATTGATGTGTGGTAAATATTTGCACAATTGGCTTTTAAAAACATTAATAATGACAATGTTAATGATTGAAGGATTAAGTTAGCTTAAAGAGTTATCAAGAATGAGGTACAGTAAATGGTTTTAAATGGATTGAATTCAGGGTCATAAGCTGAATTATATTTTAAATCACAGCTGACTTTTGACATTTGCAGTACTGAGTAATGAATATCCTTAGAAAGTAGTCAAACAGTACACAATTCATACAAACACAGGACATATTAAAAGGGAAAGGATTTGGGTCTTGTTTATGTGATGTGTCAAATGTCTTAAGAAATACTAGAACTACGTGAAAATCACATAAATCCTTCAAAAATACCTCAACCTAGGAATTTCATTTTCTATTTCTATAGATGTCTTTTCTATATATGTGACAGAGTCTCATAGTCTAGATAATTGTGGACAAATGGATTTGAATTCTCAAATTTAAACGGTGAGCTGTGATCACTATTACTGATTAACTTATTCCTGTTTCTGAGACTAAGATACGATTAGTCATAAAGATGGCAAACCTTTCTCTTTAAATTGAAAATTGGATGTCTGGTAAGATTTAAAAACAATTAAGGGCAAAAGTGATAACTGATCGAATGGCAGCTGGAAGTAAGAATTTTTGATTAAGTCGTGAAAAAAATTATTCGTGAAATCCACAACACAGTTTTAAAGCAATGGCATCATAAAAAATTTTCATGAAAAAAGACTTGCTTCTTCTGGCTGGCTATGAATCAGCAAGTTTTGGACTCATTCAGTCCATCATCTCTTGAGAATTTGAAAAAAAAATGGTGATGTGGAAAAGAAACTAGTCTTAAAAACCTAGATAATCAAGTTTAATGTTGTGAAACTACAGCATCATTCAAACTTTAATCTCAACACAAAAATCAATATCTCTTATTCTCTTGTTCTCTACAGTGCTACTTTAAATCCCTGGACATTTTAAAATGTTGCTAGAACAAAATGATTTTATTTTCACTATAATTGTAATAAACATGACAAAAATAATGAAAAGTAACATGAACAGATGAAAAATTCAAAATCAGTTAAAATTGTTGACATAGTTGGCAATTACAAGAATAATTAGCTGTAAAATCTTTGACTAATTGACAAATTTGTGCTTTCAGCAAAAGACAGTTAATAATAATATCATTGGGATTGTAAAGACGATTTATACATTGTTTATGTGTATCTGGGACACTGATTGCATCAATTTGCACCATTCCAATTTCAATCAGGTGTCTGTGCCTACAATTCCACTTAAACTAAGTGTTTCATCATGTCACTATTCGCAAAATAGGCTTTATCACATAAGGCACTTCACTACACATACAATTTTGTGAAAACCTCTTTACAATACCTTTGAATTAGTTTTATTGTGGAAATCTAAGCCTTCAAATACATGTATGTCAAGAATTATCCATGTTTGATAGTTAAAATGACAAGTTGTCTATATACATATGACAAGATAGTTAAATTCTAAGTTCGAAGTATAATTGTATATAATTTTCGTTCTTCATACTTCTTCAGACTATTTAAATGCAAGACCTAAATCTTTCAGAATGACGAACTTTAGCCTTTAAGTACAGTAACAGTAAGTCAAAATAGCACTCTAAAATTCAAACTTAGCTTTAATTATATAACTATCACATAAAATTTCCAATTTCAAAACCCTATTTGAAAATTCCCAGGTTAAGCCATCATTTGTTTGGAAATCTAAATATTGACCATTGTCTACAGTATTAACTGATATCAATTTCTATTATAGAGAATTTCTATTATAATCACCAGTAAACATTTTCAGACACAGATCTATAGTTTTGACCTTTCAAGCTGAAAATAAGATGGCATTAAAATCTATCTGCCAGAAAATAAATGACCATAATAACTCATGGTTATGAATGATTTTCTACGATTTCATCTTACTCTGTCTCATAAAGAAACACAGCAAAACGAAGCTTTAGAAATAAGTCAAATTATTGTAGTGGTTTTCCCACTTAAAGGGACAGTTTTACCGTCCGTTTGACCAACCTTAGTCTCAGAAGTCGAGAATTATCAGTGTTTGAAAATTAAGATGCCATGTATAGAAAAATCATCTAAAGAAATAGGAAAAGAAATTCCTGTTTGAAATTTTTTGAAGGAATTATGTGATTTTAGTACATTTTTAATACTTCTGAACACTATTTACAAAACGGCACATCAGTTTCTTTAAAGATTTGTAGATGGGTTATTGAATTCTTCATATTTGCCAGCTATGTCCGGCCACAGAGATTAAATTACTATGCTTACAATATTTCTTTTTGTCTTTGTGACATGACAAATACATTTTTTAAAATTAACATGAAATACATTAAGCCTACACATACATGTTGTACATAATCGCCATTTATCCATAAATTACTTTTACCTTGTCAGCGGCCATAAAGTGGCATTGTGATTTAATTTCACACAGTTTATTTTGAAATATCTCTTATACTTTCTAAATTTAAAGTTATGACAGAATTAAGTTGAACAAACTAACAAGTTCAAAAATTTTGTGATAAAAACTGTGGATACACAAAACAACAGGAAATCCTAGATTAAAGAAAAAGAAAATGTGTTTAATTTGTTTTTGTTCACTAGAAGGACACTGTAATGTTTATGTCTCTAAGTAACAATTATGTGTATTACACACTATGATTCTTAAAATACTGGTCATACAATCATAAAATTGATAAACAGATGAAAATTATCGAAAACATCTATTGAAAGGAAATCAACATTTGACCTTTTATATCCTTAAAAGGAATATTTGATCTAAAAAACAAGACACATAATCTATCACATTTACAATTCTTTCTCTTCCTTAGATTCCTTTTAGCACTGTGATCAACAATCTATAGCGAATAAAAAATCCATCGACAACTGTTAATGTAGTCAGACTGAAAGGTGTACAGTCAAAATAACTGATTGTGATACATCACGAAAGATGATTTAGATTTCTTCTATAAATGCGTGCAGACCTAAACAGTGAAATCTAAAGCAAAAATAAATATTCCATATGATGTTCCTGTAAAATAGAGACAGGATCACCATAATCGTCTTAGAAACAGGAATTTTTTTTGGTAAGCTAATAAGTAATGGTATTTACAGCTCAGTTGAAATTTGAGCATTCAAATCCAAATGTGTCCTGACATATTTGCGTTTGCAAGTTAAATTGACTGGCTTTACAATGGCAAACCTGTCTCTTTAAATGTGTGAAGTCAAAAGAACTTAAAGCGTGATATATAATCACAAGGAAGGTGATTTAAATTGGCTTTTCAGAAAAAATTCAACAATCTAAACTGACAATAAAAATTCCATATAATGGTAATGTAAGCTTAAATTTGAGGTCTTATCAGGTCGTTTTTATAGCAAAGCACACAATATAGATAGTCAGGACTGAATGAGTTTGAGGACGTCTGTGCCTGTCTTTGAGGAATACAGGACTTTCTTTTAGAACAAAATAAACCAAAGAACAAACGAAATTGTGTAAAACTTAATATATATATGTAAATAGGGAGAAATAAGAGCATTTACCAGAACTAGTAAACAAAAAAAAAAACTACTTAATATCATTACAAATCACATAATCAGGATCCCTAATTACGTACAAACAACATTACTATCAAAACAGGGTAATATTTTTTATATGATTAAGGCTCACTAATGTTGACCTATTGCCTGAGCAAAGCAAAAGTTTTTTTGAATTTTTTCAATCTTTTTAGGTATTTGCAATATCAACCTAAAAAAAAGAATAGAACATAGAAAGTCACATATTTTAGCTGAAAATTTTGAAGACATAATGTGTGCTCCTGTTATATTTCCATCAATGCAAAGACATTCTAAGACCAACAGAAATATTATAAGGCTGCTATTCCATTTCTCATAGAAATAATGGAAAAAGATCAAAAAACTTTTTACTTTGTTCAGACAATAATCATCTTATTAGAGTAGTCTCCAGACCTTAGTGTTCTTCACCCCTTACAATCTTGAATTACATTAGGGTATAGGCATGCACCCATCAACCTACAAGGATTTTCTCACATGCTCTATTGTACTTATAAGACAGACTCCAGGATGAACCTATTTTAAATGTGAAGATATTGACGACTGCTTCCTGGATAATTTCAACTAGATGATTTATTGAAATTAATCTTGTCATTATTCAATATAAATTAATGAGATTTTTCAACCAAGAAATTGCTTTAGGAATCAATAGTGGAGCGATAACAGGCAATGACAGTTAGCACGTATCTTTGAACTTTGGTCTCAACCAGTTCGTCCATTTATGATATTTTACTTGACTTTTACAGTTCATGCAGAATGGGAAATATGCTTACTGGAGTGAAACTGCAGTCAGTCAAGCAGTCTATAAAGAAAGTAAGAAAATTGCCATCAAAAAGGAGTGCCCCTTTTTATCATCTTACAGCATGAAACAGGTCTATTATTCATATATCTACATCTTATGTCTACCTATTCTATTCCCTGCAGAAAGATTTAATCTTTGATTTCGTAACAGACTGTGAAATCATTAATTTTCCTCAGCAACAAATGTAAAGGATTTGTCCACAGAAGTATACTAAAGCTTGTCAAGTTATCTTTTCCTGAAATACATCATTAAATGCTGTTTTCTGATTCACCCTTTACAAATCCAATTAGAAACAGAAAAACAGACATTTAAAACACCATTTCAGTTCATATTTCTTTCTGCATAGAAAATGAAGACAATTGATTTTGCTGATCTTTTTGGTTGGCTAATTTTTCTCTATTTATCAAGGTTGACAATGGTCTGACAACAATTTCCAACTCTTGCCTCATTAGCCATAGAAATAAGTAGATAGCTATAGGAAGGTATATGAACTGGTCCACTGTCAAGTGATGGTAATTGAAATAGATGTCTCTTGAGACTTTACAGCACGCATTAGATAGTAAATAAAGCTCACCACATCAGTCATTATAGTGAACAAATACTGATTACGATATTCTCTTGACAGTCTATAAGAATATCTTCTATTTTCATCTTTCAAACAAGCCACTCTGAGGACTTGAAGCCCAAGCAGGATATCTCAATTGGATTGAACAAACTTTAGCCACTAACGTGTCATTTAATGAATCATACGAACTGCAACTGCAGTGTTATTACTGTCTTGTGAACGTACCCATAGAAATCACCAGAAATGGGCAAAACCGGCTACAGAAAAGTCATGAAGTTCTTCCAGCTGATAGGGCTAACTCTAAAACAAATACATGCTAGAGATCTTTGACAATGAACCAGAGCCATTCCACCACAACCATATTGGAAAACATTATCCATGTGCAAGACATGTTGATGGCTGATTGTTGATGTACCACTCAACATATTGCCAGTTTTGTTGGCATCTCCCATGAGAGGGTTGTGCACATTATCACCAGCAGGATTGGAATGACAACAATTTCTACAAGATAGGCACCAAAGCAGATATCAGATCAAAAACTTATTATCCTTCACAAATTATATCGTTTGAAGCAGATCTTGATGATTTATTTTATGGCAGGATTAAGCCTGACTGGGCTCAATTATGGCTATTTCAATCATCTTTCAAAGTTCACAGCCTATACTTCCTGCCCTGTGCCCTCCTGCAATTCAGCAAAGATTTGCCATGAAAGTTTAGACTATCAGTACTGTCAAAGTGATGGTAACATTCTTGTGTTAGTATAATGCAGTTAAAGTCAAATATATGTATAAAGGCTGCAACATCCTGAGTGTGACAACAATCTTAATTTTAACAGTGTTTGCTGAATATTCTAAAATGAGATAAATAGGTGAAATTGATCGATACACAGGCATTCATTTTTAGTATCTAACAAGGAAATATCAATCTTCAAATTACAATTAACGAAATCAATAAAATAACAATTCATTCTCATTAGAGTCATAATATCAAATCCAGAAGAGAAATTTTTCAGTGGAATTGAAACGTATAAATATCAATATAAGTTGGGAATATATCCAATACAAAATCATTTCTCAACATTCAGCTTAAAACTTGTAAGCTGAGTTTATATATTCCATTTCAATCTAAGTTCGTGATTAAGTGTCTAACTTACTGAGACACTGCAGGAAAAAAAATTATGCCCTAAAGCACCAAGTGTCCAGAATTTTATCATAGTTATAATAATTAATCAAAAATGCTGAGGCACTTAAAAGACTGTTTAATGAAATTAATAAATCACAGAATTTCTATCATAAATGGGCAAAAAATTGCTAAAAATTTGATTGTTTTCACTATATTTGTTAGTCAGTAACAGGGTATAAAAAAACGTCTGCTTTTAAGGCAAAGAATAAGCAATGCATGTGTAGGATTCTAGAGTGTTCGCAGTTACATTCTTGAGATTTATAGTATATCTAGCTTTTGAAAATCTATTTGACAAGTCTGGCTTGGAAATCCTTCTGATCTAAATTGACCAAAAAAAATCAAACTTAACCCAGACTTTCGATCAAGATTTCCATAGATTACTTATTGCTTGAGTAAATTTCTTTAAAATCTTTAAAAAGCCATTAATGTTGAGATTTATAAGGTTAGACAAAGGTCAATGTCTTGTAATGAAATGAGTGGATAGTTCGTTTTCTATCTACTCTAAACAAATTGACAGCATAAAAGCAGCCACAATGTTTTTCAATAAGATTCATATAAGAAATGTATCAAGAAATGACTATCATTCAATAAATTATCTGATATCAAGAGCTTCCCTTCTGGGGAAAAAAAGCAAATTTCAAATTTTTTTGATTAATTATTGTTTCAGCTTTCTTATTAAACAACATATTTTATCATATTTCTTTTTTGATATATTGGTGCGCAAAGATGATGTATGGTGTCAAGAGTGTCCTGAAAAAGATAAATAATTGTTTGTGCGGGACTGCAGTGTAATGGTGTTATGCTCAGGGAACTTGACTATTTTCCAAAACATGGCAAATGTGGTTTTAGTTGAGTACTAATTGAGTGATTTCTAATAAAAAGTACACCAATCATAAGTAAGCAGTCCTTCGTTCAGAAACACTTAAAAAGTAAAGCAGAAGTCTTTCACGAACGAATAATCAGCTTTGACTACATTTGCCTGTTAGGCCATTGGAAGCCTTCTCTTATACACTATTTTCTCCACTTCCCATATTTTATTAATATTAACAAAACCTCTAGGGCCTGTGATGAAATACACCTAAGGTTAACTGTCATTGGTGATAAGTTGAAAAACGTACCATATTAACAATTGCTTAAAAAAATAATCAGAAACTGTTGAAATCAATGTGTTTCCAGATGTTACTTATGTAGCAATAGAAAAAGTGACAATATGACATCACTTTTAAAGGGACAGCTACAGGAGTAAATGATACCTTGGCCTCAGAAATACGAATTGTTCCACTGAACTGAATCAGTAATAATGTTCTCAGCTTTCCATAGAAAATTGAGCCATCAAATCCAAGTGATTCAATAATTATCTATGTTTGAAAGTTATCTCAACGAGTTGTCATGAAAAAACTTTAATATTTTTGAAGATGTCATATGTATACACTACAGTAGACTCAAGACATCCTGTCGCACTTCGTCTAGTCACATCTGGGATGGAAGAAATCTTGGTGTCAGAAACTAGGCCTAAATCAACAAGTCCTTCAACTTTCGGATATCCCAATCTTCAGAGAGAACATAAACTTGTCAACAAAATAAATAAAAAGTAAAATTTCATTTTATTCTCATGGCATGCAATTTCTAATGGAAAAGGAGTTCATAGAGGTCCAAAATGATTCAGCTTTACAGGTACAATAGAAATATGTTGGCTATGTTCTTTGAATTGTGTTTGGCAGGTCATGCTTCAGTAATGTAGCCAGTAATAATAGATCATGCCCACTGAATGTTTTGACACAAACTAACTTGCCTTATTTTCGGACTCATCCACAAGCATATCTTCAGTACTTCCAGCCTAGAAGCATAAATGACAGCTAATTATTATCATGGAATAAATATCACACAAATCGTTTCACCGAGTAATACTGTCATTCATATATGATATAGACTATGATTATGCATAACAAATCAAAACAGACTGAAATGGATTTGCCAAACGGGAAAATCGACGGGATTGAGTTTCCGTCGATAACTTGAACAAAACAAACTTACCTCTACTTCGTTGGAAGTTTCCATGCGCTTCCACGGATCTGCTAATGGTGCTAAAGGCATTTTGGGGCTAAGAAGTGGAATTTTGAAATAAAATAAATGTTAAATTCAATCTGTCAGACGACGATTTTTCTCTAAATAATCCACCAGCCAACCAAGATGGCGGGCATATCAGGAAGAGGTTAAAAGTACCTGCTTCCGGTGACGTAGACAAAATAACACCGGTAGATAATATCACACATTCCATACCATTTTTGATAAATAAACAAAATAAATCCTTGAACTTATGAATTGATAGAATTCGGCACAATTTACCATATTTTGCTTTGAAATGTAAAATACAGTAACCTTAATGCCTGAAAAGGCTCATATAATAGGAAATTTGTCCGTGTAAAAATAAGAATTCCTAGTCCGAAAATCTGTACATTGGCTAAACTTATAATATATTTGAGAGCCATTCAGAGAGTTAGGATATGCTTTCTGGGGCTATCCCCAATTTCCACCGTACGAAATTTCTGTGTGTCACAGTTTAAGCTAGACGAAAACAATATATTCATTTAAGTTACTTGGACCTAGATATCTGCTTAAAAATACAGTTATTAGTTTAAATATCAGATAATAGCTCTAGGCCTATTATATAATTATGCTGAACGCCACAGGAAGGGGGTTGGGGTTGCTTTCGATAGGTAGGTTATAATTTCTGGGATGGAAGTGTGTGTTGTGTTATTTATTATTTTTTTTGTGTGCAAAATTATCAAATCATTAATCCTACATATTATATTTCATTGGCCAGAAGATATGTCGTGCGATTGAAAATTTTCAAGGAAAAATTCAATTCTGAGATAGGAGAGTAGGATAAATTTGTACCAGGGTTAGATGAAAAGCTGTAAGCCTAAATGCTGTAAGCCTAAATGGGTCATCTCAATCGGAATCTAAAAACTTTTGTCACCAACAATCAATTAATAATCATTTAATGAATCATAGAGATGGGCTAAGAACTGCAACTGTAGTGATATTATATGGTCTTTGTACCACATCATCTTGTGAACCTACCCAATGAAATGGGCACAACTGGTAAAAGTTCAGTCATCCAGTGGCCTTTCATCTTCACAATGGTCAAGGTATAACAAACTTTGTCTTATAGGACCTAATACCTTGACCATTGTGAAGATGGTAGTCTACCTGCAACTGGATGGGCTTTCCAACTCAAATACAATATGCTGACACTTTATAGGAGATGGTGCTTCTTACTTTTCCACTGTTGAATAAGCACAGTCAGAGAACCCTGATGATGACCAGCGTCCAGGAAGGTCTTCAATTAACGATAAATATTTCAGAAGACATTTACTCGTGTACAAGACATGTTGATTGTTGATCCAGGATTGATCACTTGACATTATCGTCTGCTTTGTGGATGGACATCTCTCTTGAGAGGGTGGAGCACATGATCACCAACAAGCTGGGAACCACAAAAGTTTCTGCAAGATTGATGCCAAAGTTCTTAACAGTTAATCAGAAACGTTTTAGATTCACGAATCCCGTGACAATTTATGCCGTTTTGAAGAACATTACGATGATCTTTTGGTCCGATTTATAACCAAAATTCAGTCTAAACAGAGAAAGCATCCGGAATCACGAGTCCCTCGCCCCAAAAAGGTTCCTTCATCTGGAAAGGTGATGGTTACATTCCATGAGTATTTTGTTGATTGACTATCTTAGGCCTTGCGACATCTCTGCCAAAAGAATTTAGAGGGGTGCTATGTTGAAAATTACATGAAAACCATGGAAATGGAAGGGCCTTTCTCAATCAGGCTTAGAATATTTCAGCCAACCCTCGTAGTTGGCCCAAACTTTAACTGTAATTTCAGAGCCAAAAAAATACGGCCTGGGTTTTTACACTGGCCACTTCCTGCTTTCGTTTTCATAACAGACGCACATGACCTCTGATCAAAGCTCTCAGCATTGTGCCCAATCCAGACCCCTTTGTCATACTTCCGTCAAAACCCGTATTCGGTATATCTGCAGGCGTGAATTACTAACGAAACCGGAAGTAACGCCGTATTTAAGGCGGGATTTAAACTGCAAGCTTCAATGGCGACAACGGTGGTACAATGGTCTCACATCTTTCGATTCAGTTTAAATATTAAACCAATCTAATGTTCGTAAAGAAGTTGTTTTTCACAATGGTACTTCTCAAAAATCAGATGTCACTCTTGGGCGTTTTTTTTAAAAAAAAAACTAACAATATGATATGATAATGTATTTAGAATAACTGAAAATAGCACTTTGAATTTTACAATATATCTTTATACAAAAGAGAGACAAGGATGATAGATGAATGAAAAAAGAATAAGAGCACATGAAATACATATTAAAGACGCACATGAAATTGTGAAAAAATATTTGAAATTACAAAATCGCTTAAAAATTGCATAACATAAGTACAAAATTTTCAATGTAGAAATATTATAGAATAATACTTAAATGTTAATTTTTTGAGTCATTAGGGGAAAATTTTGAGACACAAATTCAATAAAATACTTTTTTACTTTATAACTAGAAAATTGGGACAAAAAACACATAAATGAGTCTTAAATTTTGAGCACTTAATGTATTGCACAGCAATAATGTCTTGAGTTTAGAAGGAGAAACCTTGTGTTGGAATGGAAGCAGCAGGATTAAATTGGTAACCAGAACTAGTGGCTCCAGCTTGAGCAATGTTAGTATCTTCTTCCTGGAACCAAAAAGATTTAAAATTATATTCTTATATACAAAACGAAAGCCACATTCTTATAATTTTGCATTAATTGGACAAATCAGAGATGCACTGAGACAGCTCTGAGCATAGACATCAAAATGTGTAAGACATTTACATGATCTAGGTCAGTTTTTAATTAGTTCATTTTTTAGATTTTATACCAGAAATGGATCAATTACAAGCGCAATATGGCTTGATTTTTTCCCTTCATTCCATTTACATTGCTGTGCAATTGAACAAATGGCATCACTGAAATAATCAAGCTGGTGACCTTGATCTTATGCCAGAATGGAACCATCAGTGGAATATCATTTAGATCTAGAATGGGTCTAGACACCTACCTCACCACCAAAATATTTCTCAATGATCTCCAAGGCAGCTTTATAAATCTGTTCATTTTCATGGTTTTGTAGAGCTTCAATACTGTCTAAACCACCACATTCATCTATGATCTCACAGATCTTTTCTTGCTCTCCAATCTTTTCAGCAGTCTACAAAATTAGATCCAAACTTCATTTAAAATATAAATTATGTGAATTTGGGTAAAGGGAAAATACAGTTGTAGTAAGGCACCCCAAAGAGTACAAGACTACTGTTTAGACCAGTAAGAAATGCAATAGACTGGAAGGACCAGTATGCCTCCTATTGCCGAACAAGATAAAGCTGGTTTTTAGCGTTTCCACTGGTTAAGTGAAAGATGGCTTTAAGCTAGCTTTCAGTTGGCCCCCCCATAAATTGCCAAACGCAAAAAGAGGTTTTCGGTGATTACCAAACCATAACGGTTCAGCAATTTGCCCAGTGGAAACACATGAAAGTTAGCTTCAAGTTATACACCCAACTAATCATAAGCAGAGCTCAACTTTAATTGAATTTTTTTCAGGAAATTGTGCTCTAACATCAAAATCTGTTAATATGAACCAAGTTCTAGTAAATGAACATCACCAACCTTTAGAATGTTGCTGATAGCATCTAATATGACTAGAGTTACTTTAGCTTCTTTCACACTCAATAGATGACATAGTAATTGTACAGCTCCTTTCTGAACAACATGTATAATATGTTCTAATTTACCACCAGATGTTAGATTGGTTATAGCCCAAACTGCTTCTTTCTGGCTCTTAAAATCACCCTATCAAAATAAAATGTACAAAATGTAACGTCTAAATAAACAAACATTCTTAAAAGATAAGCTACCCATTATCAACTGGAAGGTAACAGATTCAAACCACTCAGTGAAGTCAAAACAAAATCCATTTTGATGTAGGCAGCAGACCACAGGCCACTGACGCAACATCAAGTCAACATTTCAGTTGTGGATAGCATCAGGGGCAGGGCATCTAGTCCAGTGATAGATTCTTGCATTTGCTCTCAGAGTTTATCAGTCTTAAGGTCTAGCCAAAGTTCCCAGCATGCTTTGATTTATTATGAAATGCATTACATTTGAGACATTTTTCAGATAAATTCAAAAAGAATTGAATCCTGCAATTTAAGTTACTGGGAAATCCCTGAATTCATACTTACTGCTCTAAGAATATCAAGTAGTGGTTGTATAAGATCGTGATTAATAACAGCTTCAATCTGCTCAGCATTACCAGCTGTAATATTAGACAAGGTCCAGGCAGCTTCTTTCTGTATATTAGGTTTGGGATGAGTTAACAGGGCCTTGAAAGCCTTTAATGCTCCATGTTCCAAAACAATCTGTAATCATAAATATTTGATAGTTAAAGTGACAGGGTTAAATAAGAACTGAAAAGGTATATGTTTGGTACCTAAGGGAATAAATAATAGGGCTGTGGTACATCATGATTAACAGCCCCTTTTCTCATCTTGGCTTCTATGATTCAAATGTATTCAGCAGAAGATAGAAACTTACCTGTGTTTGATGATCATCACCAGTAACAATGTTACCAATAGATCTTAATGCTGGTGTTAATACTGAAGCTTCACCTGAACTTAATAACTCTACTAATCTAGGTATCACATCTATAAATACAATTATTCATTTCAGTAAATGGGTCCATAAAACCATCAGTATTGACTCAATGTGCATAGCCTTATAACATTTACTTATATAACAATTTAGTTCCGTTTCAGTACTCTCAGTGACTGGAGACTTTCATAACAGTGCATCAATAAACCTGTTCAACTTACTTGCATCAATGACTTCCTGAATTTTATCATTAGTTCCATCAGTGAGGTAGGAGAGTGCCCAACAAGTATCAGCAAGTACTTCCTTATCCGTGTGATTTAACAGTCTAGAAAGTGTAGGCAGACATTGTTTTACGACTTCAAATTTAGGTGGTGGATTCTTATTACGACACAGGTTAGATATAGTCCAGGTCACATTTCTCAAAAACCCAGCCTGAAAAATTTCGATACGATGCATTAAATGGATGGAAAACGAACATTTGTAGGCTTAAAGCCCAGCGCAGACGAGAAACATTTTAAGCGAACCATCGTAAAAATTTTGTTTCAATCATTTTTTTCACCTTCTGCGGATTACAGAAACACGAACAAAAATGTTCATGAGAATTGTTCGTGAAATCAAACATGTTTGATTTTTATTAAATTGTTCGCCGTCTGCGTTAACCACGAACATTAGCGTCGGTAAATTTACAAGGTTGCCAAACACACCCTGCTCTTTACGACGTTGAATCCGGGTATGGACCCAAATGCTCCTATTTCGCCGTCTACGTTGGCGTCTTTTTTAAAATTAATAATATAGCAAACACAATTTTACATTTTCTTCTGGACGTTATCATTTTGAGGTCATGTGATTTTCCGTGGCACTGGCGTATTGTTTGAGCTAAATGTTCGTTGTCTGCGGAATTATGTTTGTCGTCTGTGGATGACGGAAAACAAATATATTTGTTCGATGTTTTTGTTCCTCGTCTGCGTTGGGCTTTATAAAACAAAACTAAAATGCTTAATTATTTTAACAAAATACAAACACAGGTATTCAGTTTGAAATTTAAGACTTACAGGAACATCATTTCTGGCTAATCTCAACAATGGTTCAACTATGCCAGCACTGGTAACATAATCTCTTAATTCAGTACCATCACCTGAAATAAAATGAGTTTAATACATCTTGTTTTACACCTTGTTGGTAGGTTGTGCAGAGAAAAGATATAACAGTGCCAAATTAAAAATGATATGTCAAGAATTTTGTGTATATTCTAAGGGAACAAGAGCCATAACTAAAACTCACCAGCAATATTTCCAAGAGCCCAAACAGCCTGTTCACAAACATTTTGGTGTGGTGAATCTAACAGTCTTATAAAGTCTACCACTGCTCCTTCATTGACAACATATCTAGTTTGATCAGATGTACCAGATGCTATGTTAGTCAGAGCCCATGCTGCTTCAAACTGTAACTCAGGTCTAAAATAACAAAAATTGAAAAGTTTCCACTGGCACTGAACATTGACACCTACTTTCATTTTCACAAGTTGTTGTTGTGGCCATTTGAGACATGTAAGCATGAATGATAGACCCATGCAATTACAATGATAATGAATGAAGCTAATAAATCATTTTGGCACTTTACCCAATTTTTTTTATGTGTATTACAACTGCAGAGATATAAAACAGAAGACTGACAACTTGGCACATTAAAGAAGCTTAAATATAGCTTGCCAGGCAAGGTAACATACGCCCACAGATAGCTTTGATTGTAAGTATTATGAAATTCGATATATTTACCATCTTCATAATGACATTGACACACAAAATCAAAAGAATCTAAGAATGTAAAGAATTGTAGCTTGTAGAGTGAGCACGAGTTGCACAATATAGCTAATAGAGTAAAATTTCAAGTCAGACAGGATATTTCCGTGAAAAATTATCTGATCATCACAAAAATCAATAGGGATCATCTTCATAACAACATTGACATACAAAATAAAAATCAAAAGAATCCATAAAGAACTGTAGCCTGTAGAGTGAGCACGAGCCAAATGTGAACGGACGGACGGACGGACCGACGGGTGATTACAATATACGCCCATCTTACGTGTGGGCGTATAAAAAAACATATCAAATTAGTGTCAGTTTTGATATAAAAGCAACAAAATAGTGCAATTTGACTTTTTGTTGCCTACCAAGACAGTTAATACGTACCTATCTGAGTGAGACAAGAATTCCTTCAATCTTGGTACAAGTCCAGCTTCAATGATATCATTAATAGGAGGGTTTCTCTCTTTAGACAGTAGTTTTCTAACAGCTTGTGTAGCATTAAACTGTTGTTGAAGATCTGTACCATTTATACAACTTATAATTTCTGTTACTGGCATAGAAACATTAGGCTGGAATATGGACAATATGTTGCTAAATTACACATGTCCATAGAAATCAGTCGACCTGTGAAAGTCAGGTGACTTTAAATAGGTCATCTTTCATCATTATTCCACTCAACCCGGCTGTAAAAGGGTCTTACAGATGATGTGCAAAAGATAAAAGATCATTAGCTAAGATGTTTGGGCAAAGACTAGCTGCTAAAAAAGATTTTAGATATTATATTTATAACATTGTAAGAATGTTTGTTCCTTTCTATATTGAAAGTGATACATAATATCAACATGTGATTCAGAAACAACATTGGTTAGAATTCAAGAGTTGTCCTACCAGTCTGGTACTACCAGATATGTACAAACCTTGTTGCTATCTTGTAGAGCTTGAGGTTCATCTTCAATAACACAATTTCTTCTTTTCAATAACTGATCATCTTTTCTGGCTTTACGTAATTCAACTGTCGTCTGGTTTCTACGTCGTCTCATTTCCTAAAAAATAGTTATTGGACCCAATTTGGATCAATGAAAAACAGTAAGAAGTCATAGGGTTATGTAAATTTTGTGCACTCAACTCAATGGACTCCTATTGAATGATTCAAGCCATTTTTGTAATTCACATATCACAATTCTTAACTATGGTACAATCCATCAGTAAGATTCCTTGCGATTATAAATTACTGAAAAAAAGATAAGAGCTATATTGAAACCGTTAATGTTAAATTAATCTTAATTGTATCTTTACAACTTACATCTGCATTTCGGCCTTGGTTCTTATAATCCCGGATTCTAACACTTTCTTCAGAAGGCATCTTTGTGGTCTGTAGTCTAGTTCTTGGTTTCAAAAGTTGTTTAAGATTGCAAGTAGAAGTATTTAGTCAGTCTCTACAAGACACAAACTGCTGGAATCAAATGAATGGGTTTTAACCTACAAGTTTAATAAAAGTTCAAACCATGGTAGCATGAGTAGTGACAAGGCCAAGGGTATACTATTCATCAATCCATTCAAGGTTACAATACTCAATAAAAGACATTACCTGTAGGCCCCTATTTGGTAAAAGTTGTAGATCTACAATAGGCCTAAATCTATTTCATGTAGATTGTAGATCTTGGGCCTTTGGCTCTTAGTTTAAGCACCCAATTTTATTTCATCTTCTTTTGGCAGGCCAAAACAGATATCAAAGCTTCTACTTTTTACAAAATAATGCATAATCCGTACCGGTAAAGATGTAATATAATTTAGGGCATAGATTTAGCCCTAATTGATAAATTATGTATGGTAGTAAACTATACTGCTACATTGATATTGACGTCAATTCAAGCCACAAGTTACAAGGCGTCATCATCATGATCGTATGAAAGAAATGGATGAGTCTGGCTACGTGGAGTGGAAGAAACCTCAAACGGAAAAGTCACCTTAATTATACAGATAATGGGCAGAATTAGACCTACCGATTGCTGCAATGCTTTTTCTGTATGTTGATGGGGGTGATGAAAATAAAAATGATGAATGAACAGTTTCCCCTCTTCAAGATTTCTTGTTTACAGCATGGAGTCTGACTTGAAGAGTGTTTAAATTTTGCGGGGTGTGGTGTCTAAAAGTTAAACAACAACTTTGATTGGCCACTTTTTTATTCCAGTCATTTCATTGGTTGTTTCCATAGAAATGATTTTGCAAAATATTACATTTATTAAATTATTTCATATTCTATTGTCTAAAATTCTTCTATATTCTAATTTTTTCCCAGTGATGTAATTTGGAAAGAATTTCAAAATCATGAAAAAGGTAAATTTCACTTTTGTCTGAGACTATTCTTTGAAAAAAACATCTGGGTCGACGCACCTGCGCAAAATGCCTGTGAACTCTAGAAATCCAAACACGTCCAAATCAGTGTCATTATTTGACCCAATCACCAAATGAAATAACTAAGTCGATTAATTTAATCCCATTATAATCATTTCCCCTTTAATTACTTTATTGTAATATATAATCGGGTCAATCCGATCGAGCAAACTGTTATGAGAGGGCAATAAACACAACCAGTGCTAATCGCAATCTATTCGTCTCATTTCATTTTTGTTCATTTTATACGAAGCTTTACGACCGTTTGGTGTTTCCTGAAACTAGAGAGCTTTCAAAATGTCGGACGAAGATACAGAATTAAGAGATATTGTGATGCAAACGCTTGAAGTCAATGGAACTTTAGGGAAAATACGGGTAAATGATAAAGCAATACTTTGTCAGGATGTGCATTTCTGGGGAAATAGATATTGAGACAGGTACTCTTCGGAAATCCCCAAGATCTGAGATTCATTGCCATTGTAATCATTATCATTCAGTTTCTGTCTCAACTTGTCTGCTCTTGTCTAAGATCTTACGATACTAGCATTCCAAAAAACTTTTCTTTGAAAATAGAAAGCCATTGGAATAGAGAGTTTACTTTTGTTAATGTTTTATTTTGCAACTGAGTTGTTGTAAATCTGAGCTTAATCATTTTATAGTACAGTACTGCTGCTGCTGCTATCATGTTTACAGTACACACAGTATGGCCAGCTACCCATGCCATTAGAAATTGTTAATAAGCTAGTTCCAAAGTAATGGTGGGCATGCACAACTCACAATTCTCTACTTACATAATATACTCCGTGAAATGAGAAAACATGCTTTGGTCAACATTCTAAATGATATTAGATAATGGATAACTCACTGTCAATGTAGTTAACCCTTTATTTTATATCCTTTTCCATCGCTGGTCATAGACTGCCATAGTAAATAGACATTGTTTATCTCGAGGTTGAGCTAGGGAATTAGTGTGTAAAACATTTGCACATACTTTGTACAAGGCCTTTTATCATAAGTAATTTATTAACTTGCATATCATGACATAATTTCAGGCTCAACTCCGTGCAAATGTCTTTCTGGCTTTAGAAGAACAAGATACAGTCAAAGTAAGATTAAGTTTGATTATTCATATATTTTTTTTTTCAAATTGAATAACGAAACATTAGTTAATGGATGGTTTGAATACAATCTATAAGCTGATTGCAAAAGAACACATTATTTATCTGCAGTTACTATAGGTTATGATTTAATTTTTGAGTTGATTTTTTTTCTCATTTGTTGGATAAGTTGTAACAAGTATAGTTGGCCTACATCAATTTGTTTCCTTTGCATAAGCCTTACTTATATTGTAGTTAAATTTTAATTTAACAGAATAAATCTCAACTAGAAAACAAATCACTCATACAGTTTCTAAGCACCAAAGAAGGTAAGAACATTTTTAAAAGCATTCCAAGGGCATTCTCATAAACAATCTCTAAATTCCTTTGCTGAATTTGTTTTGGAATGGAGTTGAAAATTCAAAGTGCCTTAAGATGAGGAAAGATTTTTTTAAACATACATACTCCCCAATAGAATCCTTCTTTATTCTGATAAACCATAAAACTTAGTAATATTGAAAGGGTTAACTGGAAACTAATTTGATAATTTTAGGAATGTGAAAAATGCTCTATATTTTCAGGAAAACTTGTAGGAGGTCTTGTAAGAGAATTTTTAGAGTTTTTTGAGCTTGATTCTACCTTAGCAGTATTTGAACCTGAGTCAGGATTAGTAAGTTTTCTTTTATTTGTAAGATGTATTTTTATCAAGTTAATTTTAGCTCACTGAATATTTCCAATCACATAAAGAAAAGTCAACGGCTGGTTGACTGCCCCATTGTATATTAGGGCTTAAGAAGGTAATCTAAATAAAGTGTGAGTGTCCATTTCTACATCATTAAAATGAATAGATCATTGAATCTAAAGTGATTTTAAAGATTCAGAGGTAAAATACTCAAAGACAAGTGATAGGTTTTTCGAGCAGGAGACCAGTAGAAGGCATTATCTTTATGATATGAAAACATAAGAACAACTTTGATGATTGACCTCTATTTTTTTATACTTCAGAAAGGAAATTAAAAAACTGTGTCTCTTTTATTTTGTAGGGCTCTGATTGTCCCAGACGTAGTGCTTTAGCCAAAGAATTAAATGTCATTGATAACAACGACACTTCAAAGGCTCCCTTATTTCTTCAAGTATTAAAACAGAAAAGTGGTCCCAATACAAATTCCAGTGTAGAATCTATAAAGTCTTCAGCATTATATGTAAGTTCAATTTGCTATGGGTAACTTAAAACAAGAGCTTTATTAAACATGAAATGGATAAGAAATAAATCAACAAAGATCCACATCTATTAAATCTACTAACAAACAAAAAATATATATCCAGAGATGCTTCATCTATTTCATGAGGAAATTGTTGTGGTGAAGCACTTGGAAAGTGATAAATAAGCTATAAAGATTTTTTTAACTATTTTATGTGTATCAGGCAGGATCATTTATGGTTTCTGTTGGCACCATTCCAATCATCCATCACATATCTGTTATCTATAGTTTCTTAACCATATGAGGCATTATCAAAAATGCTGCTGATATTATGAGGCAGTGATATAATAAAACTCTTTGTTTGAGTGGAATATCAGGAACAAAAGACACTCTGACTGAAAATTAAAATGGTGCCAGTCGATGCTACTATTCGCCTGAAAATCATGAGAAAGTTAGAAACCTCTTCAGTATCCCTTTTTGATAGCTCTTATTGTTCTTTTTTACTCATCAATGTATTTTGAATTCTATGAACTATCTAGGAATCTGATGTGACCATTCCTGAGGTATAATACATGTATTTGGTATTTGCATGCTAACATGTATCAGTATTTATGCATGATATTTGATGTTACAAATGTCTTGCTATAGAGAAATTGATGAAAACATTGTCAAACACTAATTTTATTTTGGATAGTACCGACTTAGCACATGCAAGTTATGCTTTGATGAATATGTCAATCTTGCCTGCTCTTGAAGACCTAAATAGAATTTGATGTCTATTTCTAAAGTTAAAGTCTATTAGTCAGAATAAACTTAGTTTGCTTGCATATACCACCAAGTTAAATAACTTAAAGCATATTGTACTCTGTTTAGGTGGTTCACAATTAGATGTCTGAATTTTGTGTATGAATAAACATTCTATTCCAATGTCATGTTTTGTTTCTAAGAAATTTTTGGGCAAACTAAAAGCAACATTTTTTTTAAATTCTGAATATTGTGAGGCTTGTCTTTTGTATGTATGTTATTTGTAAAATGGAATAGTGTGTTTTTATCGTGTCTATCTATTTCTTTGTGGTGTTCAATTGAATATCTGTATGTTTTAGTCATTGTTTAGCCATTTTTATAATATAGTCCAAGTTTGGTTCGTACTCAGAAGCAAAATTTTAATACCATCTCTGGAAAGAATCATACTTGCCTAAATATTGACATAGTCAGCTTAAAATAATGCTTCCATTTTCAGATTTTTTACTTCATTATCCTTTTACTTTATTATTTTTAGTAAAATCAAAAAAATTAGTGTATCCTTTATTCAGATCAAGATGGATTAAATTTGAAATCTGAACATCAACTGAAAGTCTGGTTAACTAAAACTCTAACCATTATTCTAAAGTACTCAGGTGTAGTTATATGGTCAGATTTTTATTTGATCAATATTTTTACTCTTTAATTTTAGGAATTATCTGCCAAACAATTAGCAGACGCTAAAGAGAAGTTTGAATTCTATGATAAGGTAAATAATTTTAATAAAAATTTTAAGAAGGCAAAATGTTGGTCAATTATAAAATGTTTTGCCCAAATTCAAAGGTATCAAACCACCATACATAGTCTTGGGGCCCAGAGGCTCAGAGGGGTCTTGGGCTCTAGGACTCAGATTACAAAAAATTGTTACCGCTTCCTGATTACTGGATAGTCTTATCTAAGTGTTTCATGATATAATTTTGAATTATTTGATAGGATGGAAGTAATTCAATAGACAAAGATGAATTAAGAGATTTGTTTACAGATATGTTCCCAAATTTTCACAGGTATACATATTTTTATATTTTCAATTTACCATTATGAAGTCATATTCCGTCAAAATAGGAGCAGAAACATTCACTGAGTTGACATTGAATAAAATGTGAAACAACATTACCCAACCAGTTGTTTTATGAGTGCATAAGTTATTGACTACTCCATCTATCTTTTCTATGTCAAGCTATTAGGAACTTTGTCTTATATCTTTACTTGTATCTCAGAAGTTTATCAATGCAAATATTTGGTTGGATTGTATGATAGCAAATACAGAAAATCAGAGTCCTTGATAGAAAGTCTGTAAACAGTAAGCCGTAAGGGCTACAGATAGCTAAGACTGAGTTCAATACTAAGATGAGAATTTATCTAATTGATGATTATTCTATTTTAGAAATATGTTAGATCGTTATGTTAATGATGAATTTAAAGCTTTAGATAAAGATTTTAGTAACAGTAAGTTATATATTGATATATCACTTTGTTTACTTCAGTTCAGAATATGATTTCTTAGTTTCACTTTTCAAGATTAAGGAATTTACTGGGACTAATTTGTAAAATCAAGTTTCGGCAAGGGGGGTCTTGGTACTGGTGTGGTAAAATACCTAATTGAAAATAAAAAGACACTTTTTAAGTTGTTGTCAATTCAACACTGAGACATTGCTTCATTTGCCTCCATTTCGCTACACCATTGCACCATCTAAAGGAGGTATTTCAACCTTCATCATATCTACTGTAAAACATTATTATAATTTGCTGTAGGATTATGTTCTGCAATCTAAAATTGAAAAAAGGGCATTTTTTTTTGTTATTTGTTGTACACTTTTTAGGAAAAGTTTGGTCTCAACTAATTCGCACTAGCACTAATATTATTTTGATTTTGTTGTTTTTAAAGGAACCTATTTTTCATTAATGCCAAGAGGTAAACTTTATGATTCAGGCATGTAGTATTATAATGCATGCTTTATAAAATTTATCATCCTCTACATCCTCTGGTTTGATGCCCTTGAAGTAGTAATAATTTCTAAAAATTTTCTCTTATTGATCTGATAGCAGACACTGACTTAATATATATAGAAAATATGGACTTGGATGAGAAATAGTTTTTGTCTTGACAGTTCCCCCCGTGTCAGTGATTGACTTGGGAAAAGTGTCTCGTCATATAGATGGGACAATAAACCATGGCAGGTGTGCAACTGGCTCTGCTTGTGAAAAATACCAAATCAAAAAGAGTAATGCTGCAATCCTGACAACATTTCCATCAATGCACATTGCATAACATTTCCCATCTTTCATTAATCCAATCATGTGCAGACAACCAGGATATAAAACTCTATTTCATTTCATTTTGACTGGGAATTGAACCAACTTTGTAAAAAGACAATGACTTTGATAAGCATTTATTATTAAATACCATTTATCAAAACCTTGAAAATATTTTCACTTCTAACATTTTATGAAATTGAAAACCTTTTTGGAAATGATCAGTTCCTTCTTGCATGAAATTTGATTTTGAAAATATTTTTTTTTAAAGAAAAGGTTAACTCTTAAATTCATTTTAATAGATTTTCAATTTGAAACAAAGATGAACAGATTTATACCTTTGTATTTATTTTTAATTTTGAAATTTTGATGTTTAAATTTGATCATATTTTATTTTGAATGAAGCTTTGTGGAATAAAAATTATTTACCAAAAATTATAAAAACCAACATTACACATCTGGTCTTGCTAAATTTACATAACAACACTGCTAATATTCGTTTTTGAATGAAAAACTGTTATTAGACAAATTAATATGTAAAAGGGACAATATTTGATACTATGTTAATTTGTGTTTTATAGGTATAGATTTTGAAGAGTTTCTAGGAATGTATAAAAGATTGTTTATTTTATGTCGTTCTGTTGTAACTGGGGAAACTACAACTACACAAGAAATAAAACAAACAAAAACAACAACAAACAATGCATTTCATTCACCTTTATCTTCAAAGGTAAGTTGTTCACTGACCACAATATCCTGACCAGCGGTCAACATTTGATGTGCAGTAATATATTACATAGTTTGTTCAAGATCCAAACCAGATGAAGAAGGTCAAAACAATAAAAAAATCCACCTTCTGTACTTATTTTCATTTCTTTACATTTGTTTCATGATTATGCAATCGTGCCTGTCAATCATTAAGTAGGCGTGTCACACCCAGGTGATACATCTACACTTTAAGTGTTCAAAGCTAACCATCTAAGGAATTTAGATCTACCCCAAAAAGGGTGGGAATATGCCTCGAATCCTCACTTAAAAAAAGAGTATGTGTGTTAGCCCATACATAACTACAACATATTTCTATTTTCAGTCTGAGAGTATATCAGAAAAGAAAGATTTAAGTAATGGTAAATTATTTACTGTTAAAAATACCAATAAACCTGATATTAATGATATCTTAGGTAGTGACTTAGATGATGACTCATTCTTTGATGATCCACCACCCAATGACTCAGGATTAAAGAACTTTAACAGGTGAGTCACTATTAAAAATATTTAAGTAGCTTGTAGGCTGGAGTTTTGAAACCGTGATGTCTTTTGCATGAAAACAAACAATTTATATTATTTTTTACTTTCTCTTAGGATTAATATGACCAAATAAATATTCTATTCCATGACTCAATAGTTTAGAAAATTTTCATTTTTATAGTTCTTGTTCAAAGCCTAGGAGAAAACTACCAGAAATCCAAAATTTGTGAGTTTCCTATGAGCCCAGCCTTTTCCAACCTGAATTTCTTAAAAACAAATATCTCTATATAAAACTAAATTTTATTATGAAAAATAGTAAAGTAGGCCTATGTTCACAGACAACAAAAATCAGGGAAAAAAAATCTTGTTGCATTTTGCATATAACAAATCAATGAAGTTTAACCAATTTTTGATTTGACAAATCATTATCATTTCACATAAATTTTGACCCAAGCATTATTGCTATACCCTTCTCTACAATTATACACAACTGTGCTTTTTATTATTATGTTTTGTTGCACAACATCTTTCTTTGTCTCTCTTTAACATCTCTCAATCTACTACAGTATTCTATATATGAACAAAAACACAAACATATTATGGTATTACTCACTTCTATATTTAAGCACATGAAACTGATTGTGACACATGTGACATGTGTTAATATGTTGAGAGGATATGTGTGTGAGCTTAAAGAAATAGGAATTGTGACTAAATCCCAGTGTTAACAAATATGGGTTTTGTTATGTATATATTATTATAAAGTCGATATGAATAAAATATTTACAAGCAAGACAAATTCTGTAAATCAAAATCTTGTCCAAAGTATGACAAAATCGAGTTTGGTTTTTGCCATTCATATCAAAAAGAGATAGTTTTAATTTATTTCTAATTTGAAACTTTTGAAAAATATATATTCTTATATCCAACTCTTCATTATAATGACTATGATATTTCAAAATATACCGGCTTTAAATAAGAGTACACAGCCATTTTATGTCTTACAGACTAAATTAACATAAATTCCTATTACTCTTAAATACTCTATACTATTAATCTATCTGATAAAATGAAATTAAAGTCTATTCTACATAATTCTATTCAAGAAGAGATTTCATTTTATAACATATAAACACATATGTTTCATATTTTTTTGGAGGGCAACACCCACTGCCATCCATGATCTGAGGAAATTGCCTCGCTATTTTCGGATCGCTAAATTATTTATTTATCAAATTAATTAAAAAATTTGTCTGAAGGAATTTTCATTGCTATGTGACTTAATAAGATTAAGAGTTTTCTCAATTTCACGGATGGCACATGTGTGAAGTGACCCACATGTCATGTTTATAACTTCAAACACCTAGTTATACTTAAACTGTACTAAGGACCATTGTAGTAATTATAAATCATTTGAAAATGCTTCATTTGCATGTTTTTAAAATTTTAAGTTCATATTATATAATTTTGCTCATAATTTATTTTCATATTAATGTAGCACAAAGCATTCCACAAATGTTAAACATTACCAAAGTAGCAGACCATCACAAATTCCAGTCTTTTCACCTTTAAGGAGGTAACAATGACCTTGAAGTTGTTGCTGATTGGTTAATTATTGTTTGATTTTGATTGAAATGAATTTGTGTTCAGAGTTAGCCAATGATATGTTAGATTAACTAGAACTATTATTTTGTATAATATGATTGACATGTAGCAACTGGCAGATATGAAGTTCAGTTTTGCACAATATAACCTTTGTAATGGGCTTTGTTTTGACTGAATGAAGCACATGGAACACAGTTTACTAATATGCACGATTTTTTAATATCAGGCATATATTTCAGTTATAAGAGTATAACGGAGTTATCCAGCAAAATGTAATTACATCTTATGCTTAACAGAGCTTAATTTTTATCACACTCGCGTTTTAAATTTAATGCCTGGAAAGGCATGTAGAAGGTGATTGCTTGAAAAAATTCATGACAAAGTAAATCTATTTCAAATTTTGTCAATTTTCTTTTTTATTAGTCACACATTTTGCTGGATATTTCTCGGTTAAATGACATGTACATTTTCATAGCATGAAGCCCATATTATATATTTATTTATTTGTTGCGGTTCTTACAGTTTTATTTCTTTGCATGAAGAAATAATATTCTATCTTAAATATTATCTTAGAATGACAATAGTAGGGGGTGTTAACATCACCAGTATCAAATGAATGTAGCCATGTAAATAATTGCTTGGATAGAAGAACACTTTCCCAAAATTCCAAGCTTCCCAGGCGTAATGGGAGTATTTTAATAAGTTATTACTTCCCATTCTACTTCTCTCGAAATTTAACCAAATTCTTTTATGCATTTGACTTTGTTCTGGATTTGTCATAGAACTGAAATTTTGGGGAACCGGATTCAAACTTGAAAATTTATTTGCAGCAAATATTGACAGGAGTTCTTTACCTTTAAATTGAAGAGCATTATCTGACTTCTTTGGGACTAGCATATGACACTATTTGTTAGTCTCCAACTATATATTACAATCAAAATTGAGTTTAAATACAGTGTATTAAAATTTGCTTGTTTAGTACATACAATAATCAGTGAGTTCAAGGATTATACAAGTCACCCTCTGTACTGGATGTGTATGCTTTCATAACTTTAATATATGTAATTCATTCTGGTATATTTTATTACAGTATAAGTAAAGATAAAGGTTCACCCAAGTCAACTGATAAGAAAGATGATATATTGTCATTAAAAGATGCTCCTTCATTAGTTAATACTAAAAAACCTAGTTCAGGTATGCTCTTAATATCTTTTTACTTTATGATTCAATGATGATAATGACTTGAACCTAATAAAATGTCATTAGATACTTAACAACCTTATTGAATTTACTTACCACAGATTACTTAAACTGCTACTTACAGCTGATTATTTCACTTGTTAACTTCATAGGATACTAATTTTTTTTACAGATAGTGATTCTGAGAAAGATAAGAATTTGAGATCAATAGATAAGAGATTAAAAGATTTAGGATTAGGTGAGTGTGTTTTCTTTTCCCATTTCCACACAATTTTGCAATAGATATAAATGCAAAATCTAGAGTATCTTTTTTCATTCTTAATCATACATCTTTCTATTTGTAGATAATGATGATGATATTGAATATGAAGATGATTTTGATGCTTCTGGGTAAGTTTTAAGAGTTCTGCCGACCCACTTTTGCCCCTCCTCATAATCTCCATCAGTGTCAATATGAGTATAATTCCACTTCACTTTGTCTCAGAAGGTTGTGTCCTTTAGTGCGTTACTTATTTGAAGTCTATGACATAGGCATACAAATTTAAAGAGATTTTGTAATCATTTTATTTGTATCAACTGATAACGCGCTTTGCAGCATTCTAGTATTCAGTCAGATGTCTGTAGTTCTTGCAATTCCAATAAAACTACATGGTTAATGACGTCTTTATCGCAAAAGCTGCACATAAGTAATGTCATAAAATTAGTCTTAAATACACATAAATGTTTTAGCACTCCATAATTTATGTATAACGATTTGCATCTATTTGTAGACATAGCTTAAGTCAGAAGAGTCCAAGAGTTTCTAGTAGATCTGATGTTAAATCGTATAATGAAAATGGTAGTATATGTGAAGAAATAGAAGAAGATATTGAAGATTTCTCTATTGAAGGAGAAGACTTGAAGAGTGCCGTAAGTAATCTTTTTATATCTCACAAATTGATATGAACAATATGCATGGACACAAGAATGTATTATGATGTTTTGAATAAATGAATGATTATGTGGACAGGGCTTAAAAAGCTTGACCTATCTTGTTCAATTACTTCAGTGTTTATGGTTCAATAAAACAAGTTGGAACAGAGTTCAAGACATGTTTCGAAAAAATAGTAGGTGTAGACAGAATTCAAAATGGCAGTGAAGGAAATAGATGACAAAATTTTGGTCTTAAGTTAAGACATTTATTCTAATGTTATATGTTTCAGATGGATGATTTTACAACAGACTGTAGTATTTCACAAGCTGATAGAGGTTTTGATTATGCTGAAGATCTTCAACTGCCCTAAAATCATCCACAAATTTATTGGAAAGAAGTCACAAGCCATAATTTTAGCCATTATTCATGTATCCATCAGTATCATTGGTTTTAGAAAGTTTTTGTGGCACAAGAATAGAGCAAACTATATTACGATCCTATACTACACTTCCTATAAATTTACTTAAAATCGATTGTAAAGAATCACAGAAACAAGAAAGCTGTACAAAGGAACATAGAAATAAAATGCAACCTATTCTGGTAACAAGGTAATGGAAAAATTAAAGAACCAGTAGACATTGTCCTTCATTTTGGATTGCTCTTGGATATGTTTCAATTGAAAATTCTGATCTATGTATTGTACAAATTATAATCATCATTATTTTAATTGTTAATATTTATAATTGTTATTTATTGTTAATGACTTGCATTTTAACACCAACTCTCTTTACTTGTTGATCATTTCCTCGATGTGATTATGCCTTGAAATGCTGTATATTTACATATAGAAGGCACAATTTTGGGGTATGCATTATATTAGCAATAAATTATATCAGTTCATGAGGTCAAATGAACATACAAAACTAAGTGCCTAATATAAGAATGACATGAAGTTTCGTATGGCTAAAGGAAATACCGGTACCAGTAAATAATTACTGTAAGGTCCTGAGTTTTTGTGTATCTACTCACCAAATAATGGTTGGAAATATTTAAAATACAGTTGCTATATAATATTTATCTTCACATAATGTACCTGTATTTTTTGTATCATATATCATTCAATGGAAAATTCTATCAAATAAGTGTGAAGGTTTCGCATAGAAAATCATTGGGTCTAGTTTGACTTTAATGATCTGTGATATTTATTAAAAGTTGCATGTAATTCCACTAAAGAAAAATGAATGACTTGTCTCAAAAGCCATCTATTTGTGCACATTTCACTATGCCGTCCACATATATATAGTATTTTTATTCTTTTACCTGTATGTTCAACTGTAAATGGTTATACTATAGAATAAAAAATTGTATATTTTATATTAGTTTTTCCATCATAGTTTAAGGTCAAGGAGAAAACTGTATATAATAAACCTATTCAGTATTTCTCAGAAACTTGCAAACTGATTTTCTATTACAATATCATTGAAGCTTCCCAGTTCTGTGGAATTCAGTTATTCTAGCGCTACGTCCTTTGAAGTCGAAAGACTCTCAATAACTGGCCGGTTTTCTCATGTCATGTATCTCCATACCTGGCCACCTATTCTTAAAATGATCCTAGAAACAGAAGTTAACACCCAAGGACATCATGGCACCAAGATTGTAATGTTTTGAGAATTTGCACTTAAGAGGACACACAATGCAATGGAAAATTTGCCAACACATTGGCATGAGCTTACTCTTTAGCTTGCACGAGTAAAACTTTTGAGTCTAGATTTCCCATCTGAAATATTAATTGCTATCTCTACCTATGCCAAACTAGAACTCTAACCTGGCTTACTTGCAAAACAGTAACAGGTATAATGGGCCTATATAACAGAAAATCAAAACAAAGTTGTATAATAGAATTTGTTTATTTACATGAATTTCATCATATGATTTGTTTAAAATCAATAGTGATGTCAGGTTTATCTTCTACGTGGAGAACTTGATCTGTAAAAAGAATCACGAGTTATCTAGAACATGTTCAACAAATACTTCAAATAGAGATATTCCAAGGCAAGACACCATCTCTAAAATTTCAAATGAATGGGGTTTTTCTCTCCTGTACCAAATAGAGATAATGAAGACGGGCAATGCCATACAGTTTGCAATGAGGGTAATTTTGCATGGACATAGGCATTAGCCTCCTCTTTTTCAATTTCCAACAACAAGACGCTTTTTTCATGTCAGCCCTACTGAACTGGGGGAAACTATTTAAAAAGGGTTCCAAAAACACAAATGATTATAATGGTGTCTTGCCCTCAAATATCTTATGATATGTTACCTGTTTTAATGAGAAAGAATAATCACCCAGACAAAACACAATAGCACAATAAGTGGACAAGAGAGGACTCAAAAATTAGGGTAGGGTTAAAAAAAAAAAGAGATAATTATTATAGATAAAGATTCCCACCTTGAACGAGATCTAGACTGGTATTTATTACTTGATCTCTTACCGCTCTCTTCATACTCATCTTCATACCTGCTGTTTCTACCAGACCTCTTCCTCGACCTGGATTCAGTTGAAATTCTTCTGTCAGAATACTCAATTGAGGGGGAGCGGGACCGACCTCTTTTTCTAGATTTAGACTTACTACTAGAATAGGCTTCCTCATAATCTCTGCGTGATTTACTACTGGAATAAGAGTCATCCTCATAAGAATGTTGTCGTTTGGACCTACTGGAACTATAGGATTCATCATCATAAGATCGATCTTTTTTAGAACTATAGGAATACTCATCATAAGAGCGATCTTTTTTTGACCTACTTTTTGAATAAGATTCTTCATCATCGTCTGAGTAGTCTTGCTTTGACTTTCTCCGCGGGGTTTCAACAAAAACACGTGCCTTCTTTGATTTTTCACGCTCAAAAGAATCCTCGTCATGTGAATGTTCTTTACGTGATTTTTTGTGATCAGATTGATCAGATTTGCGTTCACGCTTATGATCATGTGAATCACGACGTCTTTGCTTTTCAGTTGAAGGACTTCGAGTTAGGTCATGATACTCAGGACTAACACTTCTGTCTTTGCGTTTACTTTTTTCATCACTTTCGCGTCTTTTCACCTTGGCATGTTTTCTTGAAGACTTACTCTCATGTTTGCGACTACTATGCTTACTAGATTTGTCACGCCTATCACTGCTTCGTTTGTGCTTTGAATCGACTTTCTTTTTTTTCTTTTTCTCAGAACGTGACCTTTTCTCACTGTGACTAGACTCATCAGAGGAGTCCTGCGTGGATTTTTTAGGACTATCGCTACTACTAGTACTACTACTGTCACTATCAGAATCACTTGAATCACTACTAGAGTCCTCACTAGAACTAGATTTGCGTGATTTTTTAGAACTTTTAGATCTAGATTTCATGTTCTTATCAAGATGGTTACTATCAGTAGTTTGAGAAGGGTCTAAGCCAGGAATTGATTTATATTTGGTTAAAAAGGGAGTGGATTTTTTGTCGTCCTCAATAGTAGTTTTAAATATAGCTGGTACTGGGGACTTTTCACTATTATCTGGAAAAAATACATCCACAATTTAGCTCGTACTAAATATGAAATAAAATTTTACATGGCAATGTTCTGTGTTATACTCAGATAATTAAAAAGGACTTTGTTATGACCTATCGTACAATATTTGTATATTCATATATGCTTTTCAACCTTATTTCTATTCTACATGCCATAAGGATCACTTTTAAATTATATCTTAAAATAACAGGACATACGGCAACAATACAACCTTAAATCAAAAAAATCCTTCACTCATATGGAAAAACAAACTTGGCGCTGGAAATGAATCAAGCCAAATTCTGAATGAGACAAAAACTGTTCAAACTTACCTGGTTCATCATCCTCACTTTCACTAAATATCTGATGTTTCTTATCAAACTCTTCTCGTTTTTTGCGTATCTTTTCTTCTAAATCAGCGTCTGAATCTTCACTATCATTTTTCTCGGATTCACTTTCAGTACCACTATCATAACCTAGTCCTGAAAAGAGAAGATTTCATGATAATTTCTGATATCTCAAATTGTTTCAATATTGGCTGCTCTATATTGGCTGAAAATTTTCCAAGTCCAAGCAGAGCTGACCAATGTTTTCTTGGAAGAGACTCTTTATTAACACCTGTTTGATATACTGCACTTTTTCCATCATTCATCTGAAACATACCAAAAGTTGAACAAGATTGTAATGCGGTTTTTCAACCTTTTTAATGACAAATGATCTTTGTAATGTCAAAGTGTGAGTTAAGGTCAAATTAAAGTATAAACAAAAAAAAAACTTACCAAGAGCAGATATTGAGGCCAAAGCAGTGGACTTGGCTAACTGCTTTGCCGGAGCTTTATGATACAATAAGAGAAAGAAGAATTAGTTGTCTGCTTTCCTTCCTACTAGTGACTTATCTCTTGTAGGTTTATAGACTGAAATGTACTTGGTTATAAACACATTCCTAAATACAAGTACTAGAGTTAGAACATCTTACAGTACCCTTACAATTTCAAATACTAAGAAACAATCCAAGATGGCTGCCACAATGATGGCTACCAACAGCAGTAATTGGGTAATCTTATTTCACTATAGTTTTTTCTTTCAAGTTGTCATGTCTCTTCACTAAAGGGGAGTTCCATAGTTAATATTTTGATTTTCAAAATAAAAACAAAATCTGAGACGGTCACTACAAAATTGGCCTCTCTGCCTATGTCCACAGCTACTTCATGTTCAGGACGTACACAAAGTTCTTGATGCCTGTGAAAAAAAAAAAGAATAGGGCAAGAGTTGACCACAGGTCTGGTCAACCATGGTCTAAGAATAGAACCTTATAGACTCTCTACCTTTCTGAGCTTTATTCTTAGCTTTAAAATAGACTTCCTTAGCCACCTCCTTTACTTCTTGACTTGTAACATCTAACAAAATCTCCATTAACCATTGTTTGACTTTTAATAACTAGAATAATACAACACTGTTTTAAAATGTCTGCTGTTAGGTTTGTCTGCTCCGCAAGCCATTCCAAGAGATGACCCTAAAGGGTCATTTATACCATAGAAAACATCATGAAAACATCATCACAGAAGAACTATACTATATACTAACACAACTAATCCGTTCTCCACAAATTACTAAGATTCTTTCTCAATTTCTACTCTTCTGCACTTACTGGGCTAATGAAGGCGGACCAGTAGCAGTTGAGAAAAGCTAGGGTTTAAAGATACTATTCACGAAAAAAATATTTACTTCATAAAACATGTAACACTAATCTTACCATTTCTTGGCGTTTTTCTTCTTCTGTTTTAACCGGTGATGGTGTACGACGTTTTGGTGATGTTTTAGTGGATTTACTTTCACCCTCTGACTCTTCATCTGAATCCTGTAGAATATAATAATCTCAATTATTTTTTTAGGATACCCCATTGCAAAGAAAAACAAAAGAAAACAACTTAGGTTCACTTTGAATCCTTTCTACCAGTTAGTCTTTGGCAAAACCTCTTGGCATTGATTTGTACCCATCTACAGCTGGGTTGACTGCAATAATGATAAAGCAAATGACAATATGCAAACAAGAAATGCTTAAACCTACTTTGCTACAGAAAACCAACTATCAGTGACATCTGACATCTCAAATACACAATACTTACAAATCTACTTTTTCTTGGTACTGCTGGAGCACCATTCTTATCCTTATTAACAGTTTCTGCAGCAGCTAATTCAGCCTTCCTGTTCTCTTCTAATATCTTCAGTCTTTCTTTCTCTTTTCTTTCTTTCTCAATCGCCTTCTGTTTATCTCTCTCCATCTTCTCCAATCCTTCTCTTATCCAGCTTGGTAGATTTTTACGCTTTTGAGCATCTAAATACAACAATACTGAATTTTAACACTAAGGCTCTTCTGATGTTAAGCCTATTAAGAAGCAAAGACATTAATACATGGAAATGATCAAGTTCATTTCATGTGAATAAGTTTTAATAGAAACTATAGTAAATGATGGTAATTTTGATTAATCTTACGTTAAAAGAAGAATTGTAATTTAAGGCAAGCAGATAGCTAAACTGAAAATATTGAATGATTCATTGGGTTATAGACATACCTAAGCCACTTTCATCATGATGATGATCACCAAATGGTGAACCTCCTTGATAATCACCATCTTCATTACCCCAATACTGATTATTATACTCATTCTTCTACAAAAAAAATAGTCATAAATATGCCTGAATATTAGACTACAAAATATTAGATATAAGTGACATTAAGTAACACCCAATAGAGTTCTGTATTGTAGATTTCATCTAAGGCTATTGATTTGGGATGTTTACACATCACTTTGTGCCATTCAGTGTGCAATGAGGGAGATTTTTCCAGAACAGCATCATAAGTTGGGGTACACTCAGTAGTATACAGGCCCTTAGTTTCATAAAATAAGCTTTTGATAAAGATCTTTTCAAATAATAAACAGGCAATTTTGATTCATTTCAATTCAAATATTTTGTTTTTTCAGCATACAACTTTGAATTACCTCAAAGTTCATGTAATCACCATCACCATGAAAATTATCTCGATGAAATTCATTGTCATAATTACGCTGAAAAATGGAATAGACATTTTTACATGTAGTTGGCAAAAGGAATAAACAAGGAAAGAAGAATCATTTTACAAGGATAAAAACTTTGGTTCTTTGGTCAAATCATGGCCATGATCTTTTTGTAGCCATAGTCATTTACAAATGATCTGTTTCCATTTCAAGTCAGACTTACCCAGAGAGACCCAAAAATTTAAGACAAGAAAATCATGTCTAAATGATAAGCTTTATCCCATGTAGCATATTGAATAGTTAAACAAGAATGCAATGCGTTATATACAATAAGATAATAACTATAACCTACTTGATGTCCCATTCTATTATTATTCCAGCCATGATTATGTTGATGACCACCACGTTGATTACGACGCCAATTATCGTCTGTATTATCATTGTCTTCATTCCAGCCCCAATTACCTGGTCCACCTTCATTATATCCTACAATATAACACATACTATTTACAAACACAACTAGTTGGCAGAAAAATACACCCTGAACTACAAAATATTATATCTACAGTTTCTCACTATGCCTTCTTAATGTTTTAAGTTTTATCTTCATCATTCCCCAGAAAAATTGCTAGCAGCCATCACCAGCAGAAATTGCTATTGTTTTTCTTCTATTCAACTTGATGTATAACTGTAATTCAGCACAGCTTAACGGGTTCAGCAATAATTACCTTGAAATTGATTATAAAAATCACCTGATTCTTTAGGACCTGATTCTTCATCAGATATATCCATATCATTCTGATCTACTGCAACAACAGGGGGTGGGGGAGGCTGGGCTGCCATGTTTATAATGGCTTGCATATTTGGGGGTTGATATGTTGGGGGTGGAGGGGGAGGAATATGTGCTTGCAGTAATAAATTTGGGGGTGCATTTGCTGATGGATCTTCTTTATGTGCCATCCATTGTTTTGCCAAAGCAGCCCAATCAACTGAAAAATACAGTAAAAAAAAAAATCAGATGAAAAATAGGTAGACCAATGGACACATAGTCAAGATTTAAAATTTGGCAAAATATTCTTTGAAAAAAGCTTTTCAATATTACATTGGAATTCTCAACTGGAAGGAGATGGTAATGGGCCCTAATTAAAATAAATATATTCCTCATTAGTTAGGCCACTGACCGCACTTATTTTCATATTTTAGTTATTCTATTTTCAGTATGAATGTAATACTCACCCTGTTCATGGGGCATGCTTTCATAATGAGACTGTAACGTTGGTCTGGGCCAACCTGCTTGTTGTGGTTGTTGAGGCCACTGATTATTCCACATTTTCAATCTGTATACTTCTAATTCAATAGGTTAACTCTTTATCTGAGCCTAAAATAAAACAATTACATTAATAAAATGCCAACGCCAACAACCTTGAATGCTGCAGATAAATTCAAGATAGTTCTCTTGGCCAGAAATTTACTTTGCTGTGAATCAACCAAATGAACAAAATTTGACCTACATCACACACAGAACTTAATATGTTAAAGACATTTTCCCTCAAATTGTTTTGCAACTTGAACATATATATAAACCTAGACTTTCATACATTATCATTACATAACTTTACTAGATATTGTATAAGGCCACATTTTATAGCTATGTATCAAATAACAAACATATGGATGTCTTGTTAGCAGTTTTACTGCCAAATGACACTAGACATATCATAATAATATAGTAATATGAAACATAAATAGTGGTACAAATAGGGGGGGGAGGGGGGGGAGATGTGTGTGTAGACTGAAAGTTGGGCTAAGGGAATGATAGATAAATGTAATGAATGGAGTTTTACGTCCTGCTTTTCTGCAAATGATAGATAAGAGAGGTATCATTGTCACATTGACCTCAGTGTTAGTGGTCTGTTTAAAGCCCCTAATCATACACATAAAATCATTCTAACAGAGACAAACTAATTAACTACTGTCAATATTGTTGGTCGAATGTCAATTGCAATGAATGTTGAAAAGATAGAATAGCTGTAGTAAGCTGGTGGTAGCTGCAATTATTTACAGATTGGATTAAATTTTGCACGACTATTTACTGCTTCTTTACATTTATATGCCTTTTGACCATAATAAATATTTGAAACAGTCAAATCAATTTTATATGCACCTCTATTCACGTCTAAGTGGTACATTTGTCATTCTCAAAATCACCATGCACTTTCCACAACAAATATGGCGGACGTCTTGTCATTTTTCCCAGAATGCCCTTTAAGACGTATTGCCAGATTGAGAATAGTTTCGTACATCTTATCTGAAGCAGCATTATGTCTTATCTTTATATGCAATTACATTTGTATGAGTGTTTAATAAAAAAAAGTTCTGATAAAGCCATGTCATTCTCTATACATGCATCCTAGGATACATAATATACCTAATAGTTTAGCCTGCAAAGACAATCTGGCAGTACAGATTTACGCCACAGGTCGGTGCGCGCGTAAATCAAGGCCTACAAGTTTGGTAATTGAACATATACAAAATATACATTACTGGTAACACTTATGCAGTATAGCGATGCATGTGTAATTTCTTCCATATTGCATTTAAAGGTATGCACAAAATGTGAATATGTCAATGTTTTTTCATGATAAGGGAACCCATATTTTATACATACCGCCCATGGTCACCGGTATGCTAGTACTAGTACTAGTACTAGTAGTATTATTAGGTCGTTTGTTCACGGCTAAATATCCACTGACGACTGCGCTAATATTATGACAATTATTACTGCTAATGCAAGGCTAGAGAGTAGAGACTAAACCTTACATGGATCTTGATGCAGCTGCGAGGTTGGATAATGTAAACAAAATACAGGGAGAAAGAGTGTCCCGCACGGCCGCAGTTGTTCGCTTATCGTACGCTACTTGTAACAGTAGGCCTACAGTACAGATATCAGATATACCTTAATTGGTTTGACTTGACCCTGGCTACATCATTTCAAAACTAAGAAGAACTAATTGGTATACGGTACGGTATAGTTCTATGTATGGTCAGTAATAATGCACATTTGCCAACGATCCCATAAAAGAGTTTTTGAACACAATTTAGTCTAACTTTGTATATCTTAGCCATAATTGATAACTCTTATTTCTTATATTAGCCTTAAACTCGAACTCTGAAATGGGTACCTTTACTAGCTCTTTTATTGTTAAATACCGGTACTTTTATATTATAGATGATACAGTTAAAAATTGAACCATCGACTTGGGATTGGGGTACGTGTAGGAGTTTACCATACTGTTATGATGACAATCTGAATCAATACCTTGCCGATAGTGAATCCTCTGACAACGAATATACACTTGATATAGAGAGTCAATCTCAGAGCACCTTTTGGTTTGCCACCTCTGCCAACGTCGTTTACAATTGTGGAGATTGCCAGAAAGACTTTAAATACAGACATGAACTTAAGATGCATGCCAGAAAACATTCACGATTGCATACAATCTATATCAAAAATGTAAAAACTCCATCTCGTAAAATCAAGAGAAGGATCAAAAGAGAACCGATTTCTAGTACCGACTCTGAATTATCAGGACCACCACCCAAAAGGAAACCAAAACCACGGTCGCTTGTAGGCGTTCACAGAAATCTGTTTAATTACAACCCAGAGAAAGCCATGACCCATTTTGAGAAGAAGCCACAGGTTACTCCCATGGCCGTAAGAAATGAATCCAAACTTGAAGTCAACAAAGGATATCAAATCCACAAAACCGAAACATCCGGTACTCCAGAACACAATCTTGATAGGGATCTTAAACAATGCAAAGAGGAAGTGGTGCCACCTCCTGTCGACGAAGCACGTGGTTCACCTGTATTTAAAACAGAAGAGAGAAATGACAAGAAGTACAAATGCCGTGTATGCTACAAAAGATTTTTCACCAGGGGATCTTTGATAATGCACGGGAGGCAACATGATCATCTCCGGACAAAGAAATGCAACATCTGTGGGAAAACCTTCATCAAAGCGGATTGTTTAAGGAACCACGTGAATCGACATAACAAATTAGGATTTTACCACAAAGTTGACTTTCCTGAACCACAAACCATAGAATCTGAGTTTCAAAACACGAATCAGACTGTCCATAAAATAGAGCTGCAAACTAACCAAAAATTGGAAAAACAAGATGACCAGGAACACCAGATTTCACGAGTTTCCAAAACGCCTTATAATTGTCGTGTTTGCCACCAGAGCTTTGCATTTAGAGGAGATTTGGTAAAACACGGTAGCGTACACGATGACCTAAGATCAAAGAAATGTCACATCTGTGGGAAAATGTTCGTTATGAAAGACAGCCTCAAAAGTCACATTAATCGCCATAGAAGTCCTTTTAATATAGTATCAAATTCAAATTCGACTCACACTAACAAAGTGCCCATAATGAAAAGAACCAAAACAAAATACAAACAATGTGAAGTTTGTGGTAAGAAAATTAGTAACATCGGAAACCTTCATAAACACGTTAGCAGAATGCATTCAGATGCATTCTTATATAAATGTGATTACTGTCGAGCTCGTTTTCAAAGGACAATTGACCTGGATAAGCATCTAGAACGTCATCAAAAGAGGAGACCCTATAAATGTGACAACTGTTGTAAACTGTTCTCTACCAGCATCGAACTGCATGTGCATTTCAAACGAACACATACAGATGAAAACATGTTAACATTCCATTGTGATAAATGCTCTAAACGATGTGCGACTAGCGAAGAATTGGCAAAACATGCTAGAGTGCACGAGGGTTTAAAACCACATAAATGTGGTGTTTGTAATAAAGCATTTAGAACAATCAGCGGCAGAGATGCTCATGCTTGGGAATGTTACGGTATTATTTCATTTTGTGCTTGATTACGAGGAACTTAAAAGCAGTAATATACCCTTCTATAAGCTTCTATAACAGCTGATCTATATTTCCATGATTTGTCTGTAGTGAAATTTGTTAAAGAATTAATATTGTAATAAGTTTTACGGATAGCTATATAATAGGAAAGGAAATATCCGGAATACTATATTTCTCAAAGGATAATGTCGTTTTCCATGTTTATTTCCTCACTATATAGAGAATAAGTACGTCCAAATAAATGAGTATGTTGTCGACAAGACATATAATATGAGACAACTTATTCTTTTCACGTGAGGTAACACGCCTTCTCAATTGGCACAATTTTTAAAGATTTTTGTAGATGATACTGTGCATAATCGTCATACTACTATTCCAATTCAATATAATGGTCCAAATCCATATCAACCCCAAGCATAATAATATTGCTTTTGTTTGCGTTCTGAAACATTATATTTTGCTCGATGGGAAAAACGTCAACCGTTTATGCATGGTCTGTTTTAAAACGATTGTTTATTTCTGTTGAGTGATGTAGTTCATCACTATTGTTTTATTTCAATATAATGTTATGAATTTTTACTCGTTTATTAAAATTGATTTTAAATGTTAATTTTGCTTTACTAGTATACACTACACTTTATGTTTTCCAACAAAGAAATTCAATAATCCACGAATGAGCTGTGTCAAAGAATGTGGTTCACGTTCATAAGCATGCATGATATTTCCCATAGACAAAGAGAACAGAATTACAAATCCATGTGGAATTTCCAAATTAGCTGTCAGCTTGGATTTTTTCAACATCAGATAAATTGCGTATAAAGTGTGAGGTATTAAAAATAATGCCAGTTCTTTTCGTCTTCGAGCTCTTTCAAATAAGATCCCCATTCCACAAACAAATCCTGCCACAACAGGAACAAGTGTAGGGATAGGTGGTGGTCGTCCATAAGCGTTCCTCATCACACACAGTCCATATTTAGCCAGCATCACCATAGTTGAAAGAAACGCACTAGACATTGCTAGGTTTCTTGCTAGTGTCAGTAGCTCTTGCAATGGCCTGAAATGAGAAAAAGAAAATTTTGCTTTTATCAGAGGAACTTTAAATAACGGTTTATCTATACCACCTCGAGAGATTTTTTCTGCTGCAAAGTTATCGTTCCATTTCCTGCTGTTATATGTTGGATACAAATATCTTACTTTTGGTAGAGTTGTTTCCTTCTAAAGAGAACCATTGGCGTGGCATGGATCGGAAGATACAGCTTCGCAAAAGCTGGGTAACTGTAACAAAAGTCTTTAACTGCATGATGAGTACACGATTGTTTATGAAGTCCAGCACTTTGACAATTTATAAACTCCACAGCTGGTTTTCGAAAGAGCAGGGTCAGATTTTCATCGGAGTAGTCCCGAGACCATTTTAGTATCGATTTATAGTACCCTTTAGATAAAAGTTCCGGTTTTAGTGCTGTGCAATACACTAGAAAGGCACAACATGCACAGAATGACCAAGTCTCACAATATGGAATGCGAGTTATCTTTCCTCTTTTGACCAGAGTTGTCAGTCCCGCCCCCAAGGCACGTGCGATTGCAAAAAGGGAGGCAACTTTTCTCCTAGTTTCATCCTCAACTATAATAGATAGGCCAGCTATCCCCCCTGCTATTCCATGATTCCAGCCATCCTGAAATGACAATAAAAATGCATACTTCACCAATTGTAATAAAATTATGCTTAGGTATTCTGGTATATAGCGGGTTATAGAGACTTATTGAGAATGCCCTTTGTGGTTTCAAGATATTTCCAACTGAATTCTGATAAAATCAATCAATGTAAGCTACGCTACATGAGACGCTTTTTGTTACGGGAGTTAAAAAATAGATTAGAAAATGGACCACACGGAATCTGTAGGACCTATAGATGTTACCTTTGTTGATCTGGCTATTTGAAGAATATCAACAACTAAATGATAAATGCTGGGATAAAGTCCGAGAAAAGCAGAGAATTTGACAGCATCTGTACAGACAATTTCCTTACCAAGGGCAGGTAATCTGAAAAAGATAAAAAGAGATTTTGGTAGAAGACGAGTCGGTATTTTGCCTCGTTACCGCGCTAACATGTCCAACCGGAAGTTAACAATTGAGTGATGATATATTGTTAGTAGTAGTGGTTGGGTGTATATATAAACTCGACAAAATGCAAAATTTCTTCAGAAATGATAAGCTCTTGCCCTTAGTGCCAATGGATTTGAACAAACTCCTACTGATTGTGAGATTAGGATTGTGACAATTGATACAACCACAACTTAGATTATTCTTGCTCTCACTTAGTCCAAAAATCTGCTTTTGATGGAGCACACCGACAACTAACTGTCCAATTAGCTATGAGAGGCTGGTCTAGCCCTCATCCTGCCTAAACCTTTCTCATGTGATAAAGGTGGTAATGTTTTCTGATGAATTCGCAAAGACAAATGTAGTCCGGTAGTCAAACCCCCAGTCTGTCCCTGAAGGTATCTAAATGTAATTCACCAATATTCTTCTAAAAGCTTCAAAATGTAACGAATAAGCTAAATAATTTACCCTTTACGAAACGGATTTTTCATAAACGCGGAGACACCTTTTACACCAGCATAAAGAATTGCTCCGCTTGAAAAACCTCTGAAAAAATCAGTAACGAATCTTTGACATAACGCCAGAGTATTAAGCTTACGGACATAATCCCCAGTAGCATCTTTCTCTTCCTTCGACATCGACATCGTTAGCTTGTTTTCACCAGTTATCACGTGCTTTCTGTGTTTATATTTTATCAATCGTGTCAGCTGACCCACAATGGATGTCACACTTTTCACAAAAATGCCTACATCGTATCGTACACAGTGATTTATCTAAATTTCATTCAATAGGGGAATGCTATGTTTTGATAAGAAAGTAGGTTCGATGATATCATTTTGATCTTCATCTTATCATCAGATATAGTCCGAAAGTCTCTGATTTTTTCTAGCCTCAGATAGTTTTTATTTAATGGAATATTCCAAAAAAAGTTTCTTGTGCCTCATTTTAACCAAAAAACGGAAATATGGTTAAACTGCTAAATGAGTAGAGAGTTTATTTTTAATTTACGTCTGTAGAAATTGGAAGCGATTCTCTCCCTGGTGAGAGAAGAATACATTTTTCTACAGCTACGTTTAAATGTCTACATATTTGTATGGATTAGCTATGGTTTCGTATGTATTGCTACAGCTTTGTTGCATGTACAGTTACATGCATCTAGCATATACAGTTACATGCATCTAAAGCTTTGTATTTATGAACTATGTACATTTAGAGATTGTTATATATACAGCTTCAGCTTAGCTGAGAATCGGGTTTTTACTTTGGTCTTCAAGCATAAAACGTGATTTCTTTCTTCAAAACTCTGATTTAACAAATGTCACTGAGCCAGACTCGGCAATCCTTTATCACAAAAGATTTGAGGATTTCACTAGGACTATGCGATTCAGCATCTTTTTTTTATAGATATTTTTATGAACCTTCAGTTGCAGATGGCAAAAATATACAAATTAGTTCATATGACATCAATCATTTTGTGTAAATGATTAATTTTAAACAGGACCTCTTATCTTGATATTTCACCTTCTAATAATTATTTACACGTCTGCTTAACAACTTGGGTATTCTACTCATAAATCATCGTCTGCTACGAGGTAATCAATACTACAAATTGAGTTGTCTCCCTTGTTTTATTAGTTATTTACTAGGAGACGTTCGAGGACTTTATGTATTTTACGAGTACTTCATTGCTGGAGAAATATAAAGGCAAATCATGTAGTGTCTTGAGAAATCTGAAGTTTGAAGTTGGTGTTCTTGGAGAGACGGAATATTAGAAAGTTGATAAATATTCCTTGATGTATAACTTACAATAAAGGTAGGCCTTTGAGTTTTCAAGCTTTCTGTGGACTTTGTTTTCATCAAATGGTAGTGTCGACACATTATATAATTATGCATTCCACACGAAAAGGGTGTTTCTTAGAATTCTGATAAGACACAAACCGGGTTAGGGTCAGTTAGTTTTTAAATCAAGTTTCTTCCTTGAAATTTTAAGGGCATGACACACGGAATACATTCCGATAATGTGTTTACATTTTCAGCGCACTTGGGATGATTTTCAAAAAGTTCTATATATATGCAAGTGACAATAATCAGCTATTGACAGTGAAGTTTACTTTGAAAATTTTGGTTCTTCAGTTTGAAATAGTCAAAGGGGTATACCAGCTGTTTGTGTAAAATGGTAAAGAAAACCAGGGGTGAAGATTGTTGCACCAAAACTCGTGCTATACGAGGTGGGCAATCAGAGCCCAAAAGTTTTGTTTGAGGTTAAATAATGGATGATTATGTTCATTATCCGATTAACTGACCTAATCTAAAATAACATAAGAAGATTAATATAATATACACGTTGTTATTACCTTAGGTTTATATTTACTACAACGTAACGCGCTGTAATTGAATACTAAACTAGACCTGTACTGTATATTGTACCATTAAAGACTGTCTTCCACTTACCCAGGTGGGATTGACTATATACAATACTATCAATACTTTTACAGAGGTTTACTTTCAGTTTCCTTAATCATTTTAGTTGTAGTAACTTATAAAATAATGGTTATTTATGAATAATATTGGAAACGATCCTTATTTTCAACATAGTTTTTCTAGAATTGCTTATCAAAAAAACACATTTCAGGGACTCTCTGCATGAAACTACATTATTTTAACGTTAGAATGGATATCAGTTCCATAAACCATTACATTTCACATTTATAACTTTTAAAAATATGAGTAATGATGTGCATGAGAGCATTACTTTTAGTAAATCATAACTCACCATTTAACTTAGAATAGGCCTAATTATCGAATTGATTCGGAAACGTAAATCGATCTCGCTAACTACATGTTAATTTTGATACGACGCTTTTGTGACATTTGTATTGATACACAATGTGAATTGACATTTATAACTACCAATTGACTTGTATTCATATAGCAATCGACTGAACTTACAACTAATATAATGATTTACTTCAAAGACTCTTTCTATAAATCTTTTATAACTTTTGTCATATAAAGACACTAAGTGGTGAAATGTCTTTTGTTAGAATTATATGGCACTAGAACACAAAAAGAGAGCAACATTTGTGACATACTAACTCATTTATTTATGTCTTATCTTTCTGTGGGTAGTTCTTTTTCGGCGCCCTTTGAAGTCTTAGGCGAAAAAGGACGCAGATCAATGAAGGAACCACGTTGAACTTGAAGACGCAGATAATTGAAAGATCTTCGCTGAGTTCGATAGTGAAAGTGGTAGAAAGGGACATAATAAACCATTCATATAGTTCAGTATCTGTCATCCGTATCACTTTTCAAAATTAAAGTTTGAAATCCAATTCGTCGACAATTTAGATTATTACTTCCATTAGTACACATTTATTGTATGAATCTTGATTGTTTCTCTTACATTTCCAAAAAATAAACGAAAATTCCACTTTCTATAATAGTAACATACCCGATATATTGTTATGAACCTAACAAGATACTGAAAGGAAAGAGGGTTGTTCGTCCTTCATTACTGGTTTCTGTTTTCAGATAGAAAACAAGAGAAATACAATATCTCGAATTAATTACATGTTATGTGATACAACAGTGCATCGTGTATGCATCAATGCAGAATTTTATTCGTTCCTTTATGTATATATACCGAGGTCTAACACTTAACAATGTCTAATGCGTTTGTAGCGTGATCAGTGAAAAGCTTGACGGTATTATTTTGTTTATCTTGTAAAATGAAGTGCTTGTTACGTGTTACTCCAAGTGCCCACATAAATCATTGAACATAATATAACGAATACTATGAATCATAAAATAAACACCATGACATGCACCAGTTATCCCTTAATTTTCATAGTACTTTATCTGGTATCTCGTTGTTATATATACGCCATGATTTCCTTACATAAATCTGGAACATCCTGGTGATATATTTCTTGAACAAATCTTCTATATCCTGGTAATATTAACCTGGTATATCCTGGTGATATATATTTCTAAAAAACTTCTGGTTTATCCGAGTGATATTTATGTCTCATATAAATTTGATGTATCCTGATGACCTATATCTCTAACATAATTCTGAAATATCCCAATGGTATATGGTATCTCTAATATTAATCTGATATATCCTGGTGATATATTCTCTTACATTAATCTGGTATATCCTGGTGACCTATATCTCTTACATATTTCTGATATATCCCAATGGTATATGATATCTCTAATATTAATCTGGTATATCCTGGTGATATATATCTCTTACATTAATCTGGTATATCTCGGTGATATATTCTCTTACATTAATCTGGTATATCCTAGTGATATATATCACTTACATAAATCTGGTATATCTCGGTGATATATATCTCTTACATTAATCTGGTATATCCTGGTGATATATATCTCTAAAATTAATCTGGTATATCTCGGTGACATATTCTCTTAAACATTAATCTGGTATATCTCGGTGATATATATCTCTAATATTAATCTGGTATATCCTGGTTTTATATATCTCTTACATTAATCTGGTATATCCTGGTGATATATATATCTCAAACATTAATCTGGTATATCTCGGTGATATATTCTCTTACATTAATCTGGTATATATCGGTGATATATATCTCTAACATTAATCTGGTATACCCTGTGATATATTTCTTGAACAAATCTTCTATATCCTGGTAATATTAACCTGGTATATCCTGGTGATATATATTTCTAAAAAACTTCTGGTTTATCCGGGTGATATTTATGCCTCATATGAATTTGATGTATCCTGATGACCTATATCTCTAACATAATTCTGACATATCCCAATGGTATATGGTATCTCTAATATTAATCTGATATATCCTGGTGATATATTCTCTTACATTAATCTGGTATATCCTGGTGACCTATATCTCTTACATATTTCTGATATATCCCAATGGTATATGGTATCTCTAATATTAATCTGGTATATCCTGGTGATATATATCTCTTACATTAATCTGGTATATCTCGGTGATATATTCTCTTACATTAATCTGGTATATCCTAGTGATATATATCTCTTACATAAATCTGGTATATCTCGGTGATATATATCTCTTACATTAATCTGATATATCCTGGTGATATATTCTCATACATTAATCTGGTATATCCTGGTGATATATATCTCTAAAATTAATCTGGTATATCTCGGTGACATATTCTCTTAAACATTAATCTGGTATATCTCGGTGATATATATCTCTAACATTAATCTGGTATATCTCGGTGATATATTCTCTTACATTAATCTGGTATATATCGGTGATATATATCTCTAACATTAATCTGGTATATCTCGGTGATATATATCTCTAATATTAATCTGGTATATCTCGGTGATATATATCTCTAATATTAATCTGGTATATCTTGGTGATATATATATCTCTAATATTAATCTGGTATATCCTGGTTTTATATATCTCTAATATCGGTATATCCTAGTGATATGTATTTCTTTGAAAAAATTTGTATGTTGTGGTGATATATATCTCTTATATAAATCAGGTATATCATGGTGATATATTTTTTTTACATTAACCTTTTATATTTTTAATTTCACAATTATTGTAATGTTCTCATTTGTTTAACTTGAAAATAGATATAGAGAATATGATCACAAAAAGAATGTTGGTCAGTTACATGAATTCGTACATGAATTCAATATTGATTTGTATTTTAGGGTATATTTTGTTCTTTTTAGAATTGTTATGTTAATGCCAAGGTATGTGGCCTAATTACTAGTTAATGACTTTCCAATTTTTACTTGAATAGAATCCCAAAGAAAGCAGTCGGTCGATTGTATCGTAATTGGTATTCAATTCTGTTTTCTCTTCCTGTATAGCAGCACTTAGTTTATTATTGCGGTATTAATAACTGGACTCATTGCAAAACCATGACTAATTGGGAGTATATTTTCAGTATACTTGAAAGAAGAAAGAAACCAAACTATTTTTATAAAGATATCAGCCGAGTCGACTAGCATAACTTATACAAGATCGCCAGACTCTCACTCATCGACGTAACAAAACAAATGGCATCATGTATGAATTCTAACGCTCTAGCCGACTGTGCAGCAAAACCCCTAGAAGAGCTACTCTCATAATTTAGAGTCGATAAAGATAATATCTAGCGCTTGTGTCAACATTTAAGGTAAATGTCACTTTAAACTATGTTTGAAATTGGTTTAAGTTGTATCAGTGATTGAAAATTGAAAAACATGCTTGCTATTTGAATTAAAACTGCTTTCAATAATTATAATCCAAAGCCTGTATTGTCAATATAATCAATATAATCGTTAATCTGGGTGGATTAAAATAATCGATTTATACATTTTACTTATCAATATTATCAAAGGCTTGAAGACAACATTGGACCTAGTTATGAGTAATATAGCGTTATATTCATATAAGTAATATTATTTAAAGCATATAGCTTAAACTGAACATCTTGACGTTAAGACAGATAAAAGACCGAGTTTGAATTGATTAATATATACTGAATAATATAATATATTATCAATGTTTAAAGCTTATTGACTGTTTTTTTTAACTGTTTCAATCACGTTAGATGTTATATCTTCAGCCATTCGGTGCGTGGAAAGAATAGATTTGACATGCCCTCACAATAGTCAAAATTAAAAGACGTATTTAATTAAATGTCACGCAAACGATGTCCCACGATGCCACTTACACAGACGTGATTTTTATCTTGATCAATCTGAAGACTTTGTTTTCTTGTAAAATTATTCTTCAATTGATATATAAATATTACATACACGTTTCATGCAAAGAACGATTTCCCATAATATGCATTGAGTTAGATTGAATAAATCTTAAAGCCTGTGGCTTGTTGTAAGAAAATTGTGGAATAAGTTTTGAATCGCTCGTTATAACAAAATTGTGGAATGTAAGTTTTAAATAGCTCGTTATAACAAAATTGTGGAATGTAAGTTTTGAATAGCTCGTTATAACAAAATTGTGGAATGTGGCTTGTTGTAAGAAAATTGTGGAACAAGTTTTAAATAGCTCGTTATAACAAAATTGTGGAATGTAAGTTTTGAATAGCTCGTTATAACAAAATTGTGGAATATAAGTTTTGAATAGCTCGTTATAACAAAATTGTGGAATATAAGTTTTGAATAGCTCGTTATAACAAAATTGTCGAATGTAAGTTTTGAATAGCATGTTATAACAAAATTGTGGAATATAAGTTTTGAATAGCTCGTTATAACAAAATTGTCGAATGTAAGTTTTAAATAGCATGTTATAACAAAATTGTGGAATAAGTTTTGGATCGCTCGTTATAACAAAATTGTGGAATATACGTTTTGAATAGCCCGTTATAACAAAATTATGGAATATAAGTTTTGGATCGCTCGTCATAACAAAATTGTACATGGGTTTTCTTTGTTTTCATTGGCACATTTACAACATGCAATATGAGTTCTGTTTAATTCGTAGTAGCAGTAACATTTGGCAGAAAGTACAGGGGTTTTGATCGGCTCCCTGTTACACAATATAGGTTTTGCTTGGCCGTTACAACAATCTTTCATTGAGTTTTGGCGGAATATAATATTGATTTTAACTTGATTTAAAATATGGGCAAACCATATAGTATTTATTGTTGAGTAGGGCCTATTGATAGAAATTTCCAAATTTAACACAGATCAGAGATGTGTGGAAATGAGCATCGAACTTACAGATTTTATAAGATGATTTTTAAACATATACCAACAAACATGGCGGTATTATGGTGGTATTTTAATCTGAATATTTATGGTTGCTACGAGTTCATACCGTAGCTCATTAAATTTTGATAGACATAGACCAATCGATCTATTTCCAATAACACATTAAGTTTACTAAACTAATTAACCTCCCAGATTTCAAGTATCATAAACATTCAAGTATATATACTTATATCACTCTGAATAACTGACAGGCGGGTATGGGTAAATCGGGCCCCGCCTTATAGTCTACAAGTCATTGGATATTGAATAATTCTGAGCTATTAGATTATATTCTCAGAAATTTCAATACAAATTCTATGGAAATACATTGAATCACATCCAAAAAGCAACATGAAACATTTGATATTGAAGAAAATTTATGGGGAAAAAAAATTCCAATGGAGGGGATGTGTGAATTTTTTTTCTAAATAGACAGACCAATTAAATTGTAAAGTATTGTTAAATATTAACTAAATTTACAAGTTACCTATAAAACACGAAATAAAATTTTTGGTTCATATTCCTAATCTGGGTGGAATCAATTGTTTGGTTTGTTTGGTGAATTTACTTGACAAAAAGTAATAAGACCATATGAATCAGCAGGGACATTTCAACAGCATAGCATCATTAATCAATGGTCAACTTTTCAATCAACCGATTTCATGATATCATAGTCTGTAAGTCTGTAAAACTTGGTCTATAGTAGACACCTTCATGATATATATCGTCTGGTATTTAGTTACTTTAATTTGCATAGGGCGTTTACATTTTCTATTAAGCTCTCCTTGTATCGATTGGCCTAGAACGAACTTCAAATAAATTTATAAGAAGAGTTTTCAAAAGTGAAGTCATTGAGACATTAACTTTATGACAGGGAGAAGTTTTATGACTTTAATTGGAGGTAGTTAGGATTTATATACAGTAAGAATAGAAAGGAGTAGGGGCTTGATCATCTCACTTCATTCATTCTTTGTTGAAGGTAATATATTGGTTCTCCAGATGTTAACCTATAATATCAGTTTCAACGAAATTGCGAGAATATTTTTAATCATTAAAGTTAATATTTTTCGTATATTTTCAGATATTTGTATTTGAAACTTGGTGATCAAATCCATCATGCGTCCACAACACAGTTACCAATCCTTGAACCATTGACCACCATGTTAATGACAGACAGTTGGCAACCATCAGTTCTTCAGCTGACGCCGTTTGGAAGCAACGACGCAAGTAGTCAAAATGATATCTTATACCACGAAGAAAGGAACAACGTCAATAAGGGTTTTCCGCGATTGGCTGTTACTAGAGTCAACAACTTCCAGTCTGCTCGACACAAGATCGTCCGATCTGTCTCCGAATGCGCAGATCGTCCCAAAGTGTTTAGTAATAGGCCGTGCAGTCTTCAAGGGCCTCGTTCGCAATCGGAACAAAGTGTTAAATATAAAACAGCAGTGAAAGACAATGGTTTTTCGGTGAAAGATCTAAACGATCAAATAATTTACTCTGCAAATACGGAAATTTTGTTAAAAAATGACGGAAATCAGAAACCAAAATCGTGGCTATGTTCATCAAGCTCAGATTTTACAGATCAGGTGAAATATCTACCCAAGCCTAATGTTTCTCGCTCTTTAGATGGGCGTTACTTTCTTCCTCAAAATGGTTTTTGGCGCGCAGTGACGTTAACCCCGGGTGAGATTGACCTCAGAAAGCAGAAAGTGTATCAGGATGCTAAGCAAAGAAAAATCCCACACCTAAAACACAAAGTGAACGTCAACTCATTACCGAGAAGTAATACACCAATAACTGATTATGATCCGGATAGATTAAATATGAAAAATGTAGTCGCTTTCTTACAAAAGAACAATGGTGAATCAAACACAAATTCTAAGACGACCAACCACGTAGCGACAAAATCTCAATCCGAACCTACGACCTCTCCACGTCGAACTGAAGTTACACCTTCTCCACATAAGTTTAAAAGTGATGTGATCAAAAGAGACCGTTCTAGCCATAGAGTTCGAATCTCAGAGCCAGTGCCAAGTATGGAACAACGATTCAAAAAATCAGAAAGCAATTATAGAAAACCAAAAGGTAAGGAAAATGCGACTCGGTCGGTTCGCCAGTTTAGACTTCATCGGTTTCTGACAATGGCTGCCCATGATTCAGATCAAACGTTCAACGATTCTGTTGCGTCTAAAGCTTATCCTGTATATAGTCCAAGGGAGAGACTTCGTATTACTCCAAAAAATGATTCTCAAGAAAACACAAATTGTAACCAAACTTTGTCAAGTGATCAGCCTTCAACGGAAAAACTTGCTTCGGCCGATGCTGTCATTCGTTTACCAAATATGCTTGATGAAGAACATCATGACGACGATGATTTCCCGAATAATGTTGACCTATTGGATGCGATAGAAACAGTGGCTAATGCACAGCGTGCTAACAGTGATCAATATAAGAGGAAAGTAAGAATTTCAGAAACCCGGGGCTTCACTAACGCAAATGGTAAGGTGAAACTGTCTTTACGAAGAGAAAAGACTCTTACGAGAGAACATACTTACATGAGTGACCTGGCCGAATCTCGAGTAAGTCTCGATCAAAGACAGTCGTTATTATCCAGTGTGCAAAGACTGAACAGTGAGAATCCATTGGACAATGAATAAGCATAGATGATTGGATGATTACATATTTTATGCATGTAAAGTTTATCAGTTTGAGTTATACAGTTTATTGCTTTTTCCTCGAATGAAGTTTTTGCAGACAAGCAACCCATGCAATTGCGATAATGAAAATTTAAGAATGCATGTACGGAAATTGGAATATTATAGGTAAATTGAAAAAAAAAATTGTACGGAGTATTTCAAGATATTTTTTGTTATATGAGATATGGTACTGTATTTTTCAAAATACTTTTTTATAAAGTAGTTTGTTTTGTTTATTTCTGTATTGTACACGTACATTGGTTTGCAAAATGACCCCACCTATAGACCCATCTGTAAACAGAATCTCAAATCCTGTTCACGTTAGTCATCTTGTATCATCAGAATCTCAAATCCTGTTCACGTTAGTCATCTTGTGCCATCAGAATCTCAAATCCTGTTTACGTTAGACATCTTGTGTCATCAGAATCTCAAATCCTGTTCACGTTACTCATCTTGTATCATCAGAATCTCAAATCCTGTTCACGTTAGTCATCTTGTGCCATCAGAATCTCAAATCCTGTTTACGTTAGACATCTTGTGTCATCAGAATCTCAAATCCTGTTCACGTTACTCATCTTGTATCATCAGAATCTCGAATCCTGTTCACGTTAGTCATCTTGTGTCATCAGAATCTCAAATCCTGTTTACGTTAGACATCTTGTGTCATCAGAATCTCAAATCCTGTTCACGTTAGTCATCTTGTGTCATCAGAATCTCAAATCCTGTTCACGTTAGTCATCTTGTGTCATCAGAATCTCAAATCCTGTTAAAGTCATTCTTCTTGTGTCACCAAAATTTCAAATCCTGTTAACGTTAAACATCTTGTGTCATCAGAATCTCAAATTCTGTTAAAGTCATTCTTCTCGTGTCACCAAAATTTCAAATTCGTTTCACGTTACTCATCTCGTGTCATCAGAATCTCAAATCCTGCTCACGTCAGTCATCTTGTGTCATCAGAATCTCAAATCCTGTTCACGTTACTCATCTTGTGTCATCAGAATCTCAAATCCTGTTCACGTTACTCATCTTGTCTCATCAGAATCTCAAATCCTGTTCACGTTACTCATCTTTTCTCATCAGAATCTCAAATCCTGTTAAGGTTACTCATCTTGTCTCATCAGAATCTCAAATCCTGTTCACGCCAGTCATCTAGTTTCATCAGAATCTCAATCCTGTTCACTTTACATTTGGTTAAGAGACCTTCTGTTTCTGTTGCTAAAGGAAAACTACACAGATTGACATTTCATAGAATGATAGAATGGGAGGTAACTCAAAATTTCAAAACATAATTAAATTCTCTGTACAATTTTCTTTTTAGATGTCAGAGAATTGTCTACAGCTCGCGAACGAGAAAGTGGAGTCTTGCATAGTAGTGATAATTCAGTGCTATATCATGCACGAGAATCTTTAAAATATCAGGATTTTATTGACACATAGACTACTTTGAAAGTTCAGTTTGTTCTCTGCAATATATTAGAATTACCTTTACGAAAGTTCGGAACATTGACGAATGCTATTAAAGAAATGATAGAATATTCTGACCACTCATGAAGACGAATTTTGCAGAAGATGATCATTTGATGTCAATATACGTCGACTAAATCCCGCAATTGATCAAGATCTCAGTTATTAACAATCGATGAAAATCGAGCTGCTGTCAGATTCTGTCCGACTAAAGGTGGATCTTAGCCCCACCTCCCACATCTGCCTCCTCTAGAGGTTAGCATACCTATACTCATAAAAAAAATAGTATTGGGCAGCCCTGTATCAATTCAAAAAAAGTAGATTTTGTTGCTTCCTGTTAATGAGAATTAACCTTTGACATTTGCACAATATTTAACTCCTATGGTATATTTCGAGCTTGACTAAACTTAATAAAGTAATTTACTATAATTCGATAAAGCTTTGTTACTCATGGTTCAGTAATTCTCATAAAATTATCCACCATAGATTCACAGAAAATCGTGCCAAATTACCAATCGTTACATCGTTACGCGCTTATCTTCAACTACATTTCAGCACATTTGGTTGTGGGTAATGGGTCAAGTTAATCCGACTTGCACCATACACGAGCGAAACACTGAGGATTCGGTAATTACTAATACACAAGGTGATTTATGAATTTAATCTGCGCTTGATCGGGACCTAATCCGATCTATTGGTGACTTGGTAACAAGTCTTATCTCGACAGTTCATAGTAGCCTATACATGTTTTATTGAGACCAATATTCTGACAGTAAACTAGATGTTTGAATTACGAACGGGGAAATGTAGATAATAAAGTTATTGTTGATCGAAATGATAAGACACGTTTGGGTAGCTAAGATGTGTAATGTATGCTTCAGACAGGCTTGATTATTTTGATTGTTGATCGATTGAAGACTGGATCTATTGGACTATAAATACTTGAAATGGATGAAGATTTTTATGAAAACTTAATAGCGAAACTGGTAAGTCTTTACTTTCCTGATTCTGAACTTTTCTTTGTCCTTGCCATTGATACATTTTTTTTTCTTTGAAAGTTGTCTTGTCTATACAATTTTCGTTCAGAATCAAAAACTCGCCGATATTTATCTAAACCTCCATCTGTCTGACCCTTCATTTATCTAAACATTCATCTGTCCGAACCTTCATTTATCTAAAACCTTCATCTGATTGATTCTGGTCTTATCTAAACCATCGCCTCTGAACTTTCACTTATCTAAACCTTCGCCTATCTGAACCTTTATTGATCCTAACATTCTTCTTTCTAGACCTCCGTACATGTATATCTAAACCTTCTGTCAAAATCTTCATATATCTAAACCTTCATTTGCCTGGTTCATGGTCTGTACCTTCATTTATCTCAATCTTCGTCTGTCTGAACCTTCATTTATCTAAACCTACATTTGTCTTATGTCTCATTTTATCTGAACCTTTTTCATTAGGAAGGTTCGCAATCAGTGTTGATAACTAATGTTCAAAAGTGACAGGTGACAGGTACCAATCGTACCTTAGTCTCAGAAACGAGAACTTGTTTTTAGCTTGAGCCTTCAAATTTACGTGTGTCTAGAATTATCCGCGTTAAAAAGACGAGTAGTCATATAGACACCGGCATATAAAAAATAAATATATATAATTAGGACAAGAAATTCCCAGTTTGAGATATTTTTGAAGGAATTATGCTAGTTTTGTGCAATTTTAGTTTTTCTTTTTACTTATTCAAGACTCAAATCAACCCCCCAAAAGGCGCAACCGTCCCTTTCTGTTACCTCGTTTGAAAATGTCTTTAATGTTGAGCAAATACTCTCTTCTAATATTTATTATTTTATGATTGTAGGCACACCTACATACGTCCAATTTAAAGTAGATTGTATTAAATACACAAGTTCAAGTCATAATGGGTGCTGACAAATGGTTTAAAGACCTTCAGCGTTCGAATAGTTCAGAGTTTGATGTAATGGCAATTAGTGGGAACAAGATCTGGCCATCTTACGACCTCCATTATCCATCAAAGAGACCACTACATCATGTCAACAGAGCTACTCCGGTAAGAATTATTTTTTGTCGCCATTTGATTAATCACAATAAACTTCCTTCTCCATCGGAACGAAAACCCATACCTTGTTCTTTTACAACTAAATAAATGGAAATCGGCTAAACTGATAGGCTTATTTATCTTCTTCATAAAGAAAAAGACGCCCGCTTTGAGTATCACAAATTGAGCTCATTCATTCATGCATTCATTCATTCATTCATTCATTCATTCATTCATTCATTCATTCATTCATTCATTCATTCATTCATTCATTCATTTCCAAGTAATTACATTGTCTCAAAGTAATTTCCATTGCCAATCAACCATGGATTGAAAACAATTGAACTTGATATTAGATCGCACGTCAACAAATGCTTACTGGTGTTCTTATATATCTATATCATTGTCTATATTATGTCTATTGTTTAAAACGTTGGAGTATATGTATAAGTAGAGATAAGTATAGCGGTAATGTAAATAATAAGCTTATATCTAATATAGACCCGTTGTTAATGTAAGAATAGTAGCCAACGCATTTGGCAGAACATACAGACTCCTCCTTTGACAGTCTTATACATCATTAAAGCTAGGTTCCCACTATCACGATTTGCGACACGATCTAAAGCATGGTCTTAATCGCGTCAGATCCTATCAAATCTTCAGCACAGTTGTGACAATCGACCTAAGAAATCATCTGAAATTTCTAAGATCTATACAGTGAATTGTCAATCTAAATCATCATGTTATAGGTCATGTCAACCCATGTGATTCTCTCTGATTAGAAAGTTAAGTATTCAGAATCTATTGGCAAATTGACCAAATTGTTCAACAAGGGATCTAAATTAATGAGATATTAAGACGTTTTAACCATATATAAGATCTAAACCTGGTTTATCTAGAAATGTTGATATCATAGTTTTTTTTTTGGAAAATAAAGCTAATGAATAAGAAAATTTTTTGTCTATTTTTGAAAATGTTATAACCAAACTAGGTTTATAAACAACCTAGAGAGTGTTTATAAAACTAGTATGGCTAGCCATTAATGGTATAAGTGAAATTGACGTGGCATTAACAGAAACACAGTTTATTTCTGCTCTTAATAAACTTTATAAACTTCTTTTTTTTAGGGAAATAGGAAATATCCTTTGGTGAGGATGTCGCTACCAATCAAAACGCTAGCAACAACAGTCCAGCCATCGTCAACGGAGCAGCAGATTCAGTTCGATGATGTTTTTAAATATGTGGAGAGACAAAGAGTCAGATCTTCTTGTCACAGCAGACGTCAGACTGTAGAAAATGGTCGAAGAAGCGTTCAGAGCCGTTTAGAAATGTCGCGACCACAGTCTTGTATTACCAGCAGTTCTGTGAGCAGACCAAAGCCTCTGTTACCCCGACGTTCGACTATGGATTCCATTAGTATGTTATCTTCTTTGGACAACACAACTAGACCAATAAGTGTTGCCGACTCGGAGGTATCATCGTTCGTCCAAAAACATTGTTGTGAATTAATGGGTCCTAGTGTCTGCACTTCTTGTAGCAAGAAGAACACAATTTTGATAAATCGAGCGCGTTCCCAGTCTTCTATGTCAAGCTACAGAGTAACAACAGAAAATATTGCCACTGTCGCTATGGTACAGCGAATACTCCCTCAATTAACAAGCTCTGAAATTCAAGAACAATTAGAAAATGGCGGCATATGTCGTCTGCAACGAGTAAATTGTTGGAATCGCGACAAGTATATAAATGAGGATGATGGTGACGATGAAGAAAAACGAGATAAAATACCAACTTTAAACTTGGCGAAATTAAGATTTAAAAATATGGTAAAAAAGACTACTACTCCCAATTATTTCAGGAATATAAGACAATTAAACCAAAAGGTTGTTTCAGGGGCAGTGGATTTGGGCGAGAATCGATTCTTTCCTATTAAAAATGAACCAAAGCGTACAGAAAGTCCATATCCAGTATTTGTAAGTCCGAAGAAGAATAGTTTAGCGTCAGAACCCAAATTTAAAGCGTATTATGAACCACCTTTGCTAGAAAAAGATGACCAAATAGATCCATTTGCAGCAACTAGTGTAACAAGCGATTCGGATGATGCGATGCTAAGACAGCAGCCAAAACGATTAGACTCGGACTCCGAGGACGACATAGACTGTCTAAGCACAAGCCGTCTGGATGACGTACCCGACAGTCCTCGTGAGGACAATGAAATGGAGAATACAGAAAAAGCACCCTACGACCCCCCATTGCTTCCCAAAGAAAATCAAATTGAAGAACCTTCGTTTTTTGCTGGGTCTGTCATACCGTACACGTTGCCGGAGAGAGCACCTGATAAACTTGGTAGTTTTGACATGAGTCGCCTAAATGGAGAGTTAACTTCCAGTGAAAGTGAAAACGAGAACTAAATTTCAAAAGAAAACTTGTTAAATTACAAAGCTAAAAAATTTGAATTAAATACTGTTCAATAATTCATTGGTGTGATACAAATGATACCCCTCGCCCCTCATGTAGAAACAGCATAATCTCTTCAAATATACCTATAAATTTCACTTTCTATTCTTTATATACCTTTTCTATTTATGGTGGAGTCGTCATTTTAACATTCAAACGCGGATAATTCTGGACACACATAGACATGAAGTCTGAAATTCCCGAATCTGAAAGCTATGATAGGTCAAACGGATGATGAATCTGTCCGTTTAAGATATAAGTTATAATATTTATATATATCCATGTATGTTATTTATTTTTCCCGCGCCATTAGTCATGCATCAAAAGTGCATAATGATAATTTCCAAAAAATTATTTTTACTGTGATAAGTAAACCGGTTTTTGTTAAAGGTTTGGTATAGGCATTGAAAATATTGATAATTGAAATAGTTTGTAACAGGAAGTTTACGTACTTTGTCATTCGATAAATCAACCTATCTCAAGCCACTTCTTGTAATTTGATAATATAAATGTATAGTTTGTTCAGAATAGAATAGTTGTATATAACCTCCCTTGCGCAGCGATCTACCGGTGCTTTGTTTGCGTCGGAAAAATAACGACCATTTTTTTATGAAATCTTATTTCCATGGCTCAAAACTTACTACTTACATACGTCACTGGACTGCAGACACTGGATATCAAACCTTTTGTCAAAACTAAAAGCATTTTGGATTTTTGGGTCAAAATTATTGTAACACAAAAGAACCCAAGACGAACATACATTAGGTCGAACATGGAATAGGATGAAAATGTGCATGGGCAAATGCGTTTGAGGCGAACGGATCTTGATTCTAAAATTGAAACGATATACAGTTATATTGTGAATATGATTTTCTATGCCTACATGCAGTGGGAAATGTAAGGAAATTTGATCGGCAAATATCACTATGCACACCCGAGGAAAACTTTAAAACGTAATGTAAATCTAGCTATAAGCTGATAAGTTAACGCCCTTTTCATAAAACGAAAATATGTAAAAGATAACCAAGCTTGGTTGATTTTCAACAGTGAATAGTACAAAGCGGAAGAAGTTTAACAGCTCAAATCATACAGCTATGTTTCGTCTCGAAATTATGTCTCCCTTTTCCTTATTTTAAATTCTTTATAAGGTAAGTGAAAATGATTAATCTTTGATCTGTAAATCGTTATTATATATTCAGTCACAACAGAAACGTCACACTGTTATTATTATGTTTATAATTGAGCGACTGGGTAAGGCCCAATGCCAGTAAGCAGCCAGTTTGGTACATGCCAGTTAGACGCGGTACTTTAGGCACACTTCTTTAAGGCACAATCTTTTACGGCCCACTGATATAGGGCAAAATCAATAAGGCACATCTGGCCAGTGTCAGAGATGGTTGGGGTGAGGGAATGGTGGGGAAATGCTCTTTAAGAATGAAAGTGAAAGATTCTCATGTCCATTCTTATTCTCATTCTCATATAACCTCATCCTTACTCTCATTCTAATTCTCATCCTCATACAATCTCACCCTTACTCTCATTACCATTCTAATTTTCATCCTCATACAATCTCATCCTTACTCTCATTCCCATTCTAATTCTCATCTTCATAAAATCTCATCCTTACTCTCATTCCCATTCTAATGTTCATCCTCATACAATCTCACTCTTACTCTCATTCCCATTCTAATTCTCATCTTCATACAATCTCATCCTTACTCTCATCCCCATTCTAATTCTCATCATCATACAACCTCATCCTTACTCTCATTCTCATTCTAATTTTCATCATCATACAATCTCATCCTTACTCTCATTCCCATTCTAATTCTCATCCTCTTACAACCTCACCCTTAATCTCATTCCAATTCATGATCACTTGTTATCATCCCTCATAAACAGCTTCACTCCATACCTTCAGTCTTATCATCATTAATTACCTTCATCATCACTTCTCAACATATTTTCAGATTCCAGTATGTCCTGGATAACAGCACTGATATGTTTAAGTGTTGTTTTATTCATTGCAATAATAACACTCGTTATCGTCCTCAAATGCTGCAAACCTGAGGGGTAAGTTAAGTTCAATTTACACAAGAAAAAAAAACAATTATGGGATAACTGTTTCATGTCAATAAATGTACCAGTCTGTTTAAAATTAGACCAATCAACCGTTCTTTTTTAGCTTTTATTTTGAATATATCCACTTCAGTTAGGGTCTAACGACAGTCCTCTTGGACGTTAACTTTTTAACATTACTCGATGACGTCTGCTTTAACCAATCAAATTTCTACCCTTTTCGTCGCTGGCATTTTGTGACGCGGTGTTTATCGGGTTAGGTCAAATGGTTAGTTATATCAATTCGTTCGAATCAGACCTTTGACCGAGGCCCTATATGATTTAGGCTGTGTACGTCAAAGATCTCCCGACACTTTACAATTGAAAAACAGTAGTCTATAGTAATGTGGAATTAAAATGTAACTAATGGTTTTATCTGTATTGTTTCTACTAGGTCAATTGGTCGCAGAGTTTTTCTCCACAATAAGAAAAAACGACGGTCAGAAAGCATGGGAAATACAAACCCAACGTATATATCAGACGCAGAAAACGACCAAAGAGACTATGAAAACGTGCCGAATAAACGACTTAGCCAGTTGAAAAATGGAGTTTCCAAATGCCTTGAGGTCGAAAATAAAGAAGTCGCCAAAGCAAAAGACGAAAATAAAAAACAGAACCAGTAAGTTTATATTAAGCGTCAGAGCCGTGGTTTATGTTTCTAATTGATATGAGCTCATCTCATGCTACCACATGATCCACAAAGCTCCATGTTGAACTATCGGGCTATGAGAAAATAACTGAAGTAAATGCATGTCAGGATAACATTGATCAAAAGATTTTGTGAGAAACAATGCTTTGCAACTGACGATCCAAGCGACCAAAATATGTTAATTGTTGGATATAATATTTTGTATTTTATTAATAATCACTAATGATTTATGGCTTATGATGGCTTATTTTAGTGCAGTAAAGGTTGAAGAGTTGAACCAACATTTACGAAAATTACATAAGAATTCAAATCGTTTATTGAAAGAAGAGCTAAAGGTATCGCCACTTTTCTTTTTATCTTTTTCAAAAAAAAACAGAAAAGCCATATAATGGAAATGTAAATATCTTACACTTCTTCAGCCTTGTTACTACTATTCAAAAAATTGTAATATTCTATTACACTGGTGCTTTAGATGCACAATCATCAGCTAGACAATTAGTTATGGAAATGGATTTAGCTTTCCAAGCGTGGCTTTAGATGTGTGGGCAAGGCACTCATGTAGAAATGTAATTTATACCGTTTTTATTGACAGAATTTACAAGCAGCTAGCCCTACTTTACCAATGACAGTAGCCCAGAAGATTGAAAACAGGAAAAAGAACCTAAGTACG